TAGTTGTTGTTGTAGTTGGTGCAGCTGTTGTTGTTGTAGCTTCAGTTGTTGTTGTTGGTGCTGCTGTTGTAGCTGTTGTTTGTTGATTGCATAGTTGTAGATGGAGTGTAACAACAACTGTTGTAGTTGATGGAAGAGTAGTGGTTGTTGTTGGTGCTGCTGTTGTGTGTGTAGCTTCAGTAGTTGTAGTTGGTGCAGCTGTTGTAGTTGTTGTTGTTGGTGGTTGAGTTGTTGTTGTTATTTTAACCTTGAAGCAAGCATGTATAGCAACATGAAGTTTGTATTCAGTATCATCATCATTTTGTGGTTCTCAAAATGATTTGGATCTTATCCATGCGGACTGGTGTTGTGAATTTGATTGTATTATCATCATCAAGTTTTTGGCTTGTACAACAGTTTCGTATTGTCCAGCATTCTTTTCACTGGCTGGTACCAATCTCTTGATTGTAACCTTTCCAATGTTTGATTCTGGGAAGCGTACCTTCTCAACAAATGGAGCAGCAGTATCATCAGTTGGTGTCAAGTCAACTGTGACAAATGGTTTCTTTTCATCTGAGTCCTTCTTTGGAACAGGCAATACGAAAGCCTTTCGCTCTTTGGTCTCAAGTTTGTCAATGGGTTGTTTTCTTTGTCAGTGGTTTCTGGGCTTGATTCAAGTTGTCCAGCTGGGATAAATTGTGGTTCATCCATACTTCTTCAAAGTTACAGATCTTGACTGTTGTTGTTTCTGCTGGAGTTGTGGTAGTTGTTACATAGCAGTTGTTGTAGTTGTTGCAGAAGTTGTAGTTGTTGTTCTAGCAGTTGTGGTTGTAGCAGCTGTTGTTGTTGTTGTTTCTGTTGTTGTTGGTGCATAGTTGTAGTTGCTTCTGTTGTTGTTGTTGGAGTTGGTGTGGTTGTTGTTGTTGTAACTATAAGTGTAAATAAGTTGATTAGATTAGAAAATGTTGGAAAACAATTAATATTAATACTTACCAGTGTATGAGATACAAGCACTGATTCCAATGTTGACCTTGTATTTTTTGCTGGGGTTCCATCTTCATTCAATGTAGGTTCTTCCAATACAATCTTGATAGTGTTGATCTTTTGAACCTTGGGGAAGACAATGTCTCACTTCTTTTGGTACATCAACATTAGTTTGGATTGGTGTGTAATCATCATCTGTTCTTGTTTTCTTGTATATAGATACCTTGCCAGCATTTCCTTAACAATAACTTTTCAACATAGGGATCTTCAGGATCATCTTGGCGATTCAATTTAATTTCAACAGTTGTTTAGGTTGATCACTGGATGTTGGAACATTTGTAATCCAGCCTTCCTTACCCAAACGAACCTTATCATTTGAATCTTCTCCATCTTCAGGAGTTGTCTTAATAAGTTTCTTTGGAATGATTGTTGAATCTTTCATTGTCTCTTTGAATGGACAGACCTTAGTTGTTGTTGTTTCAGCAGTTGTTGTTGTTGTAACAATGGCAGGTGTTGTTGTTGTACCCTCAGTTGGTTTAACTGACATTGTTGTTGTAGATTGAACAGTAGTTGTTGTTGGTGCTGCTGTGGTAGTAGTAGTAGTTTTTGTTGTGGTTGGAGCTGCTGTTGTTGATGTTGTAGTTGGTGCTGTTGTTGTAGCTTCAGTTGTGGTTGGTGCTGGTGTTGTAGTTGTTGTTGTAGTAACTGTAGTTGTTGATGGAACAGTAATTGTAGTTGTAGCTTCAGTAGTTGTTGTTGGTGCAGCTGTTGTGGTCATAGTTGTTGTTGGTGCTGCTGTTGTAGTTGTTGTTGTAGTTGGTGCAGCTGTTGTTGTTGTAGCTTCAGTAGTTGTTGTTGGTGCAGCTGTTGTAGTTGTTGTTGTTGGTGGTTGAGTTGTTGTTGTTACTTTAACCTTGAAGCAGGCATGTATAGCAACATGAAGTTTGTATTCAGTATCATCATCATTTTGTGGTTCTTCCAAAATGATTTGGATCTTATCCATGCGGACTGGTGTTGTGAATTTGATTGTATTATCATCACCAGTTGGTGTTTCATTATCAGCAACAGTTTCATATTGTCCAGCATTCTTTTCACTGGCTGGTACCAATCTCTTGATTGTAACCTTTCCAATGTTTGATTCTGGGAAGCGTACCTTCTCAACAAATGGAGCAGCAGTATCATCAGTTGGTGTCAAGTCAACTGTGACAAATGGTTTCTTTTCATCAGAGTCCTTCTTTGGAACAGGCAATACGAAAGCCTTTCCACTCTTTGGTCTCAAGTTTGTCAATGGGTTGTTTTCTTTGTCAGTGGTATCTGGGCTTGATTCAAGTTGTCCAGCTGGGATAAATTGTGTTCATCCATACCTTCTTCAAAGTTACAGATCTTGACTGTTGTTGTTTCTGCTGGAGTTGTGGTAGTTGTTACCATAGCAGTTGTTGTTGTTGTTGTGCTAGTAGTAGTTGTTGTACTCAAAGTTGTACTTTCAGTTGGTTTCATTGTTGTTGTTGTTGTAGCTTCTGTTGTTGTACCAGCTGTAGTTGTTGGAGCAGCTGTTGTAGTAGTTGTTGTTGTAGGAGCTGCTGTTGTAGTAGCTTCTGTTGTTGTTGTAGCTACAGGTGTAGTTGTAGTCATAGTTGTTGTTGGAGCTGATGTTGTTGTAGTCACTGAAAAAAATTTAAAAATTAAATGTTTGTTCTTTAACAAATGAAAAGAAAATTTTGAGCACAATTGACTACTTACTAGTTGGTGTGATACAAGCATGTACTCCAACATTAACTCTGTAGTTAGTTACTGGAGAACCATCCTCATTATCTTCAGGTTTAACAAGTACAATTCTTATAGAATCGGCCTTTACAACTGTGGGGAAGACAACTTCTCCATTTTCCTTAACTTCAACATCTTCAACAATTCCAGTCCAATCATCATCATTGACATTCTTTTTGTATACTGATACTATCTGAGTATTGCCCTTAATAATGACCTTTTCAACATATGGTTCATTACTGTCATCACCAACATCGAGGTCAATATCAACATATGGTTTTTCTTCAGTTGAGCTGGTTGGAACCTTTGGTGTCCATCCTTCCTTGTCCAAACGAACCTTATCATTTGAACCTTCTTCAGATGGGCTAGTCTTGATTTGGCCTTGACCAATTACAGCAGGATTGTCCATTGTCTCTTGGAATGGACAGATTTTGGTTGTTGTTCCTGCAGTAGTTGTGGTTGTTTCAATAACGGCAGGTGTTGTTGTTGTACCTTCAGTTGGTTTAACTGACATTGTTGTTGTAGATACAAGAGTGGTTGTTGTTGTTGGTGCTGCTGTTGTAGTTGTTGTTGTAGTTGGTGCAGCTGTTGTTGTTGTAGCTTCAGTTGTTGTTGTTGGTGCTGCTGTTGTAGCTGTTGTTGTTGATTGCATAGTTGTAGATGGAGTTGTAACAACAACTTTGTAGTTGATGGAAGAGTAGTGGTTGTTGTTGGTGCTGCTGTTGTTGTTGTAGCTTCAGTAGTTGTAGTTGGTGCAGCTGTTGTAGTTGTTGTTGTTGGTGGTTGAGTTGTTGTTGTTATTTTAACCTTGAAGCAAGCATGTATAGCAACATGAAGTTTGTATTCAGTATCATCATCATTTTGTGGTTCTTCCAAAATGATTTGGATCTTATCCATGCGGACTGGTGTTGTGAATTTGATTGTATTATCATCATCAAGTTTTGGCTTGTAACAACAGTTTCGTATTGTCCAGCATTCTTTTCACTGGCTGGTACCAATCTCTTGATTGTAACCTTTCCAATGTTTGATTCTGGGAAGCGTACCTTCTCAACAATGGAGCAGCAGTATCATCAGTTGGTGTCAAGTCAACTGTGACAAATGGTTTCTTTTCATCTGAGTCCTTCTTTGGAACAGGCAATACGAAAGCCTTTCCGCTCTTTGGTCTCAAGTTTGTCAATGGGTTGTTTTCTTTGTCAGTGGTTTCTGGGCTTGATTCAAGTTGTCCAGCTGGGATAAATTGTGGTTCATCCATACCTTCTTCAAAGTTACAGATCTTGACTGTTGTTGTTTCTGCTGGAGTTGTGGTAGTTGTTACCATAGCAGTTGTTGTAGTTGTTGCAGAAGTTGTAGTTGTTGTTCTAGCAGTTGTGGTTGTAGCAGCTGTTGTTGTTGTTGTTTCTGTTGTTGTTGGTGCCATAGTTGTAGTTGCTTCTGTTGTTGTTGTTGGAGTTGGTGTGGTTGTTGTTGTTGTAACTATAAGTGTAAATAAGTTGATTAGATTAGAAAATGTTGGAAAACAATTAATATTAATACTTACCAGTGTATGAGATACAAGCACTGATTCCAATGTTGACCTTGTATTTCTTTGCTGGGGTTCCATCTTCATTCAATGTAGGTTCTTCCAATACAATCTTGATAGTGTTGATCTTTTGAACCTTGGGGAAGACAATGTCTCCACCTTCTTTTGGTACATCAACATTAGTTTGGATTGGTGTGTAATCATCATCTGTTCTTGTTTTCTTGTATATAGATACCTTGCCAGCATTTCCCTTAACAATAACCTTTTCAACATAGGGATCTTCAGGATCATCTGGCGATTCAATTTAATTTCAACAGTTGGGTTTAGGTTGATCACTGGATGTTGGAACATTTGTAATCCAGCCTTCCTTACCCAAACGAACCTTATCATTTGAATCTTCTCCATCTTCAGGAGTTGTCTTAATAAGTTTCTTTGGAATGATTGTTGAATCTTTCATTGTCTCTTTGAATGGACAGACCTTAGTTGTTGTTGTTTCAGCAGTTGTTGTTGTTGTAACAATGGCAGGTGTTGTTGTTGTACCTCAGTTGGTTTAACTGACATTGTTGTTGTAGATTGAACAGTAGTTGTTGTTGGTGCTGCTGTGGTAGTAGTAGTAGTTTTTGTTGTGGTTGGAGCTGCTGTTGTTGATGTTGTAGTTGGTGCTGTTGTTGTAGCTTCAGTTGTGGTTGGTGCTGGTGTTGTAGTTGTTGTTGTAGTAACTGTAGTTGTTGATGGAACAGTAATTGTAGTTGTAGCTTCAGTAGTTGTTGTTGGTGCAGCTGTTGTGGTCATAGTTGTTGTTGGTGCTGCTGTTGTAGTTGTTGTTGTAGTTGGTGCAGCTGTTGTTGTTGTAGCTTCAGTAGTTGTTGTTGGTGCAGCTGTTGTAGTTGTTGTTGTTGGTGGTTGAGTTGTTGTTGTTACTTTAACCTTGAAGCAGGCATGTATAGCAACATGAAGTTTGTATTCAGTATCATCATCATTTTGTGGTTCTTCCAAAATGATTTGGATCTTATCCATGCGGACTGGTGTTGTGAATTTGATTGTATTATCATCACCAGTTGGTGTTTCATTATCAGCAACAGTTTCATATTGTCCAGCATTCTTTTCACTGGCTGGTACCAATCTCTTGATTGTAACCTTTCCAATGTTTGATTCTGGGAAGCGTACCTTCTCAACAAATGGAGCAGCAGTATCATCAGTTGGTGTCAAGTCAACTGTGACAAATGGTTTCTTTTCATCAGAGTCCTTCTTTGGAACAGGCAATACGAAAGCCTTTCCACTCTTTGGTCTCAAGTTTGTCAATGGGTTGTTTTCTTTGTCAGTGGTATCTGGGCTTGATTCAAGTTGTCCAGCTGGGATAAATTGTGGTTCATCCATACCTTCTTCAAAGTTACAGATCTTGACTGTTGTTGTTTCTGCTGGAGTTGTGGTAGTTGTTACCATAGCAGTTGTTGTTGTTGTTGTGCTAGTAGTAGTTGTTGTACTCAAAGTTGTACTTTCAGTTGGTTTCATTGTTGTTGTTGTTGTAGCTTCTGTTGTTGTACCAGCTGTAGTTGTTGGAGCAGCTGTTGTAGTAGTTGTTGTTGTAGGAGCTGCTGTTGTAGTAGCTTCTGTTGTTGTTGTAGCTACAGGTGTAGTTGTAGTCATAGTTGTTGTTGGAGCTGATGTTGTTGTAGTCACTGAAAAAAATTTAAAAATTAAATGTTTGTTCTTTAACAAATGAAAAGAAAATTTTGAGCACAATTGACTACTTACTAGTTGGTGTGATACAAGCATGTACTCCAACATTAACTCTGTAGTTAGTTACTGGAGAACCATCCTCATTATCTTCAGGTTTAACAAGTACAATTCTTATAGAATCGGCCTTTACAACTGTGGGGAAGACAACTTCTCCATTTTCCTTAACTTCAACATCTTCAACAATTCCAGTCCAATCATCATCATTGACATTCTTTTTGTATACTGATACTATCTGAGTATTGCCCTTAATAATGACCTTTTCAACATATGGTTCATTACTGTCATCACCAACATCGAGGTCAATATCAACATATGGTTTTTCTTCAGTTGAGCTGGTTGGAACCTTTGGTGTCCATCCTTCCTTGTCCAAACGAACCTTATCATTTGAACCTTCTTCAGATGGGCTAGTCTTGATTTGGCCTTGACCAATTACAGCAGGATTGTCCATTGTCTCTTGGAATGGACAGATTTTGGTTGTTGTTCCTGCAGTAGTTGTGGTTGTTTCAATAACGGCAGGTGTTGTTGTTGTACCTTCAGTTGGTTTAACTGACATTGTTGTTGTAGATACAAGAGTGGTTGTTGTTGTTGGTGCTGCTGTTGTAGTTGTTGTTGTAGTTGGTGCAGCTGTTGTTGTTGTAGCTTCAGTTGTTGTTGTTGGTGCTGCTGTTGTAGCTGTTGTTGTTGATTGCATAGTTGTAGATGGAGTTGTAACAACAACTGTTGTAGTTGATGGAAGAGTAGTGGTTGTTGTTGGTGCTGCTGTTGTTGTTGTAGCTTCAGTAGTTGTAGTTGGTGCAGCTGTTGTAGTTGTTGTTGTTGGTGGTTGAGTTGTTGTTGTTATTTTAACCTTGAAGCAAGCATGTATAGCAACATGAAGTTTGTATTCAGTATCATCATCATTTTGTGGTTCTTCCAAAATGATTTGGATCTTATCCATGCGGACTGGTGTTGTGAATTTGATTGTATTATCATCATCAAGTTTTTGGCTTGTAACAACAGTTTCGTATTGTCCAGCATTCTTTTCACTGGCTGGTACCAATCTCTTGATTGTAACCTTTCCAATGTTTGATTCTGGGAAGCGTACCTTCTCAACAAATGGAGCAGCAGTATCATCAGTTGGTGTCAAGTCAACTGTGACAAATGGTTTCTTTTCATCTGAGTCCTTCTTTGGAACAGGCAATACGAAAGCCTTTCCGCTCTTTGGTCTCAAGTTTGTCAATGGGTTGTTTTCTTTGTCAGTGGTTTCTGGGCTTGATTCAAGTTGTCCAGCTGGGATAAATTGTGGTTCATCCATACCTTCTTCAAAGTTACAGATCTTGACTGTTGTTGTTTCTGCTGGAGTTGTGGTAGTTGTTACCATAGCAGTTGTTGTAGTTGTTGCAGAAGTTGTAGTTGTTGTTCTAGCAGTTGTGGTTGTAGCAGCTGTTGTTGTTGTTGTTTCTGTTGTTGTTGGTGCCATAGTTGTAGTTGCTTCTGTTGTTGTTGTTGGAGTTGGTGTGGTTGTTGTTGTTGTAACTATAAGTGTAAATAAGTTGATTAGATTAGAAAATGTTGGAAAACAATTAATATTAATACTTACCAGTGTATGAGATACAAGCACTGATTCCAATGTTGACCTTGTATTTCTTTGCTGGGGTTCCATCTTCATTCAATGTAGGTTCTTCCAATACAATCTTGATAGTGTTGATCTTTTGAACCTTGGGGAAGACAATGTCTCCACCTTCTTTTGGTACATCAACATTAGTTTGGATTGGTGTGTAATCATCATCTGTTCTTGTTTTCTTGTATATAGATACCTTGCCAGCATTTCCCTTAACAATAACCTTTTCAACATAGGGATCTTCAGGATCATCTTGGCGATTCAATTTAATTTCAACAGTTGGTTTAGGTTGATCACTGGATGTTGGAACATTTGTAATCCAGCCTTCCTTACCCAAACGAACCTTATCATTTGAATCTTCTCCATCTTCAGGAGTTGTCTTAATAAGTTTCTTTGGAATGATTGTTGAATCTTTCATTGTCTCTTTGAATGGACAGACCTTAGTTGTTGTTGTTTCAGCAGTTGTTGTTGTTGTAACAATGGCAGGTGTTGTTGTTGTACCCTCAGTTGGTTTAACTGACATTGTTGTTGTAGATTGAACAGTAGTTGTTGTTGGTGCTGCTGTGGTAGTAGTAGTAGTTTTTGTTGTGGTTGGAGCTGCTGTTGTTGATGTTGTAGTTGGTGCTGTTGTTGTAGCTTCAGTTGTGGTTGGTGCTGGTGTTGTAGTTGTTGTTGTAGTAACTGTAGTTGTTGATGGAACAGTAATTGTAGTTGTAGCTTCAGTAGTTGTTGTTGGTGCAGCTGTTGTGGTCATAGTTGTTGTTGGTGCTGCTGTTGTAGTTGTTGTTGTAGTTGGTGCAGCTGTTGTTGTTGTAGCTTCAGTAGTTGTTGTTGGTGCAGCTGTTGTAGTTGTTGTTGTTGGTGGTTGAGTTGTTGTTGTTACTTTAACCTTGAAGCAGGCATGTATAGCAACATGAAGTTTGTATTCAGTATCATCATCATTTTGTGGTTCTTCCAAAATGATTTGGATCTTATCCATGCGGACTGGTGTTGTGAATTTGATTGTATTATCATCACCAGTTGGTGTTTCATTATCAGCAACAGTTTCATATTGTCCAGCATTCTTTTCACTGGCTGGTACCAATCTCTTGATTGTAACCTTTCCAATGTTTGATTCTGGGAAGCGTACCTTCTCAACAAATGGAGCAGCAGTATCATCAGTTGGTGTCAAGTCAACTGTGACAAATGGTTTCTTTTCATCAGAGTCCTTCTTTGGAACAGGCAATACGAAAGCCTTTCCACTCTTTGGTCTCAAGTTTGTCAATGGGTTGTTTTCTTTGTCAGTGGTATCTGGGCTTGATTCAAGTTGTCCAGCTGGGATAAATTGTGGTTCATCCATACCTTCTTCAAAGTTACAGATCTTGACTGTTGTTGTTTCTGCTGGAGTTGTGGTAGTTGTTACCATAGCAGTTGTTGTTGTTGTTGTGCTAGTAGTAGTTGTTGTACTCAAAGTTGTACTTTCAGTTGGTTTCATTGTTGTTGTTGTTGTAGCTTCTGTTGTTGTACCAGCTGTAGTTGTTGGAGCAGCTGTTGTAGTAGTTGTTGTTGTAGGAGCTGCTGTTGTAGTAGCTTCTGTTGTTGTTGTAGCTACAGGTGTAGTTGTAGTCATAGTTGTTGTTGGAGCTGATGTTGTTGTAGTCACTGAAAAAAATTTAAAAATTAAATGTTTGTTCTTTAACAAATGAAAAGAAAATTTTGAGCACAATTGACTACTTACTAGTTGGTGTGATACAAGCATGTACTCCAACATTAACTCTGTAGTTAGTTACTGGAGAACCATCCTCATTATCTTCAGGTTTAACAAGTACAATTCTTATAGAATCGGCCTTTACAACTGTGGGGAAGACAACTTCTCCATTTTCCTTAACTTCAACATCTTCAACAATTCCAGTCCAATCATCATCATTGACATTCTTTTTGTATACTGATACTATCTGAGTATTGCCCTTAATAATGACCTTTTCAACATATGGTTCATTACTGTCATCACCAACATCGAGGTCAATATCAACATATGGTTTTTCTTCAGTTGAGCTGGTTGGAACCTTTGGTGTCCATCCTTCCTTGTCCAAACGAACCTTATCATTTGAACCTTCTTCAGATGGGCTAGTCTTGATTTGGCCTTGACCAATTACAGCAGGATTGTCCATTGTCTCTTGGAATGGACAGATTTTGGTTGTTGTTCCTGCAGTAGTTGTGGTTGTTTCAATAACGGCAGGTGTTGTTGTTGTACCTTCAGTTGGTTTAACTGACATTGTTGTTGTAGATACAAGAGTGGTTGTTGTTGTTGGTGCTGCTGTTGTAGTTGTTGTTGTAGTTGGTGCAGCTTCAGTTGTGGTTTCTTTAGGTGTGGTAGGTACTTCAGTTGTTGTTGTAGATGGTACTGTGATTGTTGTTGTTTCAGGGACTGTTGTTGTCATTTGGGTTGTTTGTTGTTGGGTTGTTGTTGTTGTTGGTCCTTGAGTTGTGGTTGTGATCTTAACTGTGAAGCATGCATGAATTGCAATTTTAATTTTGAATGTGTTTTCTGCATCATTTGTTGTCAAGAAAATTATTTTTATTTCACTCATTTTCATTGGTTCTGGAAACTTAATTGTTGCATCAGATGTGTCTGGAGTAGCCTTTTCAGCAATTGTTTGATATTGTCCAGAATTTTTTTCACCATCTGGTATTTTACGCTGGATTGTTACAGTACCAATATTGGATTGTGGGAATTTTACTTTCTCAACAAAAGGTGCGTTTTCAGAATCAATAGGTGTTAGATCAATTGCAACAAATGGGTTATCATCTATATCTGCACTGTTAGATTGAGATTTTTCCATTAAGTATGGTTTTATGGAATCTGGCCTTAAATTGGTTTTTGGATTGTCTTTAGAGTCTTCACTTAGTGTACTTGTAAAGATTGATGTATCAGGGATATATTGTGGTTCATTCATGCCTTCTTCAAATTTACATATTTGAACAGTTGTTTGTCCTGTTGTTGGATTGGTTGATGTTATTACTACAGCAGTTGTTGTGTCAGGTTGCGTTGTTGTTGTAACTGGAGCTTGAGTTGTTTCTTGTGTTGTTGTTGGCATTGGTGTAGTTGTTTCCTGTGTTGTAGTTGTTGTTGGCATTGGTGTAGTAGTAGTTGTTGTTGTTTGTACGGAATCAAAACAAGCGAATACTGAGAATTTTATGGATACATCAGTTTTCTTGATTGATGGAATTTTGAAGGTTATTCGAAGGTCAGTAGCTTTAATCTTTCTTGAGAGATTATAAATAACTTTTCCTTCTTGGGATGAACCAATTGTCTATATGCAAAGGTTAAGGTTATTATGTTTAAATGATTTTAATGTAAAATTTTGGTTTTTACCCCGACATTTTTCTTTCCTATCAATAAAAAGTCTGATTCAACATTTGGTTTATAGGCCAATGTGTCTACTTCTCCATTTCCAGTGATGACAAGTTTATCAACAATAATTGATTTCCTGTTATAGTCAGGTGAAAGTTGTACAGTTATTGTGGGTTTACTTGCAAAGACTGCTGGAATATTCCATCCTGAACCTGAAGGTCTTACAATATCAGAGGTAAAACCGTCTGGTGTTGGAGATAATTTAATATATTTATTTGGTAAATATAAAGGTGAGTCCATTCCATCCTTTTCAATACATTCCGCATCAGCAAACATTGGAATATGGCAGGACAAAACATCCATGTTGAGTTTTGGGAAAGTTTTTGCTCCAACTTTTTGTACTTCTTCTTCAATGATGTCAAATTTAACAAGTTTAGCAAAGAAGGCTTGTTGGAAGTAAATGTGTACATATTGTCCACTTGGAAAGTATACTTTTTCAAAAACCTTTAAAATGTTGATATTAATATACTAAAATTCAATAAAGTTGAAAAAATACCTTTGGTGTGTTTCCTACTTCTTTATAGGGAACCCAATCAGTACCGTCGTTGGAATAGAAAATTTGGAATGTTTTTATTCCAGCCATTCTGACACTTAAACCAGCTACAAAAGTTGGCAGAGTGAATTTAACGACAAGTTCCATAGCATCATCTTTATCTGAATCTGCTACCCAACCAGGTAATCCTGGGATGACATTGCTTGCATCATGGGCTTTACCATTCTCTGACCAGACAGATGTGGCTGTGATTGATTCAACAGCTCCTGGAGTAGCCAATGTTGGGTAACTGCAGATGGCTGTTTAATATTGAAAAGTTGAATATTATTATGGCGTTGTTATATTAAAATTTAATTTACGGATAAATGTTTCTTTGATAGCAATACAATCAGCTTCCTTAATGCAAGCTCCATCTTCGTTCTTCTTGTATCCTTCTGCACAATTAAAATCTGGGCAACAAGCTGGCGTATCTTTACAAGCTTCAGAGTCTGTACAACTTTCTTGACATTCACATTTGGCATTGTTTATACACTCTGTAAAGATAAAAGATAATAATAAAAAACAATGATATATTATATTATTGCGCAATTATTACTTGTTGTTGTAGTTGTTGGTTCAGCAGTTGTTGTTGGTGGTGGAACAGTAGTTTCAATAGCTTTTAGAAAAAACAATATTGATTAAATAAGTAAGTATAAATGAGGTTAAAACTCTTACCAAGGCATTTTGGACAACATTCTCCATCAACTTTAACTGGACCTCTTTCACCCTTTTTGTTTTAAAGAATTTTAAACATATAATGAAATTTATTGAATAATCTGATTCCTACCTCTTTACAAGAAAGAATTTCAGAGCAATCTTTACTTGCGTCAATTGTCTCAATAGAATTTTTAATACACAAATGAGAAACGCAATCTTTATTTTTCGAATCAGACCATTTATCAGTTGGTGAATGTAATTTTCCAAGTTCATCAATACATTCGCATTTATCCATTGGAATACATTTTTCACCGTTGAAAACTGTTCCCTTTTCACATTCGCAACAATGAGGAGATTTATATTTCATATCCTTTTTAGAATGGCAAACTCTTGAACGAACAAAAATTTCGGCATTGCAGTTTTCTGATGGTTTCTCATATTCGTCTGTGCATTTTGGCTTTGGTGGATCTTTTTCTATAAGGGGAAACGTATGATAATTATTCTAATTCTAATCAATTTCTTTCAATACTAACTGCAAAGCTCTTCGGATTCATCGGAACAGGATTGCTTTGGACAATCGCATTTTCCGTCGCATCTTAAAGCTTCACCAACGCAGATATCTTTGCAGACTGGACAGCAAATATCTGGTAAAGTAACAGCAACAAGACCCTTTGCGATTGGACAATCCAAGGACTGACAACTGATCTTTTCGCATCTCTTACTGTTTGGTCCAGTGCAAGTACAAGTTTCGCAATCGGAAATCTTCCATTTAGCATCAACATTGTGGCAAACATCTCCTTCAACGCATCCTGTAAGTTCGCATGGAACTTGTGTTGTAACTGTTGTAGTAGGAGCGGCTGTTGTAGTTGTAGTTGTAACGCAACCTTCAACTTCATCGCATTGAATGGCACTGTCTGTACATTTACATGTTCTACAATTGATAAATGCTCCATCTGCAGTTTTTTCAGGGAATGTTGCTCCATTCTGAATGAAATGATTGATTGATGTTAGACTGAAAGCTGAGTAATTAATTACGAAATACTTACAGGATAAGTTTGACCTTGATAAGAGCAAGTACACTTTTGTCTCTTAATACAGAAGTTATACTGTGTTATCAAAGAAATGTCCATAGGTAATTCAGGCATATAACCTCCAATTGGAGGACAAGCACAGAATGTAGGGTTTGGTGGCAAGACAACAAGAGAGCCTGGTGCCTTAACACCAGTAGATTTCATATACTGTTCGCATGTCATTGTTGGTGGAACGTCGCATGGCAAATTGCAAAGAACTGTTTTTCTTGTACAAACTGGTTTAACTGTTGTAGTAAGCTCTCTATCCTTCAAACAAGAACAACAGCCAGCTGCGTCAACGGTTGCTGGTTTGTCCTAATTAAATAATAGTAATGATGATAATAAAATATTTAAAGAATGTTGACAATGTTGAAAACTTACATCAACACATTTAAGATCACCGCAGCTGATGCTACATTTGATTCCATCTTTTGTACATGAACAGTTTTCTGTTGCTGTACAAGTTTTCTTTTGAACATCCCATGTATCGGCCAATTTCCTCCAAATATTTGAAGTTTGATCAAAGCATGCACAATCGGTTTCCGGTATACATTTTCCATTTGAATCTTCAACAAAACCAGCCTTACATTGGCAACCTGGTTTGCAGAGTTCGGCAGTTGGACAAATGAAAGTTTTGTCATTCTTTGTATAGCATGTTTGTACACACATGCAAGCAGTGTATTCCTTATCACCAGTGCAGGTAGGCTCTGTTGGAAGAATTGCTTCGCATTTTGGACAGCATTCACCTTCAACGGTCACTTCCTTTTCATTTTCACCACATTTTTTGCAGACAACTGGAGCTTGTTTCAAAGTGTTGTCCATACAAGTGTAGACATTACATTTATAGGTAAGAGATTTTCCAGCCTAAATACAATGGATATATATATTTATATAGAATTAACGTAAAATTTCCATTGAAATACTTACTGGAAGAGCTTCATTTGTATCTGGCATTCTGCAAGAACAATCGGCCATTGGAACGCATACTTCTCCTTGAAGGAGTTGACCTAGTGGACAATCACAACCGGAAACGCATTTAGCCTTTGTTGTCTCAACGCAATCTGGATCCATAAAATGACAGAATTTACATGTCTTTATGCAAACTGTAAATGGAAGTTTAGCTGGACACATTTCCTTTGTTGTTGTTGGTTGAACAGTTGTTGTTGTTGTTGTTGTTGTAATATCTTCACAAGCGCAACAAGCGCCAGTTTCGTAAACAACTCGTCTTTGATTCTCTCCACATTTTTTATTGCAGTCGGCAACTTGTTGCCATTGACCTTCTTGACAAAGTTTACTGAAGCAATCGTTAACGACAACCTTTTCACCTTCTTTGCAGACTGGTGTTGTTGTTCCTACGGTTGTTGGTTCTGGTGTTGTTGCGGCAGCTTCGCAAGCGCAACATTTTTCTTCATCATTGGCGTAAAGGTTGAGTACTTGATCATCTGAGCAACTTGTAATAGAGCAAGTTTTCTTGCAGTCACTCACTCCTGACTTACAAATACATTTAGAGCATTCATTCTTTTCAAATGTCTCTCCAGATTTGATAGTTTTACCATTAGAATAGCATGGACAATCTTTCTCATCAGACATATCATTGCAGTCGTTTCTTCTATCGCATACAAGATCTGGTGTGAAACATTTTGAGCAATTGTCGCAAGCCTTTGCGCCTGTTGGACAAGTGCAAACTCCTGCAGTTGTTGTAATTGGAACGGTTGTTGTTGGTAGACATTCACAGCAGCCAGATTCTGGTTGGTACAGCTTGAAGCCTTCTCCGCATGTAAGAGAGCAAGTGTAAGTGCATTTCTTTTCGCAATTTGTTGTAAAAACGCATTCTCTCTTGCAGTTGGAATGAGTACCTTCTTCGATAAAAGTACTTCCATAAGCTCTTTCAACGCCGCTTTCACTATCTTTACAAGTACATTCCTTTTCATTTACGCAAACTCCATCCTTAACAACTTGTCCGATTGGACATTTACAACATTTTCCTTGGCTATCAGCTGTAGATTTCCAAGTGCTGCATCCACGTCCAGAAATGATATCTGCGCAGGTCAAAGTGCATGTACACAAACCATACATTTGTCCTGTGACGCCGCATGTTGGTTCAGGTTGAGTTGTTGAATCGGTAAAGACTGGGAAAGTTGGTGTTTGATCTTTAATTTCAACGGTTGTTGTTTGAGTTGGTGTTTCATAACAGGCTCTAATATACAAGTTTTTCACTTGAACAGATGTGCCAGGTGAAAGTTTGATCTTGAGGATATTGGCAACAATTTTTGAGGTACTAGTGATTGTATTAAATACATCAGTTCTTGGAATATTCTTGGCTGGTGCGCTTATTTCACCGTTTGATCCATCAAAACCAAGTACAACATTACTGGCTCCTTTAACTTCGAATGAAACCGATGTAATCTTAACAATATCGCTAGACTTGATCTTGAAGCTCAATAGAACGTCATCTTCTGATGAAACTGAGTATTCTTCATTTGATTTTTCAAGAGCCATACGTGCATCCGATAAGGGTACATTTGAACTTGCAACCAATTTATCTTCAGATACTGAAGAGTCTAAATGTTCGCAACCATCGCCCAATGGTGGCAATGTTGTAGTTGTAGCAGTGGTTGTACTGGCTGTTGTTGTTGGTTCGGGAGTAGTAGTAGCTGTGGTTGTTGGTTCGGGAGTAGTAGTAGCTGTTGTTGTAGGTACGGGAGATGTTGAAACGGTTGTTGTTGTTCCAATTGTTGGTTTGTAGCAAGCCTTTACTCTAAGATTCTTTACTTCGATGAAGCTTTCGGAGAGTGCATTGGATGGCATATGGAAAACAACGTTTACACTTCTTGTTATCATTCCTTTAGGAAGATTTACTGATTGAGATGTCCAGATATTCTTTGAAGAAATTGCAACATTCTTTGTAATGGCTGAATCTCCTTCTCCAAATTGTACATCAATTGCATCGGCGCCACGAATATCAACAGTGAGGTCAGTGATTGTTGGTTCGTCAGTCATGTCGAATGACAAACTAGCACTTACCATTTTAACCTCATCAGCTGTCTTTGATTTCCAGACATTGTTGACTGTGTACAAGTTGCTTGTTGGATCATCACTTCCGTATGCTTGCAATTTAAAGTCTTCTGGTCTGACCAAGATGTCTTGTTTTTGACAGAATGCTTCTGTTGTTGTTGGAACGGTTGTGGTAACAACTGTTGTTGTTGTTACAATTTCCGTTGCTGTGGTGGTAGTAGATTCAGTTGTGGTTGTAATTGTTGTTGGAGTTGCTGTTGTGGTTGTTACTTCTGCATGGAAACAGGCGAAAACCTTTGCTTTTACTGTAAATTTTTCATCATCATCAGTTGTTTGGAGGAGTTTTACAGCAATAACTTCAGCTTGAATTGTTGGTTGGAATTGAACTTTTCCATTTGTTCCATCAAATTCTTTAAGCTTTCCATCTTCTGTTACGTCAGTCCAAGTTGGTGAATTTTCATCAGCTTTGTAAGAGACTGTGAAAGTCTTTACGTTGCCAATAATATCAACAGCATCAACGAATATTGGTTCAACCTTTTCGTCTGGTCTTACCAAATTAATTATGAGAATTGGCTTTGTTAAACCCTTGGCAGAAGGCTTCCAAGAACCTTCATTGGTTGGCTTAGCCAAAGCTGGGGTTCCGTCATCAGAGGGAACAGAGCTAATTCTACTATCGGGGATAAACACTGGTTGATCAGATCCCATACCTTCAATAAGTGGACACATGGGACCTTTAGAGGTGGTTTCAACGGGTGAGGTGGTAGTTTGGATAGGGGTGGTTGTGGTATCAGTGGTGGTAGTGGTGGTAAGGGGAGTGGTTGTGGAGGCTGGTTCATGGAAACAAGCGAAAACCTCTGCCTTGATAACAACATCGCCTCCTCTCAATGGAACGTTGAATACTATTTTAATTGATTCAGCTGCAAATGTTGGACGGAATCTGTCAACTTCATCATCGGTTGGATCAAATTGTTTAGAAACTCCATTCTCAGTGTATGGAGTCCATTTATCAGCTCTACTATCTACTTTATACAAAACAGTATATTTGGCTATTCCAGTAATTTGAACACGATCCACTGGAACTGGGTTCAATGTTTCAGATTTTTCAACTAGATCAATTTCAACCCATGGCTTTTCGTCGATAGCTTCCTTCAATGGTATCTTCCAGCCTGATACAGAGCTTGGTCTTATATCATTGTTGTCGCTCATTTTTGGGCTAGATCTGATTCTTTCGTTTGGAATAAGGAGTGGATTATCCATACCTTCCTTAATTGGACAGGCAGGAGTAACAGTGGTAGTTGTAACAGTTGTGGTTGGTTCGGGAGTTGTTGTTGGAGCTGGTGTAGTAGTTGCTACTGTTGTTGTTGTAGGTCCAGATTCGGTGGTAGTTTTCATACATACTGGACAACATTCTCCAGCAACGCTAACTCTGCTCAAACCCTCTCCACAAGGTTCATCAGAACAGTCTTTTTTACAGACTACCTTGTTGTTTTTACATTCGCATTTTTCGCAACCAGATCTCCATGTTTCATAGGCAGATCTACGAACTTTTTCAGTCTTATCGTAGCAGCTACATTGGTCTTCCTTGATACATCTATCTCCTTGCCAAGCATGGTCTAATTTACATTCGCAACCTTCCTTGCAAGTATGAACTTCACTTGAGTCTTTACAAGGAGTAGTTTTTGATTCATAATCGCAAGTTTTTGGACATTTCACTTTGCAGGCTGACTTTACTTGAGTCATAGCATCACAAACCAAAGCAGTTGTTGTTGGGACAGTTGTTGTGGTTGGTGTTGTTGTTGTTGTTGTTGGTTCTGGTGTAGTGGTTGTTGTTGTTGTTGTTGTTGTTGTTGTTGTTGTTGTAGTTGTACTCTCAGTTGTCGTTGCTAATGGAAACAGTTTGACAAAGTTTAAACATTTATCAATATCTTTAAACTCTTTATTGTTTTTACTTACGACAATTGTCTTCGTCATTAGGGTGCATACATTCTCTAATACCGTTACAAGTTGTAGCGCAAGTTCCTGTTGGACTGTTACAAGACATTTTATCTTCTCCACCGCAGAATTCTGAAAGAAATATGAAAAGGTTTAGTCATTCATTCATTCATTATAGTAAAGAAATCATTGATGAAACTTACGAGTGGTTGGTCCTGGTGTTGTTGTTGTTGTTTGTTCAACACCACAGAATGGATTGCGCTTACATTTAAATTCACCACCAACACATTCGCTAAACGGAGAAAAGATACGAAATTATTGAATGTCATTCATATATATATATATATATTACCAAAGGTCACATCCTCTAGCTACTTTCGTAAGTGGAGCGTATTCTCTCTTTGTTAAAGGATCAGTACAAGTACACGATTGGTGCTTAACGCATTGTCCTTTGTGAAGAACGGTTCCTTCTGGACAGTGACACCCTTCAACGCATGTTGTTGTACATCCTTCCTTTCTTTTCAATGCAGAATCGTAGCAATGTTTAGGGCATGATGTTCCGCAAGCCTTGTAAGTTTTTCCACCGTCGCATTCCATTGCTACAATTGAATAGATAGATAATGTTCTTCTCAGTTTATCTTGTTTGAAAACGAATACTTACGACAATGGTTCTCACTTCTCCATTTGATTGGGATGCCTTTTTCATTACAAGCCTTAACGTAAGCAGCTACAGCTGTACAGAGACATTCGCAATCTCCTCCTCTGGCACAACCGCACGAATCCCAAACGCAATCTTTGTAGTATCTTTCAACTTCAACAGCATCATGACATTTACTGAAAGCTGGAGTTCTTAAAATGTTACAAGCGTGCTTGGCCCACATTTCTCTTTCTGGACTCTTATCGCATGGATTGGTTGCGTCTTTCTTAACACTTGGACAAGATTCCTTAACTCTCCAGCTGTTGGCGAAAATAAGGGCTTTATCTTCCAATTGGCCACTTCTAGCACGGAAGTCGTTGTCAGCTTTGCCGTCGAAGTTACCGCACATACCGCAAACCTTGCCCATATATGATGGGGCTAGTGTGACGTAGATTCTCATACCCTTGTCCCATTGAATAGTCAAGCCATGTGGTGTAGTCATAATAATGAAAACGCCAGCTTCCTTGAATTCGTATTTAGCTTTTGGTGTATTTGGTCCGGCAAGTGGATTCTTTGATATGATTGGGGCGGTACCTCTAACAAAATGAATAACTGTATCGTAGAGTATAACTTTGGCGCTCTTTGTGCACGAAAGTCCTTCTGCTCCGCAAGGAACATTCTCCACTGTAACTCTGAAGGTTCCGGCTCCACCGCAGAAATCTTCAGCTAGAACGTAGCTGCATGCTCCTTGAAATTCGTAAGCTTTACCATCAAAAGTGATGTAATGAGGATCTCCGTAAGCTTGACACAATCCTGGGCAGTTCTTTGTTGTACAAACCCAGCTGCTGTTAGAACAGTAACAATGATTGCAGTCTCTCTTGATAACTGAACCATCTTTGTAACTCTTTCCTTGAAAGTGACAAGGACATTGGTCAGGAGTGATGCATTTTCCATCAGCAGAAAGGACTTTTCCCTTTGGGCATGTACATCCTTCCTTTCGGCAAGAAGCAGTTGGGCAAGAAATGTGCATATTATCACATGTCTTTTCACAATCGGAACAGCTATTCCATACTTTACCGGCTGGACAAACTTGAGTAGCTATAAAATGGATTTTAAAAACATTTAATAACGTAAACACCAACAAATAGAGGATTAACTTACTTGTACAATCCTCTTTAGTACAGGTCCAATCGCCATTAATACATTTACAAGTATTACATTTGTCCACTCTCTTAGTGCCTGGACTGTATGTCTCTCCTTTAAAGTAGCACTTGCATTCGCTTTCAATAACGCATGATTGAGATTCATCATCCCATTTTTGTCCATCAGGACATTGGCAACCTTCGATACATTCTTCCTTACAATTCTCTGGCTGTACACTTCTACAAGTTGTACCGCAATTCTTTCCACATTCTTTATAGACTCGTCCCTTTGTACAGGATATTTCTACGAAAAGATTAAAGAGCGGGTTTTTAAAGTAGGCTCAACGAAGGTAAAAGGAAATACTTACTACATAGATTATCGCTTCTCCAATCAAGAATAACTCTTTTAAGGGCACAAGCTCTTGAATAACTAGCCATTGCTGTACATTCGCAGTCGTGTGTAGTCTTTTCTCGGCTTCCGCAAGTGCAAATATCGTGTTCGCATTGTTGAATATAGGTTTTTGGATCGACAACATCATTACAAGCCTTGAATTTTCCTTCAGTCAATGCAGAGCATGTCTTTTTGGCAAAGGCGGCGTATTGGATGCTTTGTGTACAGGCGCTCTCATAGATACCGGAAAAGGAAGTCTTACATTCTGCGCTAGTTTTCCAATCATTAGCAAATTGGGTAACATTCTTAACATCATCGCCTGAAGCTGTCATTGAATCGTCTGTGATCTTTCCGTTAAAGTTACCACAGAGACCCATAAGTTTGTTTCTGTATTTACTGTCAACAATAACTTCAATTCTTGATCCACCGTCCCAAAGAACTTCCAAACCAATGTCTGTTGTTAATCTTGTCAAGATACTTGAAACGTGTCTAACATATATTCCATCCATATTTAATGGTAAAGCGACTTTTGTTCCCGATAATTCGACTGAAGCTTTCTTCAATCTAAGTAAGTATTCCTTTCCGTTTTTCTTTATTTGAATTGTAACCATTTTTGTGCAAACTGAATCTTCGGTTGTTTTACAAATTGTATTTTCAACCCAGATAGTGAAGGGAGTAGAGAGTGAAACGCCTCTTCCTGGCATAGTCAATACGTATTCGCATTGACCGTTGAATGAAAAGTAACGACCGTCGAATGTTTTATAATGAGGATCTCCGCTAACTTGACAACGTCCCACGCAATTTGGTGTTGGTGTACACTTCCACAAACCTCCAGGGCTGCATGTACATTTTTCGCAATCATTTGTATAATGTTCACCTACGGCGTAGGATTTGCCTCCAGTCTTTCTTTTACAAGAGCATTCTTCCTTCTTAACGCATTTGTCGCCATCCCAAAGTGTTCCAGCTGGACAGAAGCAACCGTCAACACATTGTACAGAACTGCATTCATTTTCAAATCCTTGACTACCGCATTCTTGACCGCAGTCCAATCCGCATTCCTTGAAAATTTTTCCATTTTCGCATTGTGGTGCTGGACAAAAATCTGCAGTTCTCCAATTAAGAACAATTCCCTTTTGGGAGCAAATTCTACTATATTGTTGGAAAATATCGCAACGTTTCATTGCGCAATTGTTGGATCCTTCAGCTTTGCATGAACATAAATCATTGACGCATATATTTATATAATATCCGGCATCAACAGCATTTCCGCAAGTTGCAAATGCTAAACCAGTCTGTTCTAAAACTTTACATTGAGCTTTGATTTCATTAACTTCTTCAATGCTGAGTGTAGAGCAAGCGGAAGCGGCTGGCAATTTAACAGCTTCAATATTTCTCTCTTCTGTAGGATCGATCCAAGAGTTGCCAAATTCAACGTAATTGTCCAAAAGTTTTCCTTGAATAGTTGTATATTCATCTGTTGAATTTCCGTTGAAATTTCCGCAAAGACCGCATACTTTGCCTTTCATTGTGTCAGGAGCCCAAACGCTAACTGTTGAACTTCCGTCATAAGTTACTTTCAATTCTGAAGAGAGGGAAAACAATCATTAACCAATGTAATCTAAAAGATATTCTCTTAACTAACCATCGAGTCCTTTTACTACTGTATATTCTGCAGAACGACTAAGAACAATCTTTCCAACGGTAGTTGGAGTTTGTGTAAGGACACCATCAACATAAGTTCCTTCGGGTGCAATAATAACAACTTGCTTTCCGCTTGTGACCTAAATTTATTGCAAACGTTTAATCTTTCCGTTTGTCTGCCGTCTCTTATATTATATAGATATAGTTTACCTTCAAAGCGGCTTTACAGCCAGTATCCTCTGCACATGAATATGTTTGATTAATGTATACTTGATAATTAGCTTGAGCAGAACCACTACAATCTTGAACAAGTGTATAAGTTCCTTTTCCTGCAAATGTGAAAGCTCTTTTGTCGAAAGTTATAAAATGCTTAGTTCCCCAAGCAGTACAAGATCCGTGATCTTCGTAGAGAGCTGATCCAACAACTGAAAAAGTAAAAATATAATTTTAAATATAGGATTATTTAATAAATTACCTTTAACGTTGTTGACGTTATCGTTCGAAATTACACGTAGACCACAAGTTGGGCCGGAAAAACCTTCAGGGCAGGAACAATGATTGGGTGATATACACTTTCCGTTATTGAAGCATCCGTTTGGACATAGAGCTGTTTTTTGTTTGTTTCTTCATTATTAATAGTTCAAATATGAGATATATTATAAAAATTTTACCCTGACTACAGTCATCACCAGACCATCCTTTTGAACATTTACATTTTCCTCCGGTTTCTGTGGCAACACAAGTTCCTCCATTCAAACAGTCACTTGAGCAGGATGCTATAAAAAGTACGCAATTTGTTATATATATATATATTTATTGATAGTTTAATCAATAGTTTTGTTTGAATGCCAGAATTTATCAATGATTAACTTACGTTCATTGCACTTTACTCCTTTCCAACCTTCTTTGCATACGCACAAATTAGGTTTGACGCAAGTACCTTTTGAAGCATCACAGCCTGGGCAGTTTGGTGTGTCGCATTGTTCTCCTGTATACCCATCTGAACAGGTACACGTTTCAGGAGCTGAACAAATCCCATTACTACCGCAGGACTTGCTGCAGACAGCTAGAAAAAAACAAAAAAAAAGTGATTAATCTCTCTCCTCTTTCTCTCGAGTTCTATCTATCTCTATTCTTACGAGTTTCGCATTGTTCCCCAACATATCCAGTTCCGCTGCAGTCGCATTTGTTAGGTGATTCGCAATTACCGCCATTCTGGCAAGTTTTCATGCAAACTGCCGTTAAGCAGTCATCACCAGTCCAACCAACGCAGCACCGTACCGTTGTAGTAGTCTTTGTCACATTTTGCTCTTCAAGCTTTGTGACGGGGCTGAAAAAATGAAATAATAATACTTTTCTTTTTTCTAACGACACGTGTTATAAGTGTTTTTAATAGTAGATGTAAAACACTTACACATCCACTAAACAGTACGGGTTGTCAGACGGACCCCGTTGATCCTTAATCCGCCATCCTTTTTGGGTGGCTTCATCACAGTCAACGAAATCTTTTTCTTCATATTTAGTAACTTTTACCATTTCCGGGACAATATTCGTCGTTTTAAATTCACATTGATTCTTGGGTAGTGTCGGAGTGCTGTACGAGTTTTTTCATATATAAAGTATATATATATATTTTTATATAGATAAGTTTATTATTAAGAAAGCATGGTTTATCTTTTTTCCCCTTAGGGAAGGGGGATTGTTTTTTTATCATTCTTATAACTTATCAAATGAAATTACCCATCGTTATCGGTTGTCAATGCTGCTGGTATTGTCACCAACAACAAAATAAGACATTGAAGGGGCCACGGGCCCATCATTTTACTTCCTGGATTAATTTTATGGGGAAGAATATTAATTAAAAAGAGTTTAATCTTCGTCTATTCTTCTTCTCCTTTCTTAAAGATTTCTGTTGCTGATCAGAATAGAGGAAGAAGGGAACGAAAAGGCTTATTGAGCCGAGTGCCGAAGTTTAACTGATGCTATTGCTTCTTATATACGCTTTCAAGTATCGATAAACCGTCAATAAAAGTTTACTTTAACTATTTGTAATCATGTGTTTCTTAACGATATCCTCTACTGTTTGTTTGATTAACAAGTGTTTTTTAGCCTCTCCTATACATTTTTTTAATTTCGATCTTTAGTTATGCGCAAATATACAATTTTTGATTTTTTTTTCTTCCCTCTCCTCCTCCAACTAAATCACTGTCACAATTACTTAAGTACAGATCTATCTTTACCCTAACCCTAACACTAGATTTTAGATTATTATCTCATTTCTTTTATTATTATTATTATTATTATTATTATTATTATTGTTATTATTACATAGTTTCTAATTCCCTAATCTATCTATCAATCATATACCCCATCTAGATAATAATTACGATATTATTAATAATCTGAGCGTGAGATAAAGCGATATACATGTAAAGGATATTAACATTAATTAACACATTTCCACTGTCTCATAGTAAAATTCTATTGATTTAATTTTAGATATTTTATACAATTCTACAAGAAATACGTTAATATAGGACTACGCAGACGTTATTTAATTAGAATGAGGAAATGCAAATAAAACTTGGGGAAAAGTTAAATATTTGAAAGATTTAACATCTGATAGTATTTTCTTTTTCATATAAGATATACATAATCTTTTACAGTCGAATACAACCATTCATTCATTGAGGTTTGTTCATTTTTGTATTAAAAAATTCAGTTAATACATTAATAATATTATTATATAATATTCCTTTATTGGTTGTTCATTCCTTCCGCTATACAGGCCTATTCTATTGAGAACATTGAAGGAAACCAATATAATCTTTCGTTAGCTTTATCATCAACCCAGGTCATACCTTCCTTTACCAGATAATCCTGGAATTTTGAATATTTAGAATAAAATTAAAGAATTTTGTTTAATATGTTTATAATATACCATTGCCCTATCGACTCTTTCTCTCTCCCATCCAATATCTGATTTTGAAATACGGCCATTTTTCTCTTGTGCTTTTTCCAAGATAATTGTATGATCCATTGTTAACTCTCCAGGTACAGATTGAACAAAAAAATTCTTTCCAGCTTTTATTAATTGAAATCCACTTCCTAAACTTCTTAATTTTTTTATAGCAGTTTTTAAATCAGATCTAAATGGATAAAAAACATAAATGTTACATAATCGACAAACTCTATTATTTAATAGAGATTATACTTACAAACTAACATCTTGCTTTCTTGATTTAAGTAATTTTGAATGTAGTTCGTCTAATTTCATTATACCGCCGTTAGTTTGATTATTAGCTAAACAAACTTCAATAGTTTGTACACCAATTTCATAATAGAAATCACCTACACCCAACATTTCTGACCAGAAACCTTTACTGGCTATAATTAAATATTTGTTTTAAGAAAAATCATTTATTCATCGTCTATTCTCTTTCTTTAACTTACAGGCTAGAGGATCTACTCCAATCGAAGCGCACATTTCTTGAAATTGTCCTCTAAATTCTGGATTCTTTTTTATTTGTTGTTTATGCTTTGTTGCAAAATCTTCTAAATTATTTTTAAAAGCATTTAATTGAGTCGATAGCTGAAATTATTTATTATTGTTATTTGATTTATATTTTTCTTAAATAAACATATAATTCTTACTTTCTCTAATTCTTCAGACGCTAATTCCGTTCCTTTCTCTTTGAATTTAGACTAAAATTGAAAAGCAACTAATGATCGCTCTTTATTAATTATTGGAGAATTAACTTACCGCTTGAACGGTTTTTGTTTTAATAGCGCCTACCCCCCTCCGTCTTGTATTCCCACTCATTTATTAAACAATCCGATATATAATTAGCTAACGATTATAAATACTAAAGTTTTGGAAGTAAATATTAGGCAAAACACACATTTATTGACATATACCAGTTTCTATTAAGAGCATTTTCGTATTTTATTTATTAATTTATAATTTTTACAATAAATATGTTTATAGATTTAAGGCTTACTAGAAAAAATTTTCATATGAAAAAAAATACGAAAAGATAATGATAAATTCAGCCATATTGCCGCAAGGTGGTTCGCTCACGAGGGTAAGTGTTCGATTTTTGTGAATTTTTATAAGATATTACCATTTTCTTTACTTTTGGCTCATCTAAATCTCATCAAGATATAATACAAACTAGTTTTAACTGTTTATTTACTTTTATTTTCCTGTTGATCAAGTATAGAGGTCAATCAGGTCGTTTGTTTTATGCAATGATGTCAATGACATTTGGTCCTTGAATCATTTTACTTCAAACGTTCATTCTCGACACAGCTCTCAACATATTTGAACACAACTCACAATGGGAGACGTTGAAAAAGGCAAAAAGATCTTTGTTCAAAGATGTTCCCAGTGTCATACCGTTGAGAAAGGAGGAAAGCATAAAACCGGCCCTAACCTTCACGGACTTATAGGACGTAAAACTGGTCAAGCTCCTGGTTTCAGCTACACTGAGCATAACAAAAACAAGGGTGAGAATTACTGATCAGTCATATTAATTGACAATTTTAATTAACATGTATTCTCCAAAATAGGAATCATTTGGGGAGAGGACACTCTGATGGTCTACTTGGAAAATCCTAAAAAGTACATCCCAGGAACAAAAATGATTTTCGCTGGTTTAAAGAAAGAAAAGGAAAGAAAAGATTTGATCGCTTATTTACTCTCGTCAACTAAATGAAGAGAATTGCTTAGGGAATCATACTATCGACATCGTCATTAATTCTGTTATCTCGATGTTAATAATATGAAAAATAGATAATTTATATGATACAAATCGTTGCGTTTCTGACGAATATAGAATACATATTTTCATGTGTGTCCTCTAACGATATGGCGTCCTAAGAACGTGTGAATCACGTTTCCTTAAAAAAAATAGCTATGACTTATTGCGTAAGGAACACGTGTTTACGGAATATATCAAATAATAATTGATATTTAATATCGAAGAAGTAAAACAATACTTTTGTATAGACGCATTCAACACCCACTTAGCGTTCAGTTATATCTATTATTTTTAGATTACGTCTCACCGATAGAGCAATCACCTTTCTGTAGTAAGGATCATTTTATAATTATACACACTAGAGGGAGACAGCTAACGTTGCAACAGTAATCTACGGCAAATCGAACAATCAAATCTATAATCTTGTTCTTTTTAGAATAGATACCCCTCTTTAAATATAAGCCGGACGTGAATGCGGCAGGAATAACTCTAGAAAGTAGATGTTTGTCAATTAATTGTTGTTTATATTCCTAAAGCGTTATATTATCGCTCAAAAGATGAATAACGATGTAATAAATAGCATACAACAGCAACTTAAGACAACAATTAAAAATATAGGAAAACAGCTTGATAAAATCGAAAATGAAGGTAGAGATGTTTTGCATAAGAATTACATAACTTTATTATTTATATATTTAGCGGATAAATATACTGAAAAATCATTGGAAGAATGTTTAGAATTGTGTCAGGCATTCAAAAATAATATTCAAAAGTTTAAAGCTAATCCGTCAGACGTGAAAATAATAAAACATGAAAAGAAAGAAGATAGGGAACAAAAAGAATCGGTTTCTTCAATTGAATTCAATTTTAATACAACGGAATGTAACTTAAACAATTCTTATGATAGTTTTTCTCAAGTTAGTTAGTTAATTAATTAATTAATCAATTAATTATGACACTGTTAAATATTTTAGGAAATTACAGAATTTGAAGTGAATCTTTTAGACTCTGAAGAAGATTTTGAAGAAAATATTCTACATGTACGAATATTTTTAACTTTATAATTATGATTAAATTTCGCGAAATAAACATTGTTTATTAATACAGGAAATTAGTGAAATTGAACAATCTTTTGTCGAAATTAAAGATAGCGATACGGAAGATGAAAATGATACAGACATTCTATCAGGAGATGAAATTGCTGAGCAACCAAGTAATCCGTTATATCTTCAAATTTTACGAAAATATTTTGGTTTTACAGATTTTAGGCCGTTTAGTATATTTTTCTCTGTTGAATCTAATGATAAAGTTATTTTTATTATTTACCTTCTCTTCAGTATTCAATGGAGGATAATAAATAGCGTTTTAAATGATAAGAGAGATCACTGTGTTATTATGGCAACAGGTTTTATTATTGTTATTATTATTATTTAATTATTTGAAAGAATTTTTACAAGGTTATGGAAAAAGTCTCTGCTTTCAATATCCATCTGTTTTTACGAGAAACACTACTGTAGTAATATCTCCACTTATCTCATTAATGGAAGATCAAGTTCTTGGACTTAAGTAAAAAAAACTAATGTAGAAATTTTATTAAGTTATACTATCATCTAATCTTTCTAAAAATAGTTCTGTGGGAATTGAAGCCTGTATATTAGGGTCTTCTCAAGAGAGAACTGAGGACGTAGAAAGAGAAATTATGGCGTAAGAATTCAAGGAAATTCTATTAAAAGTATTATATAGTTCAATGATTTATAGCGGTAAATATCGACTGGTCTACTCAACTCCCGAATATTTGGGATATTCAAAGAATATTTTAAAAGAAATAGATAAGGCCGTTGGCAAGTTTTATTCAATTACTAAACAAAGATTTTTAAACTTTTACCACATTTCTACTAGGCCTTGACTTGATTGCGATTGATGAAGCTCATTGTGTTTCACAATGGGGTCATGATTTCAGGCCAGCTTACAGAAATATTGGTAAATGTCGTAAGGGTTTGCGAACGCCTATGATTGCTGTAACTGCTACTGCAACAAATGAAGTTCGTGAGGATATATGTAGAAATTTAAGATTGGAAAATGCAGTTCAAATTTGTACTTCATTTGATAGGTAGAAATCTATATTTAACAAATTAAACAGAATACTTAATTAATTCATTTCTTTAAGGCCAAATTTATTTTTATCCGTAATGATGAAAGGAGAAAGCATTGTTGCAGATTTTAAAAATGAATTAATAGAAGATGACAAACACTCTTTTAAATTCCCAGGGTCAACTATAATCTATTGTCCAACTAAGAAAGCCACCGAGGATGTATTTTCAGAATTGAAAGGTTACATTAACAAAATTTACAACTTTTCTTTCATTTGTATTTTCATCTTACTCTATAGAATTAAATTTATCTTGCTCGCTCTATCATGCTGGTCTTAGTTACCCTGAAAGAAGACAAGCCCATAGAGATTTTGTTAATGATAAAGTTCAAGTAAATTGAATATCTATAAATGAAAGCAATTCCATTAACTAGTTGAAAACAATTTTCTACTGTAGGCTATTGTTGCCACTGTAGCCTTTGGAATGGGTATTGATAAACCCGATGTAAGAAATATTATTCATTATGGAGGTAAGGATATCAATTTGAAAGTTTGAAAATTTTTTCTTCTTTCTCAATCAAAATATTTCTCACGATAGCTCCGAAAGATATTGAATCTTATTATCAAGAAATTGGTAGAGCGGGTCGCGATGGCTTACAAAGTAAATGCCGAGTGTTTTATGCAAGAAAAGATTTTAATACTAGCAGGTTATATTAATATAAAGTGTTGCTAAAAAAGCCTATTCAAGGTTCTCTTAAATTATTGTTTATTTACCTTTTTTATGTAGATACTTTCTAAAAGATCTTACCAATCCAACTTTTAAAGCTCATAAAGTGAAAATGTTAAAAACTATTGAACGTTATTTATCAACAACATCTTGCCGTAGGAAACAGCTTTTATTACATTTTACTGAAAATGTAAAAACGTCAAAACTCAATTCACAGCTTTGTTGCGATAATTGTTTAAGAAAGTTAATATATTAATCTATCTTTTTTATAGAATTATGTTTCATATATACATATTTTTTATATAGAATTAAGGGAAAAGAGTCGGGAAATGAGGACAGTATAGACAAAGGAAAGTCGGATTATGGTAAAGAAGCTAAACAATTACTTGAGGCAATTAAAGTATATGATAATCGATTAAAAGGATTATTTAAGTATTTAATTGAAATTTGTCCGTTATTTGGGTTAGGCTACTGGTGAGAGTTTCGGTTTAGGAATTCCAATTTTACTACTTAGGGGTTCTTTTAGTAAAAGATTACCTGTTCAATATCATAAACACGAACTACACGGCTGCGGAAAGTATGCACAATGAAATTATTAATATTATATATATTTTAATTATTTTGCCCTCTTACAGAAAAATATCTGAAAAGTGGTGGAGAGCCTTTGGCTATTTATTAACAGACAACGGATTTTTAAATGAGATTCTAGTAGCCAGTAGTTTTGGTGGTACATTTGAAGTAAGTAATCGGGGATCCATATGGTTGGACAAGGTTGCAAAAGATCCTAATCCTTCCCTACTTCTCGAAACGTCGGCGGAGTTACTATCGCTTGAGAAGGAGAGACATGAATCTGTTACTCTTACCTACGAAAGCCGGTTAGGCAAAATTGCTGGAATTGATCTATCTTTATACACATTAATATTTCCTTTTGGAATTTTCAGTATTCTACCCCTGATACCAAATGTAAAGAGTTCAACTTCCGGGGTTGGAAGTAAAGTGATTGATGAGAAAGAGGAAAAAATTAGGGTAAGAATCATCTTTCGCTCTTAATGAGGAGAAACATAATTAACTTCCGTTCGTTCTTTCTCACAGGTAGAATTATATGGCTCCTTATTGAAATTACGTGGTAACATTGCCTCTGAAATGGACGTCCCTCCTTATAGAATATGCTCTAATAAATGTTTAATGAGCCTCTCAAAAATACGGTATAATACTAGGAAATATAATTTAAAAACTACGAATATATAATAAGAACTCTTTTTCTAGGCCAACAGAGTCTTGGTATTTGGTGTACGTTGAAGAGCTATCGGAACAGGTTGCCAACTTACACGGTAACAAGTTTCTAATACATATTCAAGAGTTTGCAACGGAAAGGTCATTAACTACGAATATCGTAAGTTGTTCGAAAGACCATTGTACAGATAAAATTGACGAAGTGAGTTCCAATTACTGAATAACTAAACAATTAAGGAATGATGTTTAAATAAAAACTTTATAGGGAAAAACTCACCAAATAATGGCAATGTTAAGTGAAACAGAAAGAGCAAGTTACGAATTGTTTCAAATTGAGAAAACATCGCTAGAAGCTATTTGTAGATTACGAAATTTAAAAGAGGAAACAATAAGCAAGCATCTTAGTTCTGCTATAAAAATTGGGTTACCAATAGATATGGATAGGTTACAAGTAGGACAAAGTATCATTGATACAATTACGGATGTAATCCGAAAACCACCCATAAATTCTGGTAATTGTCAATACATTTCAATTTTTTCATCTGTAAATATTGAATTAATATTTCTTGTTTCTTAAAAAAAAACAAGATATATCTCGTATTGGTCTCATAAAACAAGAACTACCGGAAAGTATCACCTACTCTCAAATTCAGCTGACTATTGCTATGCTACAGAATAAATTTGAGCAAGAGGTAGGCCGGGAAACGAGACAATTTAATTACTTTTACGTTGATGTTTATTTATATCATCGAAGAATCTTTGGTACAAAAGTAGAATAAAAAACAAATGCTAATTTTCTTTTTCATATTTAGCATCCTGCCCGTTCAAATCTATCTCAATGTAGTTCGTCTAATTCAACGAACAATCCGACAAAGCGAAAGATACCACATTGGATGATGAAAGCGTCTAAATCTTCTTTTAGTCCGAAAAAATCCAAAAAACCTGGATTCTAAATCTATCCTAATGTTATTGGTTTTTAAAGGAGAGCTTGAGCTCTTAATGATAACTCTTGTTGACATGTATCCGATAGATTATCTAATAAAATTTGACATTCCAAGGAGACTTTTCTGTCATTTTGAACACGATCTACAACATGCCCATAACAACATGACAATCTTTTACAAAACTCTGCTGCGATTGGCTTCGTTATCCTTTCAATGTCCTCCAATGTCTCCTCCATTTGCAATAAGCATTTAGTTATATTTTTGTGAAAATTCTCCTGATCGTTTGGAATAATCACCTCTTTAGTATGAATTTGGTTAGCGCTCTTTTCTAAACATTCTTCCATTGTATTTAACTGATCCGTAGCCTTTGTTATTAAATTATCAACAGTAGCTAGACTTTTTAACTGAGATTGAACAGATTTCTGAACGAGATTGTATGATTTCAAATTTTCAACTTCCGTTCTTAATTGATATAGTCTTTCGTTCTTTTCCTCTACCATTAAAAATAAAGTGTCTAATTGAGCCATAGCCTGCCTTTCCTGACTTTCGAACGAACATTTACATTTTTCTAATAAATAAACAATTTGAAGATAGCGATGATAGATAAGATCGAGTTCTATTTGAGAGACTTCATCCTGATTTTTCGACTGGTCTGATATTGAATGTATTTTACTTAATTCCGAAACGTCAAAATTACAATCGAGAATTGCGCTTGTATCTGATATATTAAATTGCGCACTCGACGTATTAGGGGTCGAAGTTCCAACGCGTTTTGATGGTATCCTTTCAGAGGAAACTATAACAGGATTCTTTGTTGATCGTGGCATTTCCGTTAGGCTGGCTGATTTCGGTTTACTTCTCAGCGAAGATATTGTATTATTCGCAACTCTTTCAGTACCGACTAAAGGTGTTCGATAGCGAGAGGATACAACCTTTCCTTTTTTCTTAATGGCCTTGGATTTATCCTCACTCTCGGAACGTTGTAAACGTTGCGGTGTACTCCTTTGAATAGGACTACTAAATTTTTTAGCCATAATTGGCGTTGACTTTTGTCTTGTGCCTACTTTCTTCCGAGAATCTGTACTAGGCGTACTAGATTTTATTTTGGGTTTAGTAGCCAGTTTTTCATTAACTATAACAGGTGCAGTTCTATTTGCTTCCATGGAAGCATCGCTGGCATGCAGCTCTTCTATAACGCTAAATAGATTTGTTTCTGTTTTGCATCCATTTGCAATAACCTTAACGGAGCTAGATGATTCGCGAACAACTAATGCTTTTGTATTGGTGTCATTTTCACCAGTTTCGTGAACTTCGACGTCGATTAGAATGCTTGTTGAATCGTTTGCGGTTTTTACCGCTTGTTGAATTTCATTAGTTTCGGTTAAGGTTTTAACGGCTGAACGGGGTAAATGGCATACAGCAACGGGTTTCACTTTACCGTTTTCTTCGTCGCTTAGGTCGAGATCGGTAAGAATTTCCGGCTTTGGAGACAACGGTGTGCGGTCAATACAACGTTCGCTTGGTAGAGAATCCTCTTCAAGTTCGGATTTCCTAATTGATTCATCCACCACCAAATTTCCTTGTGGAAGTGCTCCTTTCCTCCTAGATCTAGGAGTAAGCTTTTCCATAAGATATAAAAATTTTAGTCAAGCTTGGGCGCAAAACTAAATAACAAAAAAATAACTTCCGGTAAAACGTTAATGGGGAGAGAAACAAAACTGGTGAACTTTAGCGCCAAATTTAGACCAGATTCGATTTTCTTGTTTACAAAATGTAACCTAGAAAAACATAAAGAGTACTAGATAGGCCCCACGAACAGCATGTCTCTGATTCTCTAATTAATACAAAGATGATTAGCCAGCCACCCTTCCTATAATCTAAACTACGTATTAATAAGCAATATTTGGGTTGGTATAGATAAGAGGCACAAAAAGAGCGTTGTTTTATCTCAATACCTATATTCAAGGCCAAATTGTGTACGATTGGAGCTTGAGTAGACTAACACTAATCAATCTCAAAACGCTACTTAGTCTATTATAGCAGGCCTCAACATTAGGTCATTAATATTCATGATTGTTAGCGAAAGGTGGCTCTGCCTGCTCTTGCTGACGTTTTTTCTCTATACTATAACTTCCCGGCGCTCTCTTTGCTACTATGCATAATATTTTACCCGTAAAGTTGCAGAATTCCATAATTACAAACGATTTAATAGGTAAGCATATTCGATAAAGTCGTATCTACAAATATACAGTTAGGAGACAATTAGTTCGACCTTGTAAGAGTTTTTTACCATGTTTATTGTGAGTATTTATAAATATTCTAAGTACAAGACGAGTGAAATAGAATAGAACGGTTTGGCATATTCTCAACAACCAGTTTATTCTAAGTAAATGACTCAATCTGCTGGCTAATTTTTTTGTAATATCCATATAAACGTATCTGTACATATAGCATATATCTACATAGCTCTATAAATACATATGTCTACTAAGCAATGTACGTATTAAACACATAATTCTACGTAGTCATCCAGTAGCTACCACCTCTTTGATATATTCTCTATTATTCTTCTATATGACCTAAATAAAATTGTTTATTCTTTTTGATTTCTACGATATATTTATAACAACAATTTCGTCTCTAAACTATCATTTCAACTAGTAAGAATAATAATATCTTGTTTATTCATATAAATATTGTAATAATTTATTGATTTTAACGCAGAAAACAATTTATTTAAACAATTAATTTTAGCCTTTCATTTTTGGTATATTTGTATTAATTATGTCTTTCTCTATCTATCTATCTCTCTCTCTCTCTCTCTCTCTGTCTATCTAACTATATCTTTATCTTTTCCTCTTCTATTCATTTTCCTTTATGGTTTACCTACGGCGAATTTAATTAATTAATCCGATACTTACCTTTATCAACTTAGTATGAGTGTATTGGAAGTCATTTCGTGTTCTTTTTCCTACTCCTCCTACACTCCTGTTATTCTTAGCCTCTTCCACCTTATTTTTATAGTTTTTCTACTCTTTTAATTCTTATATATATATATATATATATAAGTATAATTGTAGTTATAGCTATAGCTATTTTTGGGCTATAATAATGGCATTTTGCCAATTTCAGAACAGGCTTGGGATCTTGAATTAATTGTGTTATGAGCGGTAACGATAGTTGGTGGCACGAAAAAACAACGGGAACCTCCCCGACTTGGAAAGATAAGATTAAAAAAGAGATTAAGGAGGATACCGACGATGAAGATAACAAAAATGTAGCCGAGAAACGAATGAAAAGTGAATCGTCGAACTTTGGAGCTAGAAGTAGGGAAGAAGAATTATGTCTCGTTTGCGGGGACCGAGCCTCAGGTTATCATTATAACGCCTTATCGTGTGAAGGATGTAAAGGTTTTTTCAGAAGATCAATTACAAGAGACGCTAAGTATAAATGTAAAAATGGCGGCAATTGTGAAATGGACATGTGGATGAGGAGACGCTGTCAATCGTGTCGTTTGCGTAGGTGTAAAGAGGTAGGCATGAAAGAAGAGTGTCTTCTGTCTGATGAACAATGCAAAGCTCGTGATGCTCGAAGGAAAGACAAACGACGCAAGGGTTCGATAACTAGTTCCGTAGAGCAATTTAGTCCTGACTCTAATTCAATCGTGTCGGATGAAAATTATCAAAGCCCTATCTCCAATCCAATGACTCACGTCAGGAAAGAATGTCGCCAACTAATAGAGGAACTAGTCTTTTTTCAGGATAGATTTGAACTACCGACCAAGGATGATATCGAAAAAATTTCTAGAGTAAGGGTTAGTGATCAAGGCAGGCCAAAAGATATGTCAGATGCTCTATTTAAAAATATGGCCGAAATGACCATACTAACTACTCATTTAATTGTTGATTTTGCTAAACATCTACCTGGCTTCCTGGATCTGAACAGAGATGATCAAATTACTCTCTTGAAAGGTTCCGCTTGTGAGGTAATGATGTTAAGAACTGCTAGAAGATATGATACAGAAACAAATACAGTGGTCTTTGCCGACGGTATAGCTCATACTCAACAGAGTATGTCAATGGCAGGTCTTCATTCCTTTGTTTCGAGTATGTTTGAATTTTGTGGTGGTATGGGACAATTACGGGTAGATAATGCAGAATACGCTCTGGTTACAGCCATTAGTATCTTTACAGGTATGTTATTTTAAGAATATTGATATTTAACCTGTAACTGTAGCTCTCTTTTCTATTCTTTTTTTAGATCGTCCTGGCTTAAAATTTCCAAAAGCTGTTATTGAACTCCAGGAAAAATATGCTGAGGCCCTGCAGGAATATGATAGATTCAGAAGATCTAAAAAATCGTATTTTTTTGCTAAATTGATTATGCAATTATGTAGATTGCGTGAATTAGCAGCCGAACATTCTCAAGTCATGTTTTCGCTCAAGGTGGAAAAGGGATCACTCCCACCTCTACTAGAAGAATATTTTGACGTAACCGATTCAACGGAAAATCGCCAAAAAGATTCTTCATCTCCAACATGTAGTAATGCCAACAACAACCTACAAAGTTTGTAATACTGGTTACTTTTTTTTTTCATATTGTTTGGTGGGAGAAAAGATTAGATGGTATCTAAATTAAAAATATGACTAATTGTTTGAAAGAAGAAGAAGAAGAAGAAGAAGAAGAAAAAGAGAAACAAACAAGTGATCGAAATTCCTCTTTTTTTCTTTTTTTTTGTTTTCAAATGTTACACAATATTGTCATTTATACGTTTTTTTGTACCTGTTAAAAAATTCGCTCAAATTCAGGAAAAAGTGAGAATTATTAAAATTATGAAATAGAGAAATAACTTAATTATATATATATATATAAATAATAGAACTTTTTTTCAACTTTTTTTCACCTTTACCAATTTTGTTTGTTTACTTTGTTTTTCTCTCTTCCTTTCTTTCTTTTTATATATTGCTGTACAGGCCTAAATCATATTAACATATAAGAAGAAGGAGAGGAAGAAAAACAAAATAACACAAAGTTATTTCATTTACTTAAGTGTATTTGTCAGGTTTTCTTTTTTTTTATATCGTTTATCATACAACATTTATAAAAAAAAGAAAAACAAATTAAAATCTGTATTTTGGAAATATTTTTTTACATATTTTTTTATATTATTGTGATAATAATAATATTAATTAATTATTTACCAATTTTACTTATCTCTTATGTTATTTTTATGAACGAGAAAAGGGACAAAGAACTTTTTTTTTTTATTAAAAAAAAAGTTTTTTCTTTTTTAAAAAAATAAAAAAAAAGTAAAGGATTGTTTCTTAGTTTTCTCCATAACGTAAACAAAACGAATGTTTTTTTTTTCTTTTTCTTGAAATACTACAAATTGACCTCCATAAAGGTAATTTCAAATTTATTAACGTAATATTCTACTTGCTATAATTCCACCTTTAGATGCTTAACGAACGATACATTTTTTTTCAATTAGTATACATAAACTATGATAAACATTATTAAGAAATTCCCTGGAGTTGCAGCATAAGCCAATTTCTCTATTTAGGTATCTATTGGCTTTTGAAATTCTTTCATTTCTTCCTCATTCCTACCTAATTCCCTAGCTTTTGCTTTCATCTTTTCTTCTTTTGTTAAAGTTCTTGTCCATCCCTCAACCTCTTCTATCGTCTGAGGAAGTGGTCTGTTTAGAGTTTCAGGTAAGAATAGCGTTAAAACAGCTGCTACTAGGGACATGCCGCCAAAGATAACTCCTGGTAGCCATGGTATAACTTTAACCTAGATAAAAGAAGAAGAAACAGTCAATACAAGTAGAATTTTTAATTAATTTGAAAGAGCTTACAACGTAGGAAGAAAATGGAGCTACAATATTCCCTGCTCTACCGCCTACGGAGGCAATACCTATTCCCTGACTTCGAAGTGTAGTAGGAACTATTTCCGGTGTCCAAAGGAATATACAGCCGAAAGATCCTGTTATTCCAAACTTTCCTATCATGGACAGAACAGTCTCAGCTCTACCTCCGGGTAGGAATATGGCAATGAGAAGAGACATTCCAGCTATTGTGTGAAATATACAAATTGGCCAGCGTCGTCCGAAGCTTTTGCAGTAAGTGAACACATTTACAACAGGACCGATATAACAATTATAAAGATACATACTATTGAAGGGCAAATGCCGATACTATATAAGCAGGTATCTCAACCAAACCGGAGAGGAAAAAATTCAGGTAAGGATCACCGGCCAAGCTCGAAGTACTTAACGATAATCCGTAATAAACCAAAGAATTTACGCACCATATATAACACATGATAAGACAGTTTAATCTCAATTTGCTAGATTTAAATAAATCCAATATTGTATAGTTTGAAGAATCATCACCACCCTTAATGAGAGCCTCATTTCCTTTACCCTTAATTATTATGTAATTTATTGTCAATTAGTCTCTGGAGATTTATGAAAAATTCACAAACCTCATAAGATTTCCTAACGTTTTGCAGATCTTCCGGCAATGCTATCCTATTATATTTTTCAACCTTGTTGACGTAATTTTGAATTTGCTCGTACCTCTTCTTCGCAACTAACCAAGGCAAACTACTCGGTAGGAACCTATACGAGGAGAGAATGTACCATATATGTTTACAGTACATAATCTAACTAACCAAAATAATGGAAGAGCAACGCATAACGGCACACTAATGATGTACATGAAATTTTTCCAATTTCTTTCTGAATATCCAATTAAAGATAGAACACATATGGCAATGGCCCAAAAAATCTGTAATATAAATAATATTTACATTACCCGTTTATACCTGTATGGGACAAAAAAATGAAATCTTTACCTGCATAAAGAGAGCTGGTATGGTCCTTTTTGAGGCTGGAAATATTTCGCAAAGATAAACGAACCCGGCAACTACCATTCCCTATAGATTGTTTTTAATGATTATGAAGCAGTTGCACTTGATATGTTTATAGTTTTACTTGTTGGACGACTCCAATAAAGAATCTTACAACTGCGAAAGAGTAATAGTTGGGCATAAATGTTACAAGGCATCCAAGTACCGATTCAGCTAACATGGATGAAAGAAAGACGACTTTCCTCCCAAATCTAAGTAGTTTAAATAATAATATTGTTTATTCATTCGCTCTCTGTTTGTTGTTAATAACCTATCGCTGAGACTCGAGCAGAGCATCGCTCCAACAATTACGCCAACCACTAATATAGTTTGTGACAATTCAACCAAATAGGCCTTATCACAGGTTAAATCCCACTGTAAACGAAAGATTTATATTAAGGTTTTTAACTTTTAGGTCAATTTTTTTCCTGACCTCATTTACAATAGAAAAAACTGATCCGCTGAAAGATGTTCCATTAGGGCACTTTTCAGTTTTATTGGTCAAACTATTAATAAAGTTAAAAGCAATCGAAATGATTAAATAAGGATTGATAAATGTAAAAACTCCTACTCTGCGTTACTATAATTCGTATAGACTGAACACTTGTCCAATCCATTACCATCTTCGGATATGGGTATACTTTCATTGGGAAGTGTATTAGGTGGTAATTTACATCTATAACTTGGTTCCATACCTGAGAAATATAATAAACTTGAAAAATATATATGTATATATACTCTATATAAACAAAATATAAGTAATATATATATATTTTACAAAAAAACAACATTCTAAATCGTTTGTATGAATACTTAAATTACAAAATTAGGCCTATGAACGAAAGAAAGGGGAGGGGGGGAGAGGGGAAGAGAAAAAGAAAAGAAAAAGAGACGGGGGGTGGGGAGTGTTAGGTGAAATGAGGTAAGGTGAGTGTCTCTATGTGCATGTATGGTTGAAAAGGAGGTGAGATTGAATAGAATAGGATTAGGTTTTTTTTATTATATATGAAAATATGAAAGCTATTGAGAAATTATAATTATAGAGAGATGAGTATATGTAATTTATTGATAATATATCCTATTGTATGAAAGATTTAAGAGAGAAATTACTTAGTAATTATAACTAAAAGTTAATGAAATCTACTTGTATCTTCCCCATTAAATATTTTTTTTTTCTGCACGCAAAAGTATAAGTAAAGAAGCATAGATAACAATACAAATGATGGAATTCCATATTATAATCGAGACCACATAGCATGTTAAACTTTGGTTGAAGAAAAAACAACATCTAGTGAATATATATAAAAAAGCAATCAGTCTAGGGAAACTTATCTAAGGAATGGAGAAGAATAAGAAATAGAAGATAGAGAGAAAATCGTGAATAGATTAAACGAATAAAAGAAATAATATATTTTTACTAATTATTAACTCCTTTATCAAAATATATTTTGACGTTTCATATAAAAAGAATATCTTGAATTTGTATAGCGGTAAAATGGATGCTTATAATATAACTATCTGGGATAAAGAGACCTCTTTAAACGCATGAACGAAAAAAAACTCAATATACGTTGCGTTAGTCTGACGATTTCCACAAACACTTGAATTGTAGTTGATTTCTATAGCTATTATCGAATCATACTTCATTGTCGCTTAGACCTAGCGCAATTCTTTCATGCAAATAGGGAAATTTTACTCTATTTCTCTCTTTTTCCGTTCTTGCCGAATATTTTATATATATATATATATAAATTTGAGACACTTTATATAAAAAACGTTAAAGTCTCCTTAATTTGCATAAAATTTTGAACATAGTTTTATAGAAGAGAACTTTTTCGATTAGTACTTTTAAGACGAATTTTACTACTTATCGTATATATATATATATATCTTTAAAATGTCTTATTGTTATAGAAGAGAAAAGAAGACATTGGGGTACAAAATGTACAACAAATATATGAATAGATGAATATAAAGAAAGTTTTGCTTTTTTCAACTTACCAATCATTACAATAGCCAACATGTGCCATGAAGATGGGAATGTACTAATAATGGCTGATGTAAAATATAGTATTGTTTGAAATCTTCCCCAACTACCGAGAGATGATAGAGTCTTTTCCACGTCCATGATTTTTATGAAAATCTTTTTTTTTTTTGACAGATATGCCTATATCCAGTAAAACCAACTTGCGCCGACTGGCGATAAAATGCATAGAACTTTTTTCTCTGTTTATTTATTCAAGTTCTAAGTAGAATTTTCAATAAAAAATTTTTATTCGAGTTCACCTTGTTATTGTAATTTATCCTAATAGAATGTTTCACTTTCTCTTTATGCAAAGTATTTCTTCTTTTATCCATTATTATTATAAATTGAATTTTTGCGCCAAAACTCTATGGTAAAAGATTACTTTAGAGCGATATTTTGACAAAGAATTTATTTCTTAAATGTGTCGAAAGCTAACTTTGATCGATAAAAGGTGTATTTGTAAATATTTAATCGAAATTTTTAGTTTAATGATCGTGATAACATTAGCCAAGTCAAGTTTAGTCAACAAAAGGGCAATTTAAATTTAGAATATATAATATAGATCAACAAAGCCTCTTATAAAAATTACATATATATTTATAAGCGTAAAAATAGATTGAACTATTCAAATAAATATTCTATATCGAGATCGATTATACAATTCGATACGATATTTTTTAGTGGAACGTTTCGATAAAATCGGAACATCGTACCAATCTCGCCAGACTCGAACGTGAAAACGGCAGCCATCTTTGTATGGCTTTCACATTCTAAAACAAGCCAAAATTCTGCCGGTAAAACATGTCATGTGTCCACTTCAGATTGAAAAGTCAAAAAGAATTTGACTCTATATCTTTTGAAGGATCTCATATTTCGTTAGGTGAACTCAAAAAGCTGGTAGCTGCTAAAATCAAGTTGGCGAATAACCCTGAATTGGAGGTTGTCAGTTCGTCAAACCCTTCCGAAGGTATTAATAAAATTCCAATTAAATTTTAATTACATCAACAGGTTAACCTTAATAAGAGCATATTCTGTTTTAACTCGTTATATAAAAGATATTCGACAAATTCTGTAAAACTCGCACGGTCAATATTATATATTGCATAGTCTTTTATGTCTAGCAACGCTAGTGCTAAGAGTCGCTTAAGGGTTTTGCGTTACGTTCAATTTGTCAATATGCTGTTATCAGTTCATTTATGGAAAAAATGCAGTGTTTTGTATAAATAAAGACATACATATGTATATATAAATATCGCTCAAAATAGAGATATTTATATATATATATATATATGTATACCTATGTAAAGAATATATGTTTTGTAAATAAACATATATATTCGACGTATATTGCTATTACACTTATCAGATGCGTACATATATATTTTTCAAAATGTCTGTTATTACGCAACTTCATTTTTGTGACGTACAATTGTGCTATTCATTTCAACTTGGTTTTAAATTATATTTAACCATGTGCTTCATTAAAGAATCCAAAAATAAATATTTGAATTGAATGAAATACGGAACATTTTTTTTACGCAAACAGTTTACACAAACGATGATGAACAAATACCAAGAAATTCTTCGGTCGTAATCTCCAGGAAACCAATTTTTTCTGCTTCTTCAATTAAAGCAAAGTAAGTTTAATTAAAAAGTTAAGAGGATACAAGGCTCTAATTTGTCCCCTTTATGGAAAACAACTCTTAGCTTTGTTTTTGATCAAATGCGAGAGGACGTTCTATCTGGCGTTCACATTCTAAATGACGTTTTAATTAAACTATCTTCTTTCAAACAGGGAACCGACGATAATTGTGAGTATACTTTCATTATTTTCTTTTCTTCAAATGAATACAGATTTATGTCGAGTTATTTTAAAAACGTAAAACTTAATGTATGTGATGTTCATTGGAGAATGGAGGAAAGAAGAAACACTTCTAGAAATGTTTTATCACACTTGAATTTATGAACTGAATATGAACATTTTCCAAGGGATACAGTTTGCCTAGGGAAAAAAAAGACTATACGTTTCTTGTGAACTTTTTTACTGACTCTTATGTTGAAAAAAAAAATTGAAAAAACTCTGTGTGATGTTTCGTCACGTACATTTGTAATATACATATATGTATATATATATATATATATATATATATCTATATATGTATTGAAATTTTAAAAGGCCGAATAAAACCCAGGTGGTGGCATAATTTATGCCTTAATTAACCGCCAAACATCTTCAGGCCTATAAAAGTAAGTAAGTCGGTGGAAATAAGTTTGGAAATGATGACTGGCCTGGACTATCAAATAACGTTTTAAAGTTTTGACAAAACTTAATTCCGTGAATTCTTCGAAAACATTTCCTCTAAGAAGAGTAGCCTTTTAGAGCTCTATTTTCAATAATCAAATGCAGTAGATTTGGATTATCTCTTTAACCCTACATTTCTTCAGAAGCGTTTGATCTTCTAAACGTTTCTACTTATACCCTCAAAGATGAACTAATTTCTCATGCAACGTGAACTAACATGATTACAATCAGTTTTGGACCAAAGAACTTTAGTTTAAGTTAATTCACAACATTTAAGCAGGAAATATGCCATATTTTTTACTGTTATCAATGGGTTGATCTCATAATTTCATAAATCTGTCTTATTAAAAATATATTAATAATTATATTTACAATAATTACTTTGAGATGGAACCACAGGTTGTAGGAATATGCTTTCAAAGCTATCACAATAATTCGAAAATGATAGTTAAAGAATCAGGTTTCAACATGCGTATAAATCAATTAAAATGTACGCTCTTCATTCGAATTAGGGTAATAGTAACAATGGAGATACAGCTACCATCCATATGGTTCCATCTCAGTCTTTTAGTGATGTAAATATATTACTATTGCACTTTTACAATTTATTCAAAACAGGGAGATGGTATACGTAAAGAAGATTTAAAAAAGGTAATAATGAATATATAGATTTTATTCTTTTTAGCATATCCTATAAAATCAAAATTATCCTTAGACGCTTAACTTAGCTGAAGCAAACGCCTCTGAAGAATCGAAAATATGGGCCGCTATACAACAATCGACTTCCATGTACAATCCATCCGAATACAGCAGAACGAAAAAGCCTTATGATTCCTATGTTTGTCATAATTGTAATAAACGAGGTCATTACAAATGGCAATGTGTGGCTGCAAGAAGGGAGAACACTTCTTCTAATGAGGCACCTTCAAGAATAAAAAGACCTACGGGTATACCTATGAGTTTTATGAAACCTGTGGATGTTGATAGCAAAAATCTACCGCCTGGAGCTATGGTTACAGACAAGGGGAATATTGTTGTTAATAAACTAGATGCGTAAGTATTTACTTATGTTAAAGAGTTCATTAGATAAGTTACTTATTGATTATTATTTCAGTGTTGCTTACGCGACGGGCAAGAAAGAAAAACCACCATTCTTCCCAGGAAATGAATCGGAGGTGGAACCAGTTATCGAACAAGAAATTCCTGCTGAGTTGCAATGTTTTCTTTGCAATGATTTAATGAAGGATGCTGTTATAACTGTGTGTTGCCACAAAAGCTTCTGTGATGAATGTATTCGAAATAGATTACTTGAAACCGAGACACACGAATGTCCTAATTGCAAAAAGACTAAAATATCTCCAACAGATGGTCTAGTTCCCAATGAAAACATTCGAAAAGTCGTTGAGAATTTCAGAAGCAAGAACGGTTACTTGGAAAAGAAAGATGAACTCCCCCCAGGTTTTACACTTCCTAACAAACCAGTTATCAAACTTCTGCAGAAAAATGCAAAGAATAGTCCAAACCAGTCACCCAATTCCGTAGGGACACCTCCTGAGGGAGATAGTCCAAGAGAAGACGTTAGTTCCACTACTCAAGAAACCCCAGTATCTACTGTAGTAAACACAATATCGACAAATACTTCAGTAGTCGTACCTACTCCGGGTAAGTTATCAAAGCATTCATCTGTGATAGTCCTTACCTTTGTTAAAAAAAATAAACTAAAAGTAGTAACCAAGAGTTTATTCCATTTATTCCTTTTTTAAATTCCGATGCAATAAGAAGATACAAATACAAAAGTTCTTTCTTAAGTATTCTTATTTATCAGGTATTGTCCCATACTCAACGGTGAATCCTATGTATCGACCCGTGATTAACAACCCATCACCACTCGGAATTCTGAATCTATTTAGAAATTTTATACACACTGGAACTGGCCCCAACTTACTGCCACAACAACCAATAGTGCCACCAAGGCCTATCGGAACACCATGGCCATCAACAGGAACTTTGAGACCTGTAACTCCGCCCCTATCAAAAGAAGAGTTTTATGAAAAACAGCGCTTAATGAAGGAGCGTGAAAAGCGAAAGGAAATTGATAAGAGTGCTGAGTTTGTAAGAGAGTGCGAAATGGCACTTCAGCAGAGAGCCACACAAAATAGAGACTCTTTATCTCCCTCTCCTTTTTCATATAGATCACGTTCTCCAGGAAGGTCTCGATCTCCTAGGAGATCTAGATCGCCTGTTCCGAAAAGCCGATATTTCTCACCTCCTTATTATAAACGTTCACCCTCTAGGTCACGAAGATCTCCAAGGCATTATAGGAAAAGGTCTAGATCCAGATCAAGATCTAGAGGACGACGATCAAGATCAAGATCTTGGTCCAGGTCTAGATCTAGGTCCAGATCGAGAATGGGTAATAAAAAAGACAATTTACAAATGGATCCAAAATTTATGGCTGATTTTATGGAATATCTTAAAAAATCAAGTGATTCCTCTTCCGATAAAAAGAAGAAAAAGAAAAAAAGATCACGCTCAAGAAAATCAGATTCCTCGGAGAGAGGTAAGAATATTAGAAACATATTTTTAATATCCTTTAAAGCTGTAATTAATAACTTTTGATAATAGATGAGAAAAGACGAAAGTCTGTAGAAGATAGGAAAGAACTTGAAAAGGAGGAGAGAAAAGTTGAAAAATCAGAAGAATCTAAAAAAGACCCAAAAGATACTCCTGATCCTCTTCCACTTGAAAAAGACAAAAAGAAGGGTCGCGAAAGAAACGAAAGAAGGGAGGAGAGACGAGACGATAGAAAAGATAAGCGGGAGGAAGACAGAAAGGAGGAAAGAAGGGAAGAGAGGCGAGACGACAGAAGAGACAGGCGAGAGGAAGAGAGAAGGGAGGAGAGGAGAGACGATAGAAGAGACAGGCGAGAGGAAGACAGAAAGGAGGAGAGGAGAGACGATAGAAGAGACAGGCGAGAAGAAGAAAGAAGAGAGGAAAGAAGGGAAGAGAGGTTTGAAGATGAAAGACGTGTTGAGAGGAAGAATGAGCGCAGAGAGGACAGATGGGAGGAAAAACGAGATCGTCGAAGAGAAGAATGGCCCGAAGAAAGAAGGGACGATCGCCGAGATGATCGAAGAGAGGAGAGAAGGGAAGAGAAAAGAGATGAACGTAAAGATAAGCGAGAATCAAAACGTGACGAAAAACGAGACGAAAGAAGAGGGGATAAAAAGGATGATAAAAATCATCTCATTTGTCACGGCAATTACTTTATTTATATTTTTACCACTGTAGGTCTTCTAGGTGTAACAGCTTTTAGATATAACTCTAAATTGAAGAACGAATTACCCATCATTCGATAATTCCTTTAATCACACAACTCATTACTTGTCAATAATATTTAAACGTATTATTATCTTTATTAAATAACCTGAAATTTTACATAGACTCTAAGTTAGATTGAAAGTTTTATGTGCAAGAATAAGTTCATTTGATATATTCTAAAAAAAAACATAGCCTTGTAACATTTATGTAAATTAGACTAAGTAACAATTTAACTAAAAATTTGCCTTTTAAAACAGATGAATCAAAGTTCGTTCCTAATTATGAAGATAGCGACGAGGAAAAGAGGAAAAAACACAAAAAAGCTAAAAAGCATAAAAAACACAAAAAATCCAGCAAGTAATTGAAAAGAAGTTACTGTAAAACTTTATTCAGATTATGTACATAGATATATTGATTTTATCAGTATGTTGTTAATAAATTTTGTTGAAAATCATTATTTTGTCAGGAGATATCATAAATTACTTGATAATTTAGTTCCGAACCGTTTATTATTAAATATTCACCATTTCTGATAACTATTATCTTTTTATTTCCATAATAGTTAATTATGTTTTTCTTGGAAATTGCTTTTTTTGCCATTATTTAACTTTCCATTAAAGGTTCATAAGTAATACAGATTTTGATTAATATTACAAAACTAGTTGTTCACTATTTTTTCATGTAGACTGGTTATGTGTATAAGCAACTTAAGGAAATTATTCCTTGTGTGACCTTGAACTTTGATAGGCAGTCTGCAAGACGGTAAAATAGCATAATCTATCGCTATATTTTATAGATTCTTCAGATAAGAGTTATTCGTAGAAAATACTTTGAACAGTAAAGATGTTCGGAAAAATTACTGAAGTACCGATGGTACTCGCAACCCTGATTTTCTCATACTTTGAAGTTCTTTATAGAATGATTGTCCCAAGGCCAAGGAAGAGTATAGCAGGGCAGGTAGGGCAATTTAAGGGACTATTTAATCTTCTGTTTTTTTTTCTCTCTCTCTCTCTATCTATCTATCTATCTCTATCTTCTCAATATATATATTTACATATGTATATAGACCACAAAATTCAATGTACTAGTAGCTGTTGCTAATTGCTCAGACACAAATTGTATCAAAAATACTAAGTGGGTCAAAGATAAATAAGAGACGAACTAGCATACCTGCCTCTCAAGCTAAATTTGTCTAAAGAGAATTGTTGATGCATTTTTGTAAATAAAAGGAATAATTATTAATTGAATTAATCTTATTTTAGGTTGCCTTGATTACCGGTGCAGGTGGCGGTATTGGTTTCCAAGAATCGTTACAATTTGCTGCAGAAGGGGCTAAAGTGATTCTTGTCGACGTCAATAAGAAACTTTTAAATAAAGTTGTAACGGCAGTCGAAGAAAAAGGCGGAACTGTTTATAGTTATGTATGCGACATTACCAGTAAGTCGGAGGTTGATTTACTATTCGAAAAAATATGGGAAGACGTAGGCCAAGTTGATATACTAGTTAACAATGCCGGAGTTATGCCTGTTAGAAAAATCTCTGATTTAAGCCAGAGAGAAATAGAGCTAACCTTTCACCTTAATATTATCTGTCATTTTTGGGTAAGTAAATATATATTTATGAAAGATACAATGGATTAATAAGACGCTTATATAATCCAATTAGCTTATTCAACACGTTCTCCCCGGTATGAAGAAGAGAAGGAGTGGACATATTGTAGAAATTGCATCCATGGCTGGTGTAGTTGGTAAATCTATGTTAACTGACTACTGGTTGGTTACCTATACGTTATGTTCTTTTATCTAATTTTCTAATATATTTTTAAACAGCTCTTCAAAATTTGCAGTAGTCGGCCTAAGTGAATCACTTAAACACGAACTTCAGTTAGAAAAATTTACCGATATCCACGTGACATGCATATGTCCAATGTTTGTTGATACACACTTGATTTCTAATGTATTGGATCATTCTAATTATAAGTTTGTATACTACTTTTCGTATATTAAACAACATATTTAAATTATTCCTTTTTAGAACCGACGTTCTCTTAACACCTGAACACGTTGCCTCAGTTATAGTTGACGCTACCTTACGTAATAAATTCATGGTATCAATTCCTGGTTATTTGCTAAGCTTAGTATATTTCTTAAAATTGTATGTATTTTACTATTTCACTAAATTCTTATTAATTTAATAATTAAAACTATTTTTAGATACATTCCAATGAGAGCTCTAATTAAATTGGACGAATTTATGAGAGAAGGTTTCTTCCCGAAGACGAAAGCCGAATGATTTGCCTGTTTAATGAAAGAATTTGAATATTTATCCTAATACCTTAATGTAGAGAAGAAGAAGAAAAAGAAGAAGAAGAAGAAGAAGAAGAAATTATATATCTTTCGCTTTATTTTTTTTATACACATCTTCTTTTCTTAATACAAAATAGTAGAAGTTTAACAAGATGAACTTTGTATTGAATTTTCACTTTTAAACTTGAAAAGTTTTATTAAAAGCCGAAGAAGCCTATAATGTAATTTTAAACTCTAGATAATATCTACAATAGGAATTAATGATAAAAGTTTAGATGTCCTAATGTCTATTAAGACTATAAGGTCTGTTCTTTAGTGATTGGCTATAGATTGATACCAATATCGCGTCCTTTATCTATTCCTTTAATTATTATTATTATTATTATTATTATGATTATTATTATTAGAATATCTCTATTAAAAGTTTATTCTGAATGAAGATATTCTCTTAGAACATTTTAAACGTTCTCAGAATGCGCATCTATTTATCGACGAAAAGTTCGCTTTTTTAGCAAAACATTCTGTATTGGACTTTCTATAAAAAGAATAACGCTCTATTATAAATTCAAATAAATGGCTGACAACTCGCAATTTGATAACGAAAATGATGTCCAAACATTCTCAGAGATCACTAATGTCTCTAAAGAGGAGGCTTCTAGACTTTTAGAAGCATACGGCGGTGACCTACAGGTTTGTTTGAATACAATATATTGTTGAGCGATAATACGTTCTCTAATGACTCAACGATTATATATTCTCATATTTTTAGGCTGCTCTCGATGGATTTTGTAATATGGAAGAAGATGAATCAGGAGAAGAATTTAGAAATATTGCAAGTGCAGGAAATGATCCACCTGTTCGAATAGAGCCAGTAAAAGAGCCGGAAAAAATTAAAAATCCACCTAAGCCAACTAGGTATAATTAATAACTTAGCCATACATAATCAAATTATAGTAAATTAATTCTTTCAAAGCCGTTTTGGATCTATTTCTGCTCTAAGAAATCAAGAGGCTAATTCTTCCGATAGCGGTGAAGAAGAAGGAGAGGCTTATTATGCCGGAGGTACACTTTTCCAATTAGGGCTCTTCAATCAATAAAAATAGCTTGTTTCAGGCTCAGAGAGAGGGACTGGACAACAAGTACTTGGTCCACCTAAAAAAAAAGACTTGGTTAAGAATATCTTCAAAAGTGCTCGAGAACACGGCGCGGTCGAAGTTACTGATAGTGCACCTACGGCCAGTGGCTCGTCTGCCTTTCATGGAACAGGCTACAGGTGATAATAGTCTTTATATTCTATTTCTATAGCCTGATAGAAAAAACTATCTTATCAGGTTAGGTCAGTCGGAAACTGAGCAGTCGGAAGTTGTTCGAGGGCGTAGAATGAAAAAGAACATGAAAGTTATATTGAAAATGTACAAAAATGGATTTATAGTTGGAGATGATGACGAATTGAGGCCATTTACCAATCCTGAGAACGCAAAATTTCTACGTGATATATCCAGTGGACATATCCCTCAAGAATTAATAAACAAAGCAGAAGGTGGCGAAGTTTTCCTCGATATGGAAGATCACAGAGAAGAAGAATACGTTTCCAAAAAGAAAACAGTGTTTGTATAATTCATTAAGAGAATATTTTTTTTTTAAATTCGCTCTTTCTTAATTCTGCTCTTCAACCAACAGTAAAGCATTTACTGGTTATGGTCAAGCTTTAGGAGGTGAAGTGTCTGCACCCGAAGCTGCTTCTAGTAATATAGGTTCATCCGTCGATTCAGTCAGAAAGCCCGAAGTAGATCCGTCAAAGCCAACGACTAATATTCAAATACGTCTAGCAAATGGTTCACGACTGATTGCTAAACTAAATACCAGTCATACAGTCGGGGATTTAAAAGATTTCGTTCGATCTGAAAGACAGGAATATGCAGAAGCAAATTTCGTTCTAATGACAACTTTTCCGAACAAAGTCTACTCAGAGGAAGATAAGACTCTTGAAGAAGCTGGCCTTCTTGGGTCGGCAATGACTCAAAGGCTTCAGTAAAATCGATGAGAATGCTTGAATATGGAACTCTACGATATTTTCTCGACTATTCTAAATTACATTTGTGTTTCATTTTACTCCTTAAGTGTGCAAGAAGTATATTTTTCATTACAATTTCGAGTAGAATAAACAAAATATTCCTATAAAAATCAACCCTTTTTTTTCTAATCCAAACTTTAGAAATCTATAAGTTTTCAAATATTTGGTAAAATAGGAATTGGCTCTGAATAAACTGGTAGAAAATAGCAGACAACGATCAAATGTTGACAAGAAAAATTTCGAAATCGACATTAGACAATAAATATAAAAGGTGATAAAATGAATGTCGTTGAAAAATGCCAAAAAATTTTGAGATTATTTTTATTTGGAGCAAAAGACGCCTTACAAGGTTTACTAAAACATAATATTTATGTGTGTTGGGGGATTTAAGTAGGTCATTGTTAATAGTACAAATTATTTTTCAATAGGCACGGTGGTAATATTAAAATTAGATGAAACGAATAAATTAAAGAATACAGAAAAACATCAGATTCGGACAGGATCTGTTTTAGAGCAAAGACGGAGGGAAAGATTGCAAGAATCTGGCATTGTACAAACGCACAAGTAAATTATAAATATAAACACTATTACATAATAACACTAACATTCATCTTACTTATGTTATAGTGAAACTCCAAAAATATGGAGAAGGGTCGTAGACTGTTGTATATGGAATGGCGGAATATTCTTAGTGAGTACTAAAAATAAAGTTTTCTAAATTTGGAAAAAATAGAACGAAAATGTTTCATGTTAACATTTTATCTTTTATTTTTTTTTAAATAGGTTAGTTTATTAGCTTTCGATTACCTGCTACTGCCAAATCTCCAATCTTTAACTTCCCTGGTTTTTGGTAAAATTACTAATTACAAGATTTCTACGAAAAACATTTAATTCATTGATAATTTTTATTTTCTAGGCAATTTAAACCGTGATAATTTCTTTTGGTCTTTTCTAACTAACTTCTTGTCGTGGTCCATAAGTGCTTTATGGATTTTGCCTTTGTTTATTATTAGTAAAGTTCTCAACACGTTCTGGTTTCAAGTAAGTGACAAATATTATTTTAAAATAAATCAACAAGATGGCGCAAATTGGTCATATCTTAGATTTAATTATACATTTATTTATTGCATATATTATATGGATTAAGCCTGATTAAGAAAATATGATAATTCATTAATTACAATTTTTCCTTTCATCTTAGGATATTGCAGATGAAGCTTATAGGGTTCAACGCGGGAGAGCGTCAAATCAGCATAAAATCAGTGATTCTTTGTCGGACACTGTTTTCAGCTTAGTTATGCAATCATTGTTCCTCGTTCAGGTAAAGAAGACATCAATTTCAATACCATTGCTTAATGAAATTCTTTTACTTGAAGTCATTCGTCTGGTGTCTACTTCCATTTAAATTCGTCAGAACAATTCTTCAATGCTTACATGTTTCTATCTTATACGGATTCTATGCCTTTGAATATAGATGGATTAATCAAGGTAAAATGTTACAAAAAAGCAATTTAAATAATGAATAAAGCAAGTCTATAGAATAATTTATAAACTTTCTATTTATATTTAGATAACTTAATATACTTTATTAATTTACAAATATTATTGAGTCGAAAGGTCACTTTATTTTTTATTAGTTTAACAACATTTTTCCTGTATTAAGTAATTTCCGTTAAATTTCCTTTTTATTTACAGATAACGCATTAAGTTGTATATCGAAGATAAATTGTTCTTATCTTTCTAGATATAAGATTAATCAATTTACTAGTTTCTTTAAAGTTAAATATAGAACAACTAAAAAAGATATTTTTCGTTAAAAAGAGAGATTGTTTATGTTGTTTTACTTTATTTATAAAGCGTTTTAAAATACGACGACAATTCATAATGGATGCGCTTTGTTATAAAAAAAATATTTACTTCTTCTAGGCTGGTTAATACAGAAAAGGAAAAAGTATACAGAACAGAACTGGCCATATTTCATCGGTTTTGGATCTCCTTTGACTTTCATTACTCTATACTTTTCAAGTACAGCTGTTAGGTATGTATAAGAATCTGATGAATTTAATATTAGTCTATAACAGTTAACTACATTATTAAAAAAAATACAGTGGGTGCATATTTTCTTTGTTCTTTCCTCTATTTATCCTAAGCGCTAATGAGGCGAAACCTATTGAAGAGAACCTGTATGTATTTCCTATTATTTATTGTAATACCATCAAACTTTTAAACAAATGCGCTTTTCGTTACAGGAATTGCGAAATAGGATTCTTTAAGCACTCTGCAGCCTTGACGAATTTTTTATTAAAAAAGTTTAGCCCCTACTTGAGACAAAGGATGAATAATTTAAATCAATAAAGGAAAGTTAATTTGGTCTTCTGTTGGTTCCTATTGTTTGTCTCTGATTTTGAAGGAATCTTCAAAGCATATGACTGACTATATATGGAATAATTTGAACTTGTATTACATATATATATCTAAAGGTTAAAAAACAGGGCAAAAATTGTACCTTATCAGTATACTAATATGGTAACTAATACAAACATTATTGTAAAAACTAGACAAAAATATTTTGTAGTTTAAAAATTAAATATGTAATCTTTACTACAAAATGGGTTATGGAAATAATGCCTTTATCTCAGATGTTTAGTATATCATAAGCAGTAAAAAGAGTTTTATTTATTATAGAAACTATGTATTTTTAGCTAGGCTTAGTTAAATCGAAACTAGGCGACAGCTGTGACAGTCTCAGGAGTACAATAATCAACTCACTATTGATACCTATCGATAAAATAGTATTATTGATTTGCTATTGTTGTTTTCAATTTTTTTATGTTTTTTTTTTCTTCTTTTTATGTTATACCAGGGTTGGAATATTTTTAATGATTTCTATTTATCAAATAACTGGAGCAACATCAAACAGTTTTACTTGTTTTTCATGAATTTTTATCAATAAATAACTCCTTAAGATATTTAAAAGTATATAAAGAAAACAAGGCCCATATTAATGTTATGTTTTTAAGGCAGGAAACCATGTCCTTTTCAAGAAATATGGGAAAGAATAACATAAAGTATATATAATCACTTTCGAATAGTGTATTTTGTTAAGTGATTCAGTTTATATTTAAATATTACATATTATAAAGATATAAATATGCTTCCTTTGTGTGCAAACAAATTGGATAGTACTTTCAAAACTTTTGCTATTGTGTTTGAACTTTTTGTTGCGCGGGCGGAGCAGGTACAGAAGCGTACCAGGGATTATTTTGATTAGTCATTTGTAAACGAGTCCAATCTTTCTTGTGAATTTTTAAAGCCATCTACAAATGATGTTAATATATTAGACTATTAAAATAATTTTTGTTTAAAGCTAACCTCTGCAATTTCTAATTTTCTTTCCCAACTTTTAACTTTCTTTTGCAGTTCGTAAACATCAGCCTTCTCTGTCACATAGTCCATTACCTCTGGTACTTTATAATCGTCTAATTGTTGTTTAAGTTTTTTATTAATACTTTCGGCCTTGTTTCGCTCCTTTTCAACTTGACTTGTTTCACAATCAATTCTTTCCAATAGCTCTTTCCGTGAGTTAGCCTCTTGTTCTAATCTTTTCGATAACTCTGTACATTCTTGTAGTTTATGCTGTTAAACAAGATAATTCATATTATAGAACTATAACAGTTATTCGCTTAAATAATTCGCAACTAACTTTATAAGCATTAAGTACTTGAAGCGTGTTACCAGCAGTCATCTTTAGCTTTAATAAATCTTGATTACGTTCATCGATCTTTTCTATATATTGTTGATTTTCTATTTTAAGTTGATTAAAGTCAACTTCGTGCAAAACTTCGCCCATTTCTTCCTTTTGCTTTAATTGCATAGATAATTTTTTCTTTTGACCTTTTAGAGTTGAATTTTTTAACTTTAATTTATCAATTTTTTCATTTCTTCTCTTCAAATATTCTTCCAAGTAACGTCGAACTTTCTCTCCAACGACTTTGTTGGTTCTTGCGTTTCTTGCTCCTTTTTCAATATCTCTTTCGAATTCATATCTTGCTCTATTTATTTCAGCTTCCCTTTCTTCCGCTTCATCCATCATTGCCTTTAAAAGATATAGCATGTAAAATATTATAAAGATTGCATTACTATAAGAGACCTACTCTATAAAGATCTATATCTTTTGATGTTTTCTCTTTAAGACGGACTAATTCTGATTTCAGCTCATCCGTTTCTCTTTGGGAAATTTCGCACTTTTGTTCAGGAGATAGTTTATGAGTTTTATCTATTGCTCCAACTTTAGATTTTGATCTCTTTCGCGACGCTCTACTGCCAGGCATCGTACTCAATTGGTCTTGACCAGGTGGTGGCTGTGGAGCTATATTCCATTTTGTATCTAAAGTAGCATCAAGAGGAGATACTCTCTCAAGGAATTTTTTAAACATTTCTGTTTCAATTGCGAGTGCATCGTTGTGTTCTCTAAAATTATTGGACGATTTTACTTGAAATACATAATAGTTTGTGATCAAATTTACTTTGTTCGACGAATATGTTCAAATAATTCATCAAATTGGCCACTTTTGAGGAAAAAATCCTCACATTGATCCTTATTTTCAGTACTTGTGTCGACGCTTGCTGTTTCTATCGATTCCGCCATCTTTAAAGCTGTTGGTTGCTAGGTTAAACTACGAAAATAATGATAATATTTTTATATTTCATTTAAGTCCTAATTGAAAATAAATCGTGTATATTATGTGTATAGTGGTAAAATTTTTATTAAAATCTAAAAATTATGCGGTATCATTTTCGTACTTTCCACCATAGAACGCCATATTCGATGAACCTCGTCGTATCGTTGAGGAAATCGGCTCGCTGACTGCTGGCCGAACATTCTACACCATTGATAAACCAAATATCTGATTGTAAAATATCTAAGGTTGTTAATATATTAAAAATATAAAATTAATTAAATGTAATTGTGCGCCAAAAAACGAGCCTTTTCTTACACGAGGAGGTTCGCATAGGTACACTCATTGGCCATTTTTAAAAAAAAAAAACCCGTCTATTCAGCGTGCTAGCGAGGTCATTGAAGATCTGTATTAATTCTGCCACCGCATTCATCGATCGGAAGCTAATATCATCCTCGAAAATGCCTCTACCAAGCCGGGCCCGAGTATATGCTGACGTTAATACCCATAGACCTCGAGAATATTGGGACTACGAAAGTCATGTAGTTGAATGGGGGTTAGTAAAAGTGACTAAACTGACTTGAATGTATCAATATTACCTTGAAATGAATATTTCAGACAACAAGACGATTATCAAATCGTGCGCAAATTAGGAAGAGGTAAATACAGCGAAGTATTTGAAGGAATCAACATTACGAACAACGAGAAATGTGTTATTAAGATTTTGAAGGTTCGTACAACAAATATTTTCTTAGTCTATCGATCACTTTATGTAATTTCACAAAATATTAAATAGCCTGTGAAGAAGAAGAAAATCAAAAGAGAGATTAAGATACTCGAAAATCTTCGAGGAGGCACAAATATCATCACTTTGCAAGCAATAGTCAAAGATCCGGTATCCAGAACGCCTGCCTTGATTTTCGAACATGTTAATAACACCGACTTTAAAGTAAGCAAACCATAAAAAATGTTTATCTTTTTTTTAATAGACTATTTACCTTTCTCTTTTTTTCAGCAACTATACCAGACACTAACAGATTACGACATTCGTTATTATCTGTACGAATTATTAAAGGCGCTAGATTATTGCCACAGTATGGGCATCATGCATAGAGATGTAAAACCACATAACGTGATGATTGATCACGAGAATCGAAAACTGCGTTTAATTGATTGGGGTTTAGCTGAGTTTTATCACCCAGGCACTGAATATAATGTTCGTGTCGCTTCTAGGTATTTCAAAGGCCCCGAGTTGTTGCTCGATTACCAGTTGTACGATTATTCACTGGATATGTGGAGTCTAGGCTGTATGTTCGCTTCAATGATTTTTAGGAAAGAACCCTTCTTCCACGGACATGATAATTACGATCAATTGGTTCGAATAGCTAAAGTTCTTGGTACTGAAGAATTATATGAATACATTGATAAGTACCAAATAGATCTAGATCCTAGGTTTAACGATATCTTGGGTCGTCATTCAAGAAAAAGATGGGAGCGCTTTGTTCATAGCGATAATCAACACTTGGTTACTCCCGAGAGTTTAGATTTTCTTGATAAGTTACTACGTTATGATCACAACGATAGATTGACGGCTAGAGAGGCAATGGAACACCCATACTTTTATCCTGTGACAAAAGAACGTTCCATGTCTGGACACAACTCTCCGACGCCAGCCAGTTCGCAGCAATCGACAACTAGTTAGTTTTCATTTCAAAATATAATTTTCTGGTCATATGAATAATGTTTATTTAAATTACTGTTATAGGACGTAAATTATCTTCACGAATGTTTTGAAATCCCTGTTTATATGTTTATGTATCAATAGTTAAAAAGACAACAAGATTTATAATTTTTGCTTTTATTTATATTTTCTCCCTATTAATTTTTTTATATTGTTTTCTAACTCGATCGCTTTAATTAACACAGATAATTTGGTGGCGCCCAGCTCTCCGGTTCCACTTAACTCAACCGTTCCGGCTGCAGCAGCCGCTAAATCTTGAAAAGTGAAAAAAAAAAAAGAGAGCCACTTCGTCGTATTTGTATAACTGGACGATTAAAGAAATCAGATTTAAAAAAAGAACAGTTAAATTATTGTGTAAGCTTGTGTTTGCGATATTGTTTCTCCGTTTGTTACTCCAAATTGATTTCTTTTTGGAATATAAAACTGTATTCGGCGATACTTGTGGCTGTTTTAGTTATTTCGTTATGTATATTCGTAAAAATAATAAAATATGGACTTTTCTCGGATGACACGGCTATAGGTATATATAACTGCCAATGCAGTTAACACTATTAAACAATGAAGATAAATCAAGTCTTTAGTAGCGCGTGTATTATTACTTTCTTTGTTGCTGTTGTACGGGTAAGTACAGTTTAAATTCGGCTGGTAATTCATCCTCCGAGTAAAGGCGGTCAGAGAAGTAGACTCGACGAATGCGGCAGTTAGCGTGTATCTGCAAATCGACAAACAAAAATTACTAATATTTTATCTAAAGTATACATTAACGGTAAATATTCAATTTATACCTGCACTCTTAACGTTTCTATGTAGTTGGTTCCGTACGCTCGACGAGTAAAATCGGATAAATTAAATTGAATCTGGTTCCAGCCATCGTCCAGTCTCATGGGCATTGTACAAATGAACGGTTTGACGCGAGTTGTACTTTGATAGTTGCTCGCCCTAAACCTCCTTCTTACACTCTTGTCGTCTAGCACCTGAACCTCGAACGTAAAGTACTTCTTCAAATTCTTTATTATCATAACGAGGAAAGGCAACTTTATGCCAAGCGTCTTTTTCGGGCAAGCCGGGCACGTGACGTATGTCGTGCTATAGTATATTAAGGGTAACATAAGAATTTTTTTTTGGTAAGAGTAAGTCAAAACTGGAGCAGGTCGCTTACCTAACGTTAGTTCCTACAATTTCCAAAACGAGTGATTGTATGTCATTATCAGTAATTCTCTTGATGTGTCCGTTCCGAACCTGGAAAATGTCAACAGAGTTACTATGGTTACAATGAACATCTCCCATCCCTACTATACACCCTTTTCGTAAAAACAAATTGAAAGTTTTTAGGCGTTGTTTACGTATTTACAATACGGAAACTAATAATACATTAATAGACAAACTATACGCTTGTTATAGCCCATCATATGAAGAGATACTTACTTTCTTATCCCAAATCTGCAAGGGTTTACTGCCAATGCTGTAGAGTATAGACAAGAATCCACTTTGGAACGTGTTCTTGAACATGGTGTGCTATTTGAAAGAAGAACCGGTCTGCAATAAGTAGCTAATTGTTGTAGATATAGAAACTTTTTTTCCAGAAGGCGCTAAAACAGCATCATAGATACTAAATCGGCATGTCTCCAAGGCGAGCGTACGATTACTGATAGTGGGAGTTATACGGCCTCAGCTTTTCAAAATACGCTATTATTTTCGAAAGCTTTAAGTTAAAAAGCAAACGAAATTTTGTGTATTTTATATATTTAAGTCGAATTCAATAGCATTTGAATAATTTTGAAATTGAATTTTCAATTTATACAAGTCATTGCTAAGGTACTATTTGGTACTACTTTCCTCAAACATTAGCCGTGTACCTGTATGAATTTTTTCAATATTATAGATTTTAAAAATCGGATTACTAACCATGCTATTTTTTTGAAATGGCGGTATTTTGAAACACTTTTATTGTACTCAAAGAAAGAAAGTTTACCTGTAGAAAAATACAATGTTACAGTCGTGTAAAGGGAAAGGAAGCGTGACGAACCTAAAAAAGCCTTGCGATAACAATGATTCAGACCAGTTAAATACTTGTATTGTAGATAATCAAAGCGTAAACGGAGAGGATGATTTAATAGTAAAGCCATTAAAATATGATTTATCCCAGAAACCTGCTAGTTCAACGCTTGGTAAATTTTTCAAAAGAGGAAATACTTCGAAAAGCAGATTAGAAAGAGATCAATTTGAGGCAACAACAAACGATAATGATAATGACAATAAAATAGAATTGAATACGCCTGAGAATTCTCTTATGGTAAATTCAATGATGACTAGAGCCAGGCTCTGGGCAAATAGGCACAAAGAGAGGCTTGTGCATAAAAATGGTGAATGTAATTTAGCCTATACGAATGTACCCGAGAAGAGCTTTAGGTTTATTTTAGACATTTTTACAACTTTATTAGATATGCAATGGACTTATACACTATTAATATGCATATTTGTATTGTTGTCTTCATTCTTAATCTTTGCGGTTGATTGGTTTCTAATTGCCTTAGCAAATGGAGACACTAATAGGAAATTCGACAATGATGAAGATTTGGAGGCTGCCTGCGTTCAATACGTTAACGATTTCACTTCCGCATTCTTATTTTCTATTGAAACTCAACATACAATTGGTTATGGGAGAAGGGTTATTAATACCAAATGTCGTTTTGCCATTATATCATTATGTCTTCAATCCTGCTTTGGTTTACTAGTTCAGTCATTATTTACTGGTTTAATATTCGCCAAATTGTCAAGGCCAAAGCGTAGAGGTGAAACAATTATGTTTTCGGAGAGGGCAGTTATTTGCTTTCGAGATGGAATCTATTGTCTCATCTTTAGAATGGGAGATATGAGAAATCAACACTTTATAGCCGCATCCGTCAAAGGTCTTCTACTTCGGAATAAACGGTCGGATAATGGAGAAAACGTTCCAATTAAACAGGAAACTCTTCATATGCTCTCCGAAAATTCCGATGATAATTCAATATTTTTAGGGTGGCCTTGCAATATTATTCATAAGATAACTAGCGAATCGCCTCTCTTTAATCTCAGCGCTGATAGCATTCTTGAAGAATGTTTCGAGTTGGTCGTCATTCTAGGTTAGTCTATCAATAGTTTATAATCAAGCATAGCGATGAAATTTGATTTCTTTTCTTCCTATTCAAGAGGGAACTATCGAGGCATCGGGAATGACTGCACAAGTAAGAACTTCCTATCTACCGGGAGAAATTCTTTGGGGACACAAGCTCAAACCTTTAATCACTTATCAAAAGTTTAACTGCCGCTACAGAATTGATTATTCAGACTTTCACGATACAATACCGATACAGGATATGCCCGAATGTTCCGCTAGAGACTATGCTAACAAAACTGTCGTTCCTAACTTTAGCACAGAAGATAATTGGGCAACTCTATCGTTGAAGGGAAAGAGTACCGAAAAGCGACGCTTCTCCAAGAGGAAATCGACAGATATAAGGGGAGCTTTTAAAAAGTTTAAGAGGTCGTCCATCGGGACTAGACATCACGAATCAATGGATAGGTAGAGTTGGCATGATCACGCCTAATTGGGTTAGGATATTTTAATCATTCTATTAATATATTCTCTTTTTTTTTCCCGCCATAAGTATTACCATTATTATCAAAACAAACTGTTCTGTTTTTCCTCTTTTCTTCTTCTTCTTCTTCTTCTTCTTCTGCTTATTCTTATTCTTTTCATTTTTTTTATATAATAAAAGAAAAAGACAAACATTTTTCATATTGTTTATCATATTTTTTTTTAAAAAAAATATTGTATTATATCATTTTCGGTTTATAAACCTAAGGACATGCATATTCATATAAGTGTAATTAATATCAGTAATAATAATAATAATAATAAATTAATAGCCACATGTTTGTTGTTATTTTTTCTTTCTAGCAGACGAACAATTTTGAAAAAAAAAAAAAAGAAGTACACTTTCCATTCTCATAACAAACAAAGAATTAAAGTAAAAATAAATAAAAAGGTTGACCTTTTGTGTGTGTGTTTTTTTTTGAAAGAATTAATATATGAAATATATAACATATATTATAATTAATATAAATATATTCATATATTTTAACAGCAGTAAGAGACATAAACATTACAAATTAACGCATTCAGTGATAGAGAGAGTTTTCATTCATACAAAATATTTTATGGCCATTATTATTTACAAATAAAAATTTGAAAAAAATATTTTTAGAGGTTGTTTTTGCTCATTTAATGTTTTGTTTGTCTAAATGTTCATGACTTTGGTTGATTAACGGGAAGGAATAATTTAAATTCGGCTGGTAATTCATCTTCCGAATACAATCTATCTGAAAAGTAGACACGTCGGATTCGGCAATTTGCGTGAATCTATTTGAAACAAAAAAATTATGAATTTTATTTTAAGGGATTGAAGGGGAGGAAGAGAAATTATTCAATTTATTTACCTGTACTCTAAGTGTCTCTATGTAGTTCGTTCCGTAAGCCCTTCTGGTAAAATCTGATAGATTAAATTGAATTTGATTCCATCCGTCATCCAATCTCATTGGCATAGTGCAAATGAATGGTTTTACTCGGGTAGTACTTTGATAATTACTGGCCCTGAATCGTCGTCTAACATTCTTATCGTCTAGCACCTGAGAAAAAGGTTGGTATTATATTTTATTCATTTGAGACAAAAATATTCGTTATTTACCTGAACTTCAAAGGTAAAGTACTTTTTTAGGTTCTTGATTATCATCACTAGAAAAGGCAGTTTTATACCAAGCGTCTTTTTATTGTCAGCCGGACAAGTGATGTAAGTTGTACTGTAAAGGGAAGTATGAATATTAATGAACTCAAATTAGGAAGTAGAAATGAAATGACATAGAAAGAGCGAGAGAGAGAGAATGACTAAGAGACTAAGAGAAGGAATAGTCGTAATAAAATTAAAGTATAAAAGGAAAGAAGAGAAATAAGAATGAAACGAAGGAAAGTGGAATGATGCATACCTAACGTTTGTTCCAACAATGTCTAAAACTAGAGATTGAATATCCTGGTCTGTAATTCTTTTAATATGTCCATTTCGTACCTAGTTAATAGTTATAATTAGTCAATTAACATCTATTAAATAGTAATAAATGCACGTGCGGTCGTTGCTAAGTCGTGTTACTAAGCACGCTAGTATATGTATATAGAAGCAAAACCGGCTTTTTTCTCTTACCTTCCTCTCCCAAATTTGTAGTGGTTTCTGTCCTATTGAATAGAGAATTGAAAGAAAGCCCGATTGATATGTATTCTTGAACATCTTCCACTTAAAGTTCCTCTTTCCTCTTACAAATTTAACTCCTGTCCTTTACAGTATCTAAAGGTTTAATGACGGTAGCCACTGTAGTCGTTGCTAACTGTCGTTGCTAATCAACACAAACGCATGCGCAGATAACCTAGCGATGTAACTAAGGAGAGTAGGCTGTTGAATTAATAAAGCCTATTAAAACCTAGCCTATGACTTTTATTTAGATTTAATATTATTTATATACAATGAAGATGTAAACATGAATATATAAATATTCAAATATATGTATGAATGAAAGTATATACCACTGCTTGTGTAGTTGTATGTATATACATATATATATATATATATATATATATATATATGTCTATATATATATCTATATATATATAGAAAACTAAGGACAACAATAACAACAATAGACTTTTTTTGACAATTCTCAAGAATTGATGAATTAGTTATCATATCTTCTCTTTCCCTTCTCTCTCTCTCTCTTCTCCATTTATTATTTTATCATGTTTTTTATATTCATAATCTATGTTAACACTCTAAAAGTAGCATCCAAGAGTAATCATGATTATTCTAATAATAATATTATGACAAGGACATATGGATATGGAAATGTTAGCATAAATATCTTCCTAATGGTTGATAGACCCAACTATTTGAAAAATAGAATATCAACTTTAGCAGCTTATTCCCCATTTAGTAATTGTTTTGATAAGGATAACCTAAAGACAAGGTATACGGTTTTGGTTCATTCTTCAAAGAATTGGTCTTCCGTAGAATCGATGAAATATATTAAAACTAAACTGTTATCTTCCACATCTTTGGATGAAGCTAATATTATTATTGGATTACCTATAAGTGGAACAGCTTATCGTTTGACACCTCTATTTAAATATCTACAAATCCCTTTTGTATCTATCGCTCCAGGAACTGTAGGCTTGTACGAAAGGGATTTTATTAAGATTGGTCCTACGATACCGTACTTTTTTACAGTTTTTATGAGATTTATGAAAGATATAGGCTGGAATCGTTTCTCTTTATTCGAAGATAAAGAGTTGTGCGAGCAGAGTAACTATAACAACGACGACAAAGAATTAAGAAGATTCTATAAGAAAGGATTAATACTAATCCATAGAGATGTCGTTGATAAATCGAAGAATAGTGTGAACCTATTAAAAAAAACCTTAAATTCTATTAAAAAGGATTGCCGAATGATTTTAATTTGTGGAGGTTCTAGACTACTCTATCAAGTTTTAAGGGCGTCTACAGCAGTTAAAGATAATCATTTTACCTTTATACACCTAAATTTAATGGGCGAAGGGATTAAACCAATTTCTGGAATTGATTTAAGGAAAATTTTAATTATTAATTGGTCATTTAATAAGGTCTATTCAATCAACAACGAACGTCACGATAGAGGGAATATACTCTCTTCTCAATATGACAATAATCCCCAAATTAATCTCCCTTTATCAAATTCACTCTATCAAGCTTCCGATTTTATTTGTCAGCTAATGAAAATTGCCGACGACTTGAACAGTTTAAGGAATTCAAAATTATTTTCTAGGTTATCCGCTAGAGGGCCAACAAGTTACAATCTTGTCGATTCTATTAGGGTAATCAAAAAATTTCAAATGTTAAGATTTTATGAAAAGGACGATATTAAGGCGGAAGAGTATCAGATATTTACATATGATCAATTAAGGAATACGTATAAAATTAGTCCTACAAAGAAGAAAGGATTTAAGGAATGGAATGCCTCTCTTCCGTCTCCCTCTTGTATACATGATTGGGAAATGGGCGGGTGTATTTCGAATAAGGATAAATCATCATTTTTTTCCTTTTTAGTTGGAATTATTTTGGGTATTTGTATTCTGATTTTCCTACTTAGGAGTCGAATCATCCTATGGATTTTTGAAAGAATTCCCAAATCGACTGGAAAAGATGACCCACCTTGGAAAATTGACTCCGTAAATCTTATACAAGCGGATATATTAAATGCCGACGAGTTAAATGAAATGGAAGAAAATCGGGAGATGGTTTCCATAGGGGCAAGGTTACGTAGACTATTAGCAATTATAATGGGACGTGGGGAGGAGCAAGAATCGGATACATATGATAAAAATATGGGTACTTCCGCCAGTACTATATTCGGCGCTTCCATGTCAATGATTTTCTACGATACGAAAAGAGAAAGCCTAAAATGGTCCAACTATTCAAATTATTATTTTTATCAAACGAAGAATCTATGGGTGACGGCAGACACTATTCATGGAGTAAGTTCCATGTCCATAATTGAAAATAATTGGGTTGAGAACGACTTAATTCGCGTAAGACACAATAATTTGGCAACGTTCTACGGCATAAGTTCAGTATCTGGTGACGCCTGCGCAATATACGAATTCTGTCAGAAGGGACGTCTCAGTACAATCTTAGAATATAAAATTATTGATGCTCATTTAAAATTGTCCTTTTTACGTAATCTTGTACAAGGTTTAGGCTATTTACATTCGACTGATCTGATTTGCCACGGAAGGCTGTCGAGTCATTGTTGTCTTGTAGACCTACAATGGAATATTCGAATTAGCGACTACGGTTTGGAGGAGGCTAGGTCAAGATCTACAATTTGCGAATTTGATTATAGGGTTTGGAGAGCTCCCGAATTACTTAGGTCGTTGGAGACGGGCAACGGAACTCAGGCGGGAGATATTTATAGCTTTGGTATCATCTGCCAAGAAGTTGCGTTTTGCGCTAAACCTTTCTTCGGGATGCTTACCGATGAAGAAATTGTTAGAAAGGTGGCGGATAGGAAAAGATACCTTTGCAGACCGGAAATTGCTAGGTATCATCTACAAGAAGACACTCCGTACAGTCTTTTGGGAATAATGAGAAGGTGCTGGAGAGAGAAGAAGAATAGAAGACCAAAAGTTGCTGAATTGAAAGAGACATTAGATATGATTAGCGGAACGAAATCAACCGCCGAGTCAATTGAAAATATGCAAAGGTATAACGAACTGCTGGAAACCGTAGTAGAACAACGCATGAAAGATTTAGAAGAAGGGAAATCGAGAACAAAATTACTATTGTCCCGTATGATGCCGTCGGCCTGTGTCGAGAGGCTTTTGAGCGAAGATGACGTCCCCCCTGAATATTTCAGTTCGGCTACAATATGTTTCGTGAATATAAGCAATTTCTCAGCTTTAAACGCCAGAGTAAGACATCCGGCAGATTTGATAGAACTGTTGGATATCATCTTTGACATACTCGACGAGGTAACGAGTCGTCACAAAGTCTACCACGTTGATACAATTCGACAGATGCATTTGTATGTTAGTGGTCTACCACAGAGAACGGATCGTCATGCATCCATTGCTGCCGATACAGCCATTGATTTGCTATTATGGTTTCAGGCCGCTTCAATGACACAATTAAATGGAGCTAGAGCCGAGTTGCGTATAGGAATTAGTACCGGTCCTTGCATAGCGGCCTTAGTTGGTAGCGAGAGAAGATTCTATACCATTTATGGTGATACGGTCAATTTAGCGTCTAGAATGGAATCTACGGGTGAAGCGTCAAAAGCTCATATAAGTTCAACTACTGCAGAGGCTCTAATGGAAGCTAAAAATGCGTCTGATTATTCGATAATTAGTCGTGGTGCTACAGACGTTAAGGGTAAAGGCCCTATTCAAACATTTTGGTTGAATGCTTCCAAAAGTAGGCCTACGCCACAATTTATGAAAGACGCTTGCGAATTGATTAAAGAAAGACGAAATTTTAATAGGCATAGCACAGCTAGTCCACCTTTGGCTTTCAATCTGGAACTTACCCCCAGGGTCGGAAGGAAATCTCAAAGACTTACTCTACTAAGGAAGAGATTATGTAACGCTTTCACGGATTACTAGAATTAAGATCATTATTCCCTGTCACCTTTCTCTTTTATATTCATCTTTTAGTTGATTGTCTTATCATCTGTTTTTTTTTGTCATTTTTTCAAAATGTAGAGTTTTATTATGTTGTTATTCAATTTATTTCGATCGTCTTTAAATTAAGCGTCTAACGATTTTTTTTTGTATTCTGATTGCTATCAATTAGTAATTAACAATTAATTCTATGCTAATGTAGTTTCGTTATAGAGCAGGAGCGGCGGGGGGTAGGTGAGGGGGGGGGGAAAGAGGTGGGGGAAGGCAGGAGCATAATAGGTAAAAAGATAGAAAAAGGGGGAGGGGATAAAATATAACAGAAAGAGATAGAGAGAAAGAAAAAAGGAGAGAGAAGGATTGGTTGGATGAAACCAATTTTCAAATCTTATTAATGTCAAAGAGAGGAATCATACTATAAAATTTAAATTTCCTCTAATGGCATCTCTTTCTCCTCTCCGGCGGCCTTCTTTTCGGCGGCTTCCTCTCCGACGGCCTTCTTTTCGGCGGCTTCCTCTCCGACGGCCTTCTTTTCGGCGGCTTCCTCTCCGACGGCCTTCTTTTCGGCGGCTTCCTCTCCGACGGCCTCCTCTCCGGCGGCCTCCTTTTCGGCGGCTTCCTCTCCGACGGCCTCCTCTTCGGCGGCTTTCTCACCTTTTCTCCTAGGCTTAGCGGACGGGTATTCTTGATATACAACTGAAAACGTAACAACAACATTAGGCCTATATCTTATCAATAGAAAAAAAAACCCATCCTCTAATTAATCATACCTGAATGTATTGGTTCCGATACGAAAAGTTCGATAAAATCGTCGTACAAGGCTTGAATGCTAACAAATTCTTCAACTTCGTCCGGTATAAAACCGGTTAAGGTGTCCAAAATCTGATAAGACGCAGACATATGATAATTATATTCATATTGGTTTTGTTTTTTTAATAATAATACAAGTATTTTCGTATTTAAACAATTGAAAAAAGTCTAGCTAGAGTTTACTTTTAATTATTTACTATATTATAAAAGGATTTAGGATGAAAAGAGGGGAAAAAAGGGAAAAAATTAAATTTAATATATTCGAAGTAAGCGTAATATTTACCGGTTCAACTATCGGGTTAACGATTCTTTTGAAGCCGCCGACGAATACCAATTGCATAACGCTGACTAAGAATTGCGCTTGTACTATTTCAGCATCGTAGTCGAATTCCTTAATAGGTGACAAGAAAAGTTGCTACATTAATATGTTTTCTTTTACGAACATGAAAGAAGAATGTTCGTTTTTGGCGGGAAACGAAAATGTTCTTTATTCTTTTTTTGTTAATGTACACTCATACATACAGTATATATATATATATACTGTATATATATAAATGTACACTCCTCCCACTTAATAATAATTTATTGTTACCTTTAGAGTGTCGTTTAATAATTGATCTGAATTGGCTTCGGCGTTATCTTTCAATCTTAATTCGATAGTATTAACGACGGCGTCGGCTGTCTGTTAATGTTGTAAATAAAAAAAGAAAAAAAAAAGAGTACAATGGAACGTTTGGAATTTTATGGGTTTTAATATATTATACTCACTCTGTAAAGAACATCTTGTATAGATTGCTTTAAAGTCATAACTTCCACGTGCTCGAATAATAGCGGGAACTTTTTCTTAAGGGCTTCTAAAGCCTTAAGAGTGTCTGCAGTTAATTTTTTAAAACCCGCCATATTTGTTTTACTTCTAGGGATTTTATCTAGGTCATTATTAGTTAATTTCTTTAACTTTCCAATTTCACTTTTAAGAACATTACGAACTTCGACAAGTCCTTGTTTAAGTGGATTATTAAAAACTTCAAAAACTGGTTTAACTGCTGGTTTAACGACTTCATTCAATTTTTCACTTATTTTATCAGTGACCGCTCCTATGTAAAAAAATAACTAAGATAAAATATTGAATTGAGTCGACTTTTTAAAAGATAAGATATGAGATATCAAATTAAATTTTAAAAAGTATTATATCAGTAAAGAACCTCTTATCTTAGCCTTTCCATCCTCCTTAATATTGGATATTTTGTTGTATAATGAAGATATCTTTTCCTCTAATTTTTCGGTCATTTTATCGACAGTTTGCTTCAGAGCTGACCAAGCTTCATCTAGCATTTTCTTTAAAGCTTGGAAAGTTACTCCTCTCATCTATTGATAAAAAACTAATATTAATTAATTTCATAAAAGCTAATTAAACCTACTTTATAATATATAAAAGCTCTCATTCCTCCAGGTGCATCAATATCTTTACAAGCTTCTTCAAAGACTGGTTTAACGCATAATTCAGCAAGTAAATCCATAAGAATTTCCTCTTCAGTACCATCAGTTTTGAAACCTTTTAATTCGGAATTGGTTTGAATGGCCCTCTTAACAGCCATATCAAAAGCCCGACCAGTCACACTCTTTAAATCCCTCGCTTTTATTCAAAAAACATTTTTTTATTAGTAAATAAAAATTGAATAGATAAAAAAAAGTTTTTACATAAAAAAACTGTTTAACGTCACTTTAATTATTATTGTTATTATACCTTTGACGCGTCTTACGCATCTGTCGATGGTCGTTATCCATTTCATTCCATCCTTATCGTATTCCGCTTTTCCAACATCCTCAGGCTCAACCGTCGGCCCTCTTATACAACTACAAAACTTGGCCTATTGAATATTTTTATGGTCTAGAGTTAGTTGAAGTTGAAAAAGAAAGTATGAAAAATCTAAAAAAGATGGGGTGACGTTCACCATTTTTTATGTATTTTTCATTAGTAACGGTTTTTTTATGAAAAGGAGGTTACGTATGATTGAATTAAAGGGGCGAAAATTAAAAAATATATATATGTATCCTTACACTAGCTCCCTTATGCATTTGCATGACGTAGTTGTCCCTAATATCATGGGTCAACGCCCAGCTAAAGGGCGAAAAGCTTATGGGTATGCCGTCGTCTCCTAACCCTGTTCAAAGGACGATGTTCAGTCGACCGCTTTCGACATATTGAATAGAAATTCCTACCTAAGGAGTTTGATAGCTTTCTCGCCACCTTCTCATAACTTTTTCTCGGCTCCTTTGTCAATTGATAACCGGCTAAGCTAATAACTTTTTTCGGTTTGTCCTTAGTATTTTTAAAATCCTCTTCTGAGTTATAAATAGCCAAATTATAGTCGAGTTGTTCGGCAACAAACAATCTTTGCCATTTATCGGAGAATGAACCTGGACCTTCGCCTTCCTTTATATAAACGTAACCGGAGAATAGATTCTTTCTTGGTACGCTTCCAAACTATTTCCAATGGCAATAAAAACATAGAATTTATTATATCGTGCTTGGGAAATTTATGATTGTTTTATTACTTTCATTATTACAAAAAGAGGAATATTAATAACAATATAGATCATAAATAAGAATAACAATTCATAAAATAGTTATATAACTTACGTCTCTGTATAATAACTTTCTTAATTCTTCGTAAACTTGAACCTTTTCCTGAGCGGAAATCACTAAAGATAATGCATAGCTTTTTGTGAATTCAACACCAAAAGACTCTAGAAAAGATGCTGCGCTATCTGAATAAACAGAATAGAAGAGGATGACAACAACTATAAATTCAATTTTTTTGAATGAATACCTTTTATTTTATTTAAACGTTCCTCTGTCAACGGATTAGACATTTTTCTATTATATCCTTCTCTTCTCTCACTTAAACAAATGTCCTTTTTAAAATGGAAATATCAAAGTTACTCTTTGTTTGATGAATCTAGGCGTTGCTAACGACAGAGTACTAGTTAATCAAATTTGTTATTAATATATATATATATATATATATAAATGTGTCTAAGTAAACGAATGTAATGATAACATGTTCAAACTTATTCAATTTTAACTAATGTTTAGTAAAACTTTTTGTCTACAGAGCATAATTTCATCAAGAAGGATTACAAAAGAGTTCATCCAGATTTTTTTTATCTTATCTCATCTTGATTTGTTTTAACAAAATATTTAATAAGCGCTATGGTAATGTCCATTTCCCTTTCTTTCTTTCCTCCTCCTCCTCCTCTCTCTCTCTCTCTCGTCTTTTCTTTTTTGCAAATTTGACATGTTGTGACGTTTAGGTATTTCTTTTTTTTCTCACCTTTTCTTTACCTCATTTTTCCTATTCTTCTCTCTCTCTCGCTCGCTCGCTCGCTTGCCTACCCACCCGTCCTCCCCTCCTTTTCTCTCTCTCTCTCTCTCTCTTTCCAATCTCCAGGTAAATCTTATCTTTCCGCCTCTATTTCTCTCTCTCTCTCTCTTCTTATCCTTTACCCCGATTTTTTATTCAATATCCCTATTTTTTTATCCTCTTTTTTTTTTTATCAGACGCGTAAATCATTTTTGAAAGGGTAGAAGAATGTACTTGAAAACGGGGCTGTTCAATGTTCAATGTGTGTATATTTGAAGAATAATAAAAAAAAGGAACCGTTCTTTTCATTGTATTCCTTTTTATTTCTAAGTAGGCAGAATTTTTTTACGCATCTTCTATCAAATCGAATTACGCGTAAATCTCACCTGGATAGATTTCTATTTAATAGTTATTTATACATTTATTGAATGTTTACTGTTGGTTAGTAGGTGGGGAAGTGGGTGGGATTTTTTTTTCCTTTTTCGGTTATGACTGAACAAAAAGAGGAATTACAGGCCTATATACAGGAGGGGGTGATGCGGATTGAATAGGACGGTAGGCCGTAAAAAAATTGTAAAAGTCTTTTAAAGACCTGTATAGAATGCCCAGCAAGGCGCCTCTAGCTAAGGGATAACAATATTTTTATGTGTCGAAAATGTCAAACACCTGCAAGTTGTTTTTTAACTTTTTTTCAATGTAACGGTAGCCTTTATTGGGCCTATCATGCAATTTTGTTTCAAATTATGGTCGGCGCGCGCGCTATGTAGAGTAACGGAACGTAGGGGGGGTAAGGGTTAGAGAGAGAGAGAGAGGGGGAGAGGGAGAGAAGGGGAAAGTAATTCATTAGGGATGCTTTATCGGCCCTAGATTTCCCATGAACAACCGGTATAATATACATATATTATATATTTGTGTGCGATTTGCTTTCTAGCAGGAAGTGTAAATTGGATAGTCTTTCAACAATCTTCATTGAACCAAGCGTCGACAATGAGAATAAGCCCGATCGAGTGTAATCGGAAACTGGCTAAAAAAACCCCAAATAGCCCCGGCCTTATTTACTTTAGGTCGACTAAAGTAGGGTCATTTAGGGGTCAGGCCAGTCTAACCGTATTGTTTCTCAAACAATTTTTTTCGCTTCGAGTGTTTGACTCTTCAACCGGTTCGGCGAGTTGAAAACCGACGTATGTAGATGGCGCTGTCACCTCGGGAAACGCTTTGGGAAAAAACGCGAATCGTCTAGTATATCTGATAATTGTTTAGTACACCAGCCTGTGAGCAGGTGGCGCTTTCGTCGTTACGTGCCGCATTTCTCTTGTATAAACGACCCAGTTCACGGGCCATACAAGATAGTTGTCCTTCATCAAAGATAGCCTTCTGAAAGTGAGAAAGATAAATTGGTTTGTTTCCTAAAAGAGAAGGAAGAAAACAACAGATACCCTGTGTGATAAGAGGAATCGAATGAACAGATAAAAACAAAGAGTTTTTTCACATTCCGAGATTACCTACTTGATAGAAAAAGACAGACAGAGAGAGAGAGAGAGAGAGAAAGAGAAGGAAAGAAAGCTTGTTTAAATTTCAAAACAACTTTGGAATAGCTGTTTAAAATTGGAAAAAGGAAAAAAGGAGAAAAAGAGAAGAGAGAGAAAAAACACATAATACAACAACCATGAAAAACGGTTTACTGGAACACGTTATCTCCTATTTCTCTTGCGGATGCGTCTCATCAAAGTCGGTGAAGAGACAACGTCATCTAGAGGTAAGCGGCAGTATTTTCCTTTCTTATTCAACGCTTGGTAAAAAAATTCCCTAATTGATATTTAAATATGCGGAGTCGTTCACATATATATTATTTATATATATGCTATGCATATATACGCTAAGCATATCATGCATACCTTGTTGTCCGTGTAAGCGATTTATACGCATATCCATATGTATTTATATATAAATATGTATACAATGTTTATAAATATAACGAATGCCCACAGTCAACAGGCCTATACGGGGCCACTATAATAAATATAAACGCTTCCCCGCCTACTCTTCTATAGTTTGCCGGAAGCTCGGTTATAGAATGAGTACTAGTTCGAATTTGGACGACGGAAGCCCGGGGCGTTTCCCGAATTCGTAATGATCCACTGTCACGCGGGGCCTAAGATGATTGAGCACGTTCTTTTACTCGACGCACGTGTTCTACCTCATCTTCTTATCAATTCAATTTTATTATTCGCGCGTAAATTAGACCTTTTTTCAGGTAGCTCGCTTAACCGTGTGAAAAAAAAATACAAAACACCTCCCGGTTAGGCTATTATTTCATTCTTTTTATTCAAATATTCCATTTTCTTATTACTTTTTAAACGAATATTAACGTCGTTGAAAGGAAGATAAGAGTTGACTTATTTTTTTCTTATACTAGGCATCATCATCGTATGCCTAATAACGTTTGCTCTCTCTCTCTCTCTCTCTCTCTCTCTCTTTTCTCTTCTCCCTAAAAAAGCATAGTTGTCAATCCCCTCTTCAGTATTTTACCCTTACGTAAACCTGTCGCAGGTGGGGCGGTAGAGTTTTTTTTTCCTTTTTTTTTTTTTCTTGGGCAATTAGCGCAATTTTTCCTTAATATTCCTTAACGGGCGCGTGTCAGTGCACCTGCAGGGTTAGTTAAGAAATAAGGCAAGTACGTTAAGAGATCGTAAAATTGTATTTTTGAACCTGCGGGAGGTCCTCGTTAGTTTTTTTTTTTATTTATTTCTCTGCCTTATTTAAAGTGCCACCACGTATGGATAGACGCTCTTAACCGTCCAAGATTTATACATATAATTATATGTATTCAAGGGCAATCTTTCTATTCTTGTCCTATTTAAGAGACGGTTTTGAAGTAGGATTTTTTTTCATTATTATATCGAATTGAAAATTGACGCTCGGGAGGTGCCCTTAGTATTGTTAACCGGCCAACGTCCGTCTTTCATAACCTTATGTTCAGGCGACCTTTTAGGGTCAGGTAGCCGCCTTTCTTCTCCGTGTTATTCGATATGGGGAGTCGGACGAGTAGGAGAAAAAATAGGGAGAAAAAAACCCTTGTTTAATCTTTCCCGGCGTATAAACTTTCGCTCTATAAATTTCCCATTTATAAATGATTGTAACGTTTATTCTGTCAACTCTGGCAGCGTTCAGTCGGCGTCCAACGGCGATCGGCGCCTTTTTCATAAGTTTCGGCGCCAAATTGACCGTGTAAAGCGTTTCCTATTTTTATCTAACTTATTTTTTATACCCTGCCGTTCTATTTACAGAATTCTTCATCTCTAACGAGACCACAACAAAAGACAATTGACAAATATTCGACCAACGTTAACAACAACAACAACAACAACAACAATAACAACAACATTAATCGTCTAGACGAGTTAGTATTTTAATTAAAGGGCACGCTAAGGAGAAATGGGAGGGAGGTTTTGAGTGGAGCAAGAAAAGACCAAAAGGTTTTAAAAGATTAAATGGAAAAGAATGCTTGAACCTATCATTAATTAAGATTAGCGGCAAAAGATAAAAGAGAGGGAAAGAGAGAGCGTTTAGACGCTTTTTTTTTCTTTTTAAAACTGTCCACAAATTTTCCTTCCAATAACAAATAAAACACTTTTAAGATCAATTTAAACGATTCTAACCAATAATGGGAAGAAAGGAATCGTCTTTTTATATTTACAACTGGCTTCGTAGACTTAAAAGTGGTCAATATATAAGAAACATCTGTTGTGTTCAAAGGACATAAATAGGCGGCGAGCAAGAAATAATTGATGTAAGGTTTTTAGTAAAGTTTGCTCTCGTCTAAGGCGATCATTGCCGTTGGGTTATTTGAGTTACATCGGAATGTTTTCGACTTTTTTACATTGTGTAATTCGTAAGGGGGGGTTAGTGGGCGAGGAGGTGAAGAGACGTAAAAATTGCACCTGCTCCTTCTCCTTCTCCCCTCTCTCCCCTTTCCTCCCCTCTCTGCCCGCTCCTATCTGACCTTGGCGTTCCTTTACCTTTTTTTCTTCTTTTTTTTTTCGCTATAGATATATAAATTAACAAAAAAGATTCCTTTTGGCGTCTTTTCCCACTCGAAATCTTCCGGTTCTCCAACGCTTTTTTTTATTATCGATTTGAAATCCGTTTCTTATCTTGATCTTCCTTTTTCTTTTTATCATTTTTATTGCTTTATTCTATCGTTATTTTACTCTTCCTGTAGTGAAATTGAAAGAGAAAGGCTAGCGTGCGAAGCCAGAAAGAAGTTTAACGTAGACCCGAAAAAGGTAATTAAGGCTCTATAAAAAGCCTCTCTTACGCTTTTATACGCATAACGGTTATTCAAAATGCTCTGTAAATAGGGAATTGAACACTTGATCGAATCGGATATTATTGAAAATGAGGCGGAATCCATTGCCAACTACTTGTTGATGACGGGAGGTTTAAATAAGACGCAGATAGGAAAATATTTGGGAGAGAACAACGATTATAATCGGCAGGTGCTGAGATGTTTTATAGATGCGCAACCCATTCAGAGATTGAACATTTTACAAGCTCTGAGACAATTTTTATACAGCTTCAGAATTCCTGGAGAATCTCAGGTTATAGGCCGAATTGTTGAAATGTTTGCCAAACGGTATAACGAAGTCAATCCAACAGCGTTGACAAATGACGCATTATTTATGTTGTGCTTTAGTTTTATAATGCTAAATACCGATTTGCATAATCCGAGCGTCAAAGAGAAAATGACTTTTGGTCAATATAAGAGAGTTGTTATGGAAATGGTAAAAAAAGAAAGTAGTTTGGTTAACGTCGAAGATAGTTTGCCATTCTATTATGAAACATTAAAAAATGAACCATTAGAACTCGACTCTGATGATGCCGACGATCTGAACATGACTTTCTTTGAGGCTGAAAAGGAAGGTTGGATGCTTAAACAAGGTATGATCATTCAAAAATATGTTTGTTCAATAATGAGTAACAATTTGGCGCCATCTACAGGTGGAAATTTGAAAACTTGGAAACGTCGATGGTTCGTTTTGGCTAATAGTTGTCTATTCTATTTCCAATATTCAACCGATAAAGAGCCTAAAGGTATAATACCTTTGGGAGAGAACTTGAGCGTCCGACAGTGTGACGCCTCATTGGAAAAGTACGGTCAATATACCTTCGAAATCTATCAAAGCCATAATAGAAGCAGGTCAATTAAAGCTTGTAAGAAAACATCTGACGGCAGCGTTCACATTGGCCGACACGAAGTATACAAATTGTGCGCAAGTAGCGAAGAAGAAAGGGATGATTGGATGGATAAAATATCTAAAATAATTCAACTAGTAAGAAAGGATTTCATTAGTGCCTTAACCCCTCAAACGGAAGTTCATTAGCACGAGAGCGTTACATCGAGTCGAAAAAAAAAAGCAAAGAAGGACAGAAGAGTAAAGGAAGCTAGGAAAAGAAATTATATAAATATCTTCATATTGTAAGATTTACACAAGGAAGAGAGAGAATGCGTCTATGTATTTAACAACCAAAAGAAAGAAAAGGCGAGAGACAGAGAGAGAGAGAGAGCGCATGTGTGAAATGAAGAATAGACAAGAAGAATGAGAGAATAAAAGAAAAAACGATACTTACTTTTTATTAAGTTTCTTTTTTTCGTTCATTTTCTCCTCATTCGGTTTATTTCTCCTATTTTCTTTCTCTGTTTGTTCCTATCTGTACTTGTTCTATTTACTTTTCACTAAGGTCGTTGCTTTGTTCTTTATTCTTCTTTGTGACGTGATCGAATGGTGCTTAAATGAAAGGAAACACTTTGGTCTTAAAAAAACCAAACGATATAACGAGTTTATTATTATCTCTTACCTATATTGTTAGCCTAATTAGGCATTCCAGTATTTTTGTTATTATATACGCTGAATTATGTTTGTTTGCCTGTTTGTTTGTTTTCGTTTTTATCTTCAACTTCTCCTACTCCTATTCCTTCTCCAATCAATCCTAACATCTCTTCATCACCTTCCTCCTCCTCATCATCGTAAACGTATATTGTATATATATATTTTACATAGGTTATATTTCTGTACCTTTGTATATATAATACAATTATTTATATAAATGGAAAATTCATATTTGTTTATAAAGAGAATAAAAGAAACTAAAAGAATTTAATAATAAAAAAAGGCCTTTTTTGTTGTTTATTCCGTTAAGAGAGTATTTTTTTCCAAGTATGAAACCCTTAGGCAAAAGTAATACAAATAAGAATCATATCAATTTTGTTGGTCTTACGTAACAATAGAGAATTCGTTTATCTTACTTTTCCTCTCCTTCAATTCTTCTTTTAGATCGTTTTTTTCATCCAAGTCAAAAATGTTATCTTGATGTGTTTCACCTACGTTTTTTTTCTCTCTAACAACCTATTTATTATTTAAATATTTCGGCTACCGTCGCCTAGACGCTGATATACTGTTTAAAGGGTATCCCGTTTTCCTTTCTCCCTTACCCCATGCTAATTTTCTTTTTGAAATTCTTTTTCTTACCTTTAATTCTTTTCCTACACCGCCGCCAAACTGAGAACTCTTTACCTTTAACGCCCACACTTCCTCCCACCGTCTCTTTTTTATTTTATTGCCTTCTCTTTTTTGTATAAAGAGAAACTTAGTATAGAAAAGAGAAGATATAAAAAAAATTGATTTAGTAAAATTATCAGCCCACTATTTTTCTTAATTGTATTTAGATGGCCCTTGACACGATATTCCAATTGTAAACCCTTATCGATAACTAACTCCGCCAATTCCGAACCCATTCGAGCAATAACCTCCTGCGGTTCAATGTTGGTGGAGCCGTTAATCGACCCCTGAGCGTTCTCACCATACCCTTCAGGGTACCCCCAGGCACTATCGATAACGGTACAACTTCTAATGAACTACTCTCCGCTATTCCGTTTTAAGAAATTATCAGAGTTTTGTTGGAAAACTAAGAAAAATGATTATCAAGTTTTTCTTTTCCTTTTCATAGTTTATAAGGAAGGCGAAGAGAGGAGAAATGTTAAAGGGAGCGAAAGCTGATGGCTACAACCGTTACTTATCATCATGATATGAATATTTAAAAAAAGACTACATGAAAGGAGCCGTCCATAAGATCTGGAATTAACATTTCACAAACTTTATCAATAGTAGATTTGAGGTAGTTTTATATAACGTAACGCATCTTCCTCTAAAGTGTATAGATGACATCGGGCGACAGGTCCGTACGTGTGTTTTTAATATAATCACTGTAAAAGTATACTGTACTGCCTTTTAAAAGGGTTTGCGATGACCCACACTCTCTGACGGTTAGAGTTTGTTTTCCCTAAGTTAGTTACAAGTTGACACAAGGCGAGAACGAGGAGAATGGGGAGGGAGAAAGAGAGATATAGAAAGACAGATAGATAGGGAACCTTTTAAAAAATAGCTCCCCTGCCAAGAGACATAGATCTCTTAACAGTTGATCCAAGATAAATGATCCAAAAAGAACACGCGCATTAATTATATAAAACATTAATTTGACAGTTACGGCTAAATTAAGATAACTCTTGTATATGGAGAGTTTAATAATGGAACTTTCAGACCATTATCAGATAGATTATGTAATATTAATTCTTTAACTGTCTGGAGCTCGTCATCACTAATGGTGTCTATTTCACGGCATCCGCCGTATAGAATAGATAAACTTCAATCGAAACCCTAATTTTCTGTTTATGTACGCAGGAGAATTTGGAGACGCAATGACAATTTGCTATTTATATCCATTATCGTTACATTTAACAACAGCAGGAATCTCTTTATTTCCCCTTTTTATGCGTGTGTACGAGCGCATGAAAACGTTATTGTAACTGTTGGAAAATCAGATACCTCTTAATATTATGATAGGGAATTGATCATTAATAGATAGGCTTCGTGTTCCTTCCACTATTCAACTTTATTCTCCTAGTAAAAATGACTAGATCTTTACTTTATCTACTCAGTACTTTGCCTTTTTTTCTTTCCCCTATTCCAGCCTTCGCTATCTTTTCCGCGTGTTTTTCTTTTTTAACTATCATTTCAACCTCTCCAGACAAATCATTATATCGACCAAACTATGTTCAATAATTTACGCGTAGTGATACTAATATAGAAATAAGAGTGCAGTAAAAAATAAGAGAGACGCTGCGGGGAGAGAACACAGAGAGAGAGAGAGAGAGAGAGAGAGAGAGAGGGAGGGAGGGTAGAAAAGGGTAATATAAAATTCCATAATTAGTTCGTTTTCCTTTTAGTAAAAGCCGAAAAATTCCATTCTTTTTTAAAGCAAACTGTTACATTATACCCTCAATTAGCTCTTATAAATAAATAAAATCTGAAATTTTCACTGATTTCTTATCATTAAATAGCTACCCTTAGAGAATTTCAACACCCTTCAAACCTCTGCTTGCTACCCACATTTCATTACATCATAATTACGTAAGGAGAGTTCCGTATTTTTCGCGTAATTAAAAGTTTCTCTCTCTCTCTCTCTCTATCTATCAATCTATCTATCTATATTATACATTACATAGTTTTTTATTAATGAATTAGCCTACATTATAGGCTTAAGAAATTATGTAAATTAGGTAGTAAAAAAAATTAAACAATCTAATGGCGTGAAAAAGATGACTATCAAGTACATTGTTATTAGTACGTGCAAAGAGTATAAACAAGCTTTGCGTGGTCTTCTCCCTATAGACATCAATTAGGGAAAGATGAGCATAATTGTAGAAAATTTTGCTGCTTTTTTTATATGAATATATAAACTGGAAAATGATAATTAACTATGTGCAGTTGTTTATTTTCCTAGAAAGCGGACTGTTTAATGCCTTATATATTAACCTAATGATTATTTCCTATATAAATGGATAGCTTGATGTTTACCTTTTATATTAATTATAATCAAAACTAACGTTTACAACGTTTAGAATATCGGGCGTCTCTTTTTGTTTTGTTTTGTTTTTTTTTCTTCCCCTCATCCGTCTCTCTCTATCTCTCTCTCTCTCTGTCTTATTGCATAAAACATTTTATTAAAGTAGCCGCTTAGGATAGCTACTTCTATTTACCTTTTTAAAGGTTGGTTTGAGGGAAAACAATGGCCAAATTTACTATTATTTGAATGGTTGAACAAACGGTTTGTTCAACTTCAAAGTTGTTTGGTTCGTTGGTCTTATTAATTTCGTCGCTTGACTTGAATCTTACATAATGGCTCCAGTTGGGAATTATTCGTCATTTCTGTGTGGAAAATGGATGGAGAAACATTTAACTTTTATTCTAACGAATTTCATGCCGAAGCCGAGTTAAGATCGGCTTGTGCCGTTGAAGAAAAACTTCGTAGCAATAAAGCGAAATCTTTTGCTGAAGCGGATAGTACTCACGTTCTAGCTGGAAAAACTCCTCCTGATTCACCTTATAAAATTGGCAAAGTCAGAAAAGCACGAACAACATTCACTAGAGCTCAGGTTGAAGCCCTGGAGAATAAATTTCTGTAAGTAGAAGATATACTATAGAATTTTTGTCCCAGTTATTGATAATAATAATAATCATTCGTTATTCTGTTAGCGAGTCTACTTTTATCAGTCGAGATGAAAGACAAAAATTGGGCAAGGAACTAGGACTAACAGCTAAACAAGTCATGGTTTGGTTCCAAAATCGTAGAGGACGTCTAAAGAGGAGAGGTAAACAAGATGCTGCCTACAGCGAAGACAAGCTTAACGAGGTGGTCTGTCAAAAGCCTTTCGAAGTTCGTCCACTTCACCAAATTGCTCCGTGGTTTCATCAAACCCCTCAGGCTCCTGTCGTACCCTACTCGTACGTTCATCCCGATTGTCAATTTACAAGCCCCTTTGCTTTGTCGACTCGTTCGGATTACGTACCGCAAAATCTACTTGAACACAGGGCAGCCTACTCTCCGTACTAATTAATTAATGAAAGAAAGATTGGAATATTGCAGATTTTATAAACTATTCTCTTGTACAGCTTTGTTATATTTTTTGTTTTTATTTTCTTTATGAATCCTAATAAATGAATAAGAGGATAAATACGATTGTATTAAGAAAACGGTAATCTCCTTTCTTCTTTACGTAAGTCTTAAATAAAGAGTGTTACTCTTGAAAGGGACCTTTACTGCTTAAGGAGGGTTAAAGGCCAATTGAAGAGTAGAATAAAATGATAACATCCAACATTTTGCGTAAGGTGATCCCTCTCCCACGATTTTTTTTTAACCACTCCTCCTCCTATTTCCCTTACAAATATTTGCGTTTTAGGGCACGAGATTATAGGCCTATTTTTGCACCTGTCCCAACGTAACGTTAGTATCTCTTTTTATATAAATATATATTATTATATATTAATATAGTTTTTTTTCCAAAGTCAATTTAGGGAATGCCATGAAATTTTTGAACAAATAGATTATATTTCTTGAATTAGTCCTATTCTTTAGCACCTTTCTCTCTCTCTCTCTCTCTCTCTCTCTCTCTCTCTCTCTCTTTCTCTCTCTGTCTGTCTGTCCCTTTTCTTACCTCCTTCCATCCTACCATTAGGAGGAAAGTTTAATCTTATTAATCATGAATAAGATTGATCAATGAGCTGGACGGGAGAGAGAGAGAAGGGAGAAGATCTGACATTAACAACAAATATCTAAAATATCGCATGATCCTGTTAATTAGGTGAAGCAGCAATTGATTATTGTTTTATTTATAAAACAAAAGAAAATAAGAATTAATTATATTAAGAATAAAGGCATTTAATACGAAGAAATTGGCGTATGATTAACGAGAGATGGCAAATTTACGGATTGAACTGATCTATTAAGTTTTGAATCGGCTTGTTGCGATATTGTTAATCCAGGTAGATTAACTTTTTGTACTTCTTGAGCAGGATTAATAGAATTTACAGATAGTACACCCAATTTATAGGCAGCCTCTTCGTATCTGCGTCTCCTTTTCTCCTTATAATCCTCGATGCGCTTATCCTCCGCAACCGGATCACCCAATTTTCCTTCCCATCTTAGCGTGTCTAGGGAGAATTTGGCTCTATTATTGGAAGTGGTCGTCGTACTTGCAGGCGCTGAGGTTGGTGACAGCGTTTTTGTTATTGTTGACACAGTAGTTACGGGAATGGAAGCGTATTTGGATTTTCGATTGGAATCTGCTTCAGTTGAAATTTTCTTTGATTGTCCATCTTTTTTAATAACAGGTTTATTATGTAATTTCTTAGAGGATACTAGAGTTTCCGGTTCATTTTCGCAAGTAAAATCTATTTCTGTAGATCTACCAGATTCGATATCATTACTATCGGATTTCTCTTTTGCAGCTGATTTACCAGTTTTGGATTTTTTCTTCTTTTTTCTTCCTAATTTATCGGCTGTACGCTGTAACAGGTTTTTCTTCTTTCCACTATTCTCCGTCTTTGACATACTAATTTAATGCTTTATTATTTAAATTAAATGTTAATTAACCTAAAAATACCTTTTTTATTATAATCTTTTTAATATTTTACTTTTAATCAAACCTTTGGTGTGTTTTTCAATATAAAATTAATAGGAAAATACCCAACTATTCGTCTGATCTCTTGTAATCGAGTCGTACATAGCAACCAATAAGTAGGCCTATTCATAGCGACAAAGTTAAGAAGGAGATTGCTTTTTTTTTTTAACACGTAGCGTCATCTATTTGTAAATTTTAAATAAGATTGTTTAAATAAAATTTCTAATTAAAAGAAAGAAAACCTACTTTGAAGAGAGAAAGATAGAAAGAAAGAAGGAGAGGAGGAAAAGCCTAAATAGATATAATATAACCTTCTCTACTCTGTCACCTTTTTATCAGGCATTATTTCTCTTTCTTTTGAATTGATTCTTAATCGTTATATAGGCTTATAAAGGTCAATTTGATAAAGAATGATGGTAAATTACTAATTAATGGAAAAGACGTCGAAAGAGAAAGGAATAAAGACTATAAAGAAGAAGTAGAAAGAGAAAAAGAAAAGAGTTCGTAAGAGGAGGGAAATGGCTCCAGATTGTGAGAATTAACGTTTTTGTCTGACCCTTTTTTATCTATTCAAATATAAGAATAATCTCTTTTTTTTCAGTATTCATCAGCAAAAAAGAAAAGAAAAAGAAACGCTAAGTCAATTATAACATTCGGAACTTCTGTCCAGTGTTTCCATTGGATAGTTCGAAGCGTAAGTATCTAAGAACTTGGTATGTTCATTTGGATGGTTGGCAGTTGTAAATGATTTCTTTCTTCCAACAGCAGTTGCCGTTACGTTGGTAAATCGTGAAGAAACGTTTCTGACATCTTCGTTAGGCATAGCTTGTCTTGTTCTAGACAGCTTCCTATAGATTTTAAATAAATAATGGGGAAAGTTGTCAAATATGATATAAATATAGCTTATTTAAGTTTTTTTAATTGATTAATACCTGCATCTAACCAAATCGCAAATGACGCTTCTGAACATAGGGTTAAGTGCGCAGTAGAGAAGGAAATTTGAACTGAAATTGAATACTTGTAGGAGATTTGCTACCGATCTAGCAATCAAGAATTGTTCGGTGGTTTCGTTATTTACCAAAATATGCACAAAGAAATCCATCAATTCGGTTGGAAATACTAAAACTATAAAAGCGACAACGATAACAATTAGTGTCAGAGTTACTCGAGAACTGACTGTCGTCGTGTCCGATCGTACATGACATAATCTCCTCATCCGGTAAGAACGCCTCAGGGCTCGGATTAAGGCCAAATTCGAGAAAGCTAATAGTATGGCCGGAATGAATGTAGCTACAACCACTTTAATCCAAAGGTAAATTTGACCAGGAGTCTTACTGTAGTTCATATAGCCTACGTCTAAAATATAGTCTTTGCAATTGTCTTTTGTTGAAGGAATAACGTGAGTTTTGTACTCCCAAAACAATGGTAGGCAAAATATTATGGAAGATAGTAGAACGACGCCATAGGCTATCTTAGATGCCGACCTCCCACTGAACGTTACGGCGCTGAATGGATGGCATATGGCGGCGTATCTTAAAAGGGCCATCGCAACGGTTATCCAGGTGCTACTAGTAAGACAGGTGCTTATTAACGCCGTGCTATACATTTGATAATAGCCAGAGAATGTATTATCGCAGTCGGAGAACATTGATGCCTTTGTGTTTGTAAACGAGCGTGGGATTAGGAAGAGGCAAAAGAATATGTCGGAAATGGATAGTGTCACTAAGCCAAAGTGAGTTGCCGTTTCTTTATGCCTTACACCGTTCAATGACTTGTAGAAGTGAACAACGCTCAAAGCGTATAAATTCAATAGATTTCCGATGACGCCTAACGAACACAATACTGGAGTTACTAAACGATCCAGTACTTCCCTCAGCAAAGCGTCATCATAATCGACTGGTGACGTTTCATTTGACGTTAAATTCTTGAAAGGCAACGGCCCCATCTATTTTGAATAAAAGAAAACACCAGGTTCTAGAGAAAGAAAAAGAAACATTTTAATACTTAGGCCTATATTTAAGCATAAAAACTTCGTACGCCCCTTCGATGCCCGCCAGCGTTTAGTATGTACACAGCGTTTTCCGCAAAGAATTTAGAATGAAAACAATATAGGCCTATAGAGATAAAACGAGAAACGTCAAAAACATCGATAGCCGACTCCAATGTTCCTTTGCCCTTCAAAGGAAATAAGGAAGTATATATTTTAAAAAAAGGAATTTTTGCTGTAGACCTAAAAGGAGGTTGACAAGTGTGAATGAAAGAGAGAGAGGGAGTGGGAGACAGAAAGAGAGAGAGAGAGAGAGAGAGAGAGAGCAGAGGGAGTGTATATGCTCCTACTATCGCGTACTATCCGCATTTGGAAGAAGAAAGAGGGTGGAAAGACAAGGTCAATGTAATGGGCGGGTGAAAAAGGCGGTTTATTATTGAACAGAGAGAGATTTTTTTTGTATTTGCCGATTTGTTAAGCGAGTAGGCGGATAGGCGGTTAATCGAATATGTAAACCGTAGGTTATTATATGCTTATTATTTCTTCTAAACGTCGGGAATATACAGGAAGATATTTTAAATAAATTAACTACAGGATAGAGAAAAATGGACGCTCTTTTCAATATCAAAGACTATTTTAATATCTTCTTCCTTCCTTAATTATTTCCCTGTTTTCTATTTTCATCTCTTAACTTATCCATTTATTTCTTTTTTCTCCATCTTCCACCTTGTCATATCTTGTTATCTTCATTTCAATCTAGATTTCAAAGCGTTTTACAAAATCTTCATTCCTCTCTCCTTTATTTGTTCCTAACGAATACTTCAATCTATTCTTCACCACTTATCCATCTATTGAAGGGTTAGGATCGTCTTTTCTTTCTACTCTCAATATTATTAATTACGTCATCGATTAAAGGTTCACAATTTTTTGTTTTAATGCGGAATATTTAAGGGAAGAACACGATTCAAACAGTTAGGCCTAAATTATCAATTCTCCTCTACCACCTTGTTCCTTCCCCTCTAACATCCTATAATAAATTGTATGTAGAACGTTTCTTGTCATATATTTAAATTCATTTTTCCTAATCTCTACACTTTAATGATTTTGGTATCTTTAATCAATTAAATCTACATTGATTTTAAATACAAACATCTGTTTATTCGCTTGATCTAATAAAATACATGTAAAATATTTCTTTTTAACACTTCCGAAACGAATTATTTGTCAGCTTTCCTTGGCGTTTTATCTTCAAAGGCACTGATTTTTTTCCCCCTTATAAACAGTTGAAATTGATCTATTAACTTTCACGCTGTTAACGATTAATTGTTAATCAACTGAATAGAATAAGTATTTTGTTATTTATCGAAAGAAAAATTTCTTTATTTCTCTTTCTCTCTCTCTTCCTCTGTCTAATATTTTCTTATATGATTGAATAGTTTGTGTGGTCGATTGTATCGGAGATCGTATAGCGAAACAGTAGTAGAGTAAATGAAAGGAGATGGAGGCAAGAAGGAAGGTGGAGAGAGAGAGAGAGAGAGAGAGAGAGAGAGAGAGAGAGAGAGGCGTAGAGAAGTTTGGACGGAACGCCGAAAAAGACTGATGAAAAGGTTTAACTATCTTTAGAAACAGTTGTATCTTGCTAAACGAAGGGAAAATAGTTGTACGGAAAAGGTAAAGAAAATGAGAAAAATTGTACTTACCGAGAGAAATGTTAATTAACAACTGCAACGTCGGAACAACTTTTCGCGCCCTCAACGCTAGACAGGCCATAAAGGTATATTGACGACAGGTGTCTCTAGTTTACTGCTTTTCCAGTTTATGATATTGTTAATAGGAGACGCTTCTCACAAGCCCCGTCCTTATATCCACCTATCGAATCTTTTCATACTTGAAAATCTAGAGAGAGAGAGAGAGTTCATATGTGTAAATGTAGTAGATAGAATATACTATATATTTATGTCGTAAAAAATTGTTTCGAATAATTAAAGCACTTTTGGCGTCTATTTTTAATTAAAGCGCAAAATAAATTGAGTATTAGGCAAGTAATCAACCACCCTAGTTGTCATCACAAAAGGCGTCTATTTTTTTATTTGAGAGCAACAGAGTAGATTATATTTTGTTATTTTGAGAAATTAAGGTAATTTAATCTCTTTTTCTTCTTATTGAAAAGTGGGAAAGTATTTTCTTCTCTTTCAACTACTCCTAACGATAAGAAATGAAACGAAAGAGAACCACAGGAGGGCTTACAGATAGAAGGATATTACCGTCAGATGGCAGTCTCTAACGTCTTGATATGAAGGGGGAAGGGAGACTTTATTAAACAAGAAAAAAATCATTAAAAATCAAGAAAATTTAAGGAAATACGGTGTGTCTTTTAGTTAGAATATAAATCAAGGATAAGGAAAAGAGAAATGTCACTGGAAATATTTACTAAATGTAAATAACAGGGTTTTAGGTTTAAACTAGAAACTTCCATTGAAATATCTCCTTAATTGGAGTTATGAACGGGTAAAAATAACGGGGAAAGCTGTTGACGCTTCTCTCTCTCCCTCTCTGTCTCTTGCTCACTCAATTTTTTTAAACGTTGAAATGCTTTTTCCATTTACATTGTTATACAAATCGATATGCGAATAAACAAAACACGTTTATTAGAAATATAAAAGGGTTAAAAAGGTTTAGGATAAGGCTTGGCAAAGGTTATAAAGTCGAAGATTATTGAAAGAAAAAGATATCCGGATAGAATACTACAGTTTGAGAAGAAGAAGAAGAAGAGAATCTGCTGTTGTTGTAGTAATAAAGAGTATATTAAGAAAATGATTTTACATTTAAAACATAAAGAAACAAAAGGCGAAGAGTACTAATTAATTAAATAAGTTAATTATGCGAACTGATACATTTTTGTCCTGTTAATCAATTAAATCCTTGTTCTCATACGATTAAGCCTTTTCCCAACTTGGGAAACGCTTCTTTTCTTTAAATTTCTCATATTCGATCTATGTCTAGCAACCTCATCGTTGGCGGGATCCAGGTGACGAAATGGCTGTAATAGTCCAAACCTTGATAAGTCATCTTTCATCCAATTTGGTTGACGTTTTGCCAAGTTTTTTGCTATACTTTGCCAATCTACAAATTGACGAAAATCTTCTAAATTAAGGTTGTCATTATCTTCAAATAGTGGACGCTCCTCGGAGAAGTTTAAGAGTAGGATACAGGTAACAAAAGTTATGAGTTTAAAGCTCGTCATAGCTTGTTGATGGTAAAAGAATTGAGACTGAAAAAGAAATTGAAACTACACTAAAAGTTACAATTACATATGCATATATATATATATATATATATAGATCAGCTATCAAATCTTGAAGCAGAGATATCATTTAGAGTCGGAAGTACTTATACTTCCTTTTAATATTCGAAAGTTAAAGGTAAAACAAAAAATGTTATCTTTATCTATACAGAGATACATAGATAAAATAATTAGATTTATATAATAAAAGATAGGGAATTTCATTTTTTATTTTTCATTAATTTAGAATGATACAGAGAGGAAAGAAATGTAAAAGAGCAAAAGAAAAAAGTTTCTTTTCTTCATCCTCTCTTCCCTACTTATTTTATTCTTTTCTTTTGAAAATATGAGAAAGGGAAGAGATAGAAAAAAGAAATTTACTTTAACTTATCCTACCTGTATCTTTGTCTGTTGAAAAGTGAACTGTAATAAACGAAACGACGTCACATAGTCTATTTAAATAGTCTTCCTTCGAATATGCTAATTGCTTCATTAATTTCTCTATAAAATATGCATAGACTCCTCTTGCGTCTAATATATATATTTATATATATATATATATACATAGATATATAACAGAAGGAGTACATACAATATGTTATTATAGTTTATAAAATACCTGTACAGATACTAATACATAACCATATGTGCCGTATATGCTTAACATATTTATGTTATATAATACACCATTATTTAGATTACTTCTTATGAGCTCTATGACTATTAAATAGGCCGTTTAGTAGTTGTTTAGTTTCATTTGATTGTCATTCATAACCTTAATTTCTTCTATCCCCTTCATTCATCAATCATGAGTTTATATAGTTTTATGTATTATTTATAGTCATTCATACCAACAAGGCCTAAAACTGTTTTACTCAGCAAATATCTTTCAAATACCTAATAGATAAGAAGAAAAAAAGGGAAGAAAGATTTTCTTCAACTTCTATCAGAAGGAAATAGGTGACGGAATCTTGGTTGACTGGGATAAGTTAAACGTTTCAATTTGATATTAGCGTCTAAACGTGACGGATTTCGTAATTTTTCAATGATAGAAGCGAATGATATTCTCTTTTCTTTCTCTTTCTTCTATTGTTTAGATGTTAAAACTATAAATTAAATGACAAAACTCGGAGATTGTATATCCCTTTTCTTTTTCTCTTCTTTCTTTATCATTGTGAATATTTATTTATTTATTTCTTTCTTTCTTTCTCTCTCTCTCTAGCTTTCTGTTTTTTGTTCTCCTTTTTGTGTATCTTCTATTAATTAAGTTCGTTTTGCGTGGGTTCCAAATTAAAGAAAGGAAGGAAAGTAAAATATAGGAAGTTGTTATTTAACGTCACTCAATCAATTAAAAAGTACGTCATTCATTTAGTTGAAATAAATCTTTTTCAATGAATAATACTCTTCTCTTGTTACTCAACCCTCCTTCTCTAATATTTACTGCTTTTATTTCTCTTTTCTTCTCTGGGGGAAGGGGGTGTTTGCTACTCTGCCGCCATCTGTTGTCTATTTGCCCAAACAAGTATGTAAACAATGTTCTTATCTCTATTATTTACTAGATATCTACAACTCGAATATTTTTGTGGGCGTAGAGAGAGAGAAGATTTACAACTGTCGAACATAGATTTCAGTATATACAGTACTCTCCGTACTTTATTTGTAAAGGAGCGAAAGGTTCTTGTCTGTTAACAATATGGAAGTTATTGAATTTAACTGAAGATAGGAAAAGGTTAAAAGTTTGATCGTAAGATGAGAAAACAGAAGATTGAAGGTAGCGGGAGGGAGGGAAAGAGAGAGGGAGGAGATTTGAAATGGAAGATGTCGGAAAAAGAAAGGAAGAGGGAGGAGAAGAATTTTAATTTGTTTTCATTAACATTGTTTATTTGTTTACTAGAATAGAAGAAAGATCGTAAAGATGCTAAGTAAAGGTAAGAAGAAGAGAAGAAACATATAAGTTAAATCTCTCTCCCACTCTTGCTCTCCCGTCTCAACTTTTCAACTTTTTTCGCCCCCTCCCCTCTCCGCCACTCCCCTGCCTTCTAATCAGGTTAAAAAGAGAGGGAAAAATAGTTGATTTGAGCGATGAATGCAGCGAGGAATGCGTAAACAATATTGTTTTTCATTTTCTATATTTCTCAACTCAACTGTAAAAAAAACTAATACCCTATTCTTTTATACAGTATATACAGTTTATTATAAAACTCTGCAAAGAGAGTAAGAGGAGCGGGTGAGTGGGGAATGGAAAGAAATACCTAAGATGCTTGTTTTAGTGAATTCAGTATAAATTGAACGCTAACTAATTAAATTTATTAGTTACAGAGCATGATAAAATGATATATAGATATAGTATACAGTATATGTATATATTTATATAGATATATAAATCCTATATTAACCTATAGAAATAAGTCTATAACAGCTAAAAATGGAAACGCTGGATATATTAATAACTAATTTTATTATTGCTAATGTACTCTTGTTTGTATAGTATTATAATTAAATATTCATGAATACCGCTATTTCATTGTTTTTATTTTTTCTTCGTTTCTTTCATCATTGCCCTTTTCTCTCTCTCTCTCTCTCCAATCCTCTCATAGTTATTTTAATTAGGTTATTCTTGTTTCAAATTATAACGATCGAATACCAATAAGGGAAATGGGAGTAAGGGGAGAAGGTGAAAATTGGAATAAAAGGTTAAAAAGGGGTAGTGGGTGGGAATACGTTTAGGGGGAGGAAAGAGAAGTAGAGATTTGTTGGAATGCCTTTGGCAGTTGTCATTAGAACACCCCATCGAGAGAAACACCCACTCCGAGGAGGTTCTTTTACTTTTATATCACTAGAATTTCAGTTATACCCCTTTACGTACATTCTATCCAACATCTTTGCCTTCGGGATATCGTAACCCTTAGAGTAGCGGTGGGGGGTAGGGGTGGAAGGCAAGAGCTGACCGGTAATAAAGTCCTCAGGCTGTTCTAATAATTTTTTTACGTATAATGCTATAAATCGTTATAGGCCTGTAGTCGTAATAAAACGATAAACATCATTTAACTATAGGAGAAGGGTAAAGGAGTAAAAAGAGAGACGTTTTAACACGAGAAGAATCTATTCAATTTCATCTTTTTAATGTCCATTTACTTTGATGAAATGAGTTTTTAATAAGAATTTTTTAACTAAAGTAACATGGTTATATACATAATAGAGTGATGGAAAAAAAAATTGAACAAACGCGCCACCCCGTGGCTTGAAAATAGATTAAAAAGTGAATTTGAATGTAGGATAAGTAGAAGGAATTTGAATTATTTCAATAGTTTCTCTTTCGAAATGGCATTGGTTAGATAGTTTATATATATACTTGACCGTTATAAGAACAAGATAATAGAAAATGTATCTTTCGTTAAAAAATCGTAACATTCCTTACAGATTCCATCATTAATTCTGTACGTATCTCTGGTTTAGATTATACATTTTTCGCTATAGGCCTTATCAATTATATAAATAAAGAGGAAGTGTAATAAATTACTTAATCTATACTATAAATTGAAATATAAAAAAGAATTAGGTCTATATCTATAAATGAAACAATAAGAAAATCACTTTATAATATACAGTGTAACTCATATTGTATTATATACGCATGTGTAGACATCAAATATCGTATTAAACGAATATGGTGATTGATTAATTAATTAACTAATTAATTAATTAATCGAGGTTAATTGTATATATGAAATAATAAGAAATAATAAGAAATTCTTCATAAAGAGCAGAGGTACAGAAAGATGATGAGCGAACTTATCTTGAGTGAAAATAAATCCTTAAGGCTTATTATAAAAATACTATTTACCATTTTAAAAGACGTGTATAAACAAGATAAGCATTGAGATAAAAGGGTTATGCCCCCGCTGAAGGGAAGGGAAATAATTAATTTACTTAATATAGTTGAGAGAGACGTTAATTAAATCAAAGAGACTATACATAAGATATATAATATACAGGTAGAAAATCAAGCGATATTCTTTCATCCTTTTCCTCGTTCTGTTACGATATTACGCAACAAGATTTCTTCTTTTTATCTTTTAATTGAAGGTTATCTTTTCTCGGTGACTTTAATGCAGTTTGTAAATTATCTGACGGTGCGGATTGTTGATTTGGGACGGTGATTGTTTGATCTATTAAATTTTCATCTTCCACTTCCGGTTTATCAATATCGGGATCTGCTATATAAACACTTGTACGGCTAATTAAAGAATTCCTTAGGATATAGTCGGCTATTCTTGAAAGTTCTCCATCGCTTTTAAACGGATTTTCCTGATATTCTTCCTCTCTATTAAAATGATAATAATACAATTAATTTAATTTTCATACTATTTTTTATTTTTTCATACTTGGCCACTTTATTCTTTAATATTCCAGAAATAGGCCTATCAGTTGGTGAATTAGGATCCATAGTAGGTAAACTCCTATCCCAAGATTCGTGAAAACTAGGACTTTTAATATTTCGTTTAAAACAATTATTCTTATCGCAACGTTCCATTGTTTTATCAATAATTTTTACTTGTTTCTTTTCGTTTTTCTTAGTTTTTAATTTCTCTTCTTCTTCTTCTTCTTCTTCTGCCTCTACTTCTTCCTTATCTGTATATTTTACACTAGAAGAAAAGAAAGAAAAAGAGAATGATATTTAAAATATATTAAAATATACCAGTTATATTTATATCTATATTTGTATGTTTGTATATATTTATATAAATAAATAATTCCTATTAATATTCAAATGAGAAATTCAGATAAAGTTTTCTATTTTGTCTGGACAATTGCCAATTTTATTTTACTTTTACTTCTCTCTCTCTCTCTCTCTCTCTGTCTGTCTATCTATCTATCTATCTATCTGCCTACCTATGCCTACCTACCTACCAAACTACGTACCTCTCTATCTATCCATCTATCTAACTGTCTGTCTATATAGCGTACAACATTACATGTCCTCGTTTTTCTCTTTGTTCCCACTCTTCCTCCCTTAATTTCTCTTTAGTTAAAACAATTTCCAAGTGCTCTTTTTTTTTATATATAAATTAACAAGTATAAACTGGTATCAATTATATTACATACTGTATATAGCTACTTTATTACCTTATTAACTATTTAAGGTTTGATTAGAATAGTGAAGATTCTTATTTATTACTTTAATGTTGTTTAAAAAAAAAACAGGCCTATAACTTTTAGTATTGGAAATAAAGTGTAATATAGTAGTTGATCATAATTGCAGATGAATATATAATAAAAATTCAAAAAAAAGATAGTAATACATGTATATGGTCTACTTTTGTCTCTTTCTCATTTCTTTTATCTTCTTTTCTCGGCTTATACGCTCATTCTCTCTTTTCTCTTAACTATCCTGATAACAGAATCTTGTTTTTGTTTGGTTTGTCAATTATTTTATCTATTTAATTATCTTAACCTTTTATAAAATTGCTAACAAACTACACTTAAAAGTAGGATTTTTCTATTAATTAGAATCTTTAACAGTACGTATTCCCTTAGTTTCTGTTATTCTACATCTTGTAAGTCTACTCCGATAATACCCCTTCCTTCCTTCGTCCCTCCACTATCCCATAATGCTCTATCCCTACCTCCCCTTTTATCCGTTTCTATCCTAAAACATGTTACCTTTCCCACCCTCTACCCCCTTCTTCTTTTCTTCTATATCTTCCCCCCTTCTATTATTGATTCGAACCTGCCAGTCTCTCTTTCTCTGTTTTTTATCCCTCTATTCATCTTACATCTAAAAAAACTCATTTATAACGTAAAAATTTATACAATTTTAATAAAAAAAAAACGCCATCTTTCGACGCTTTATTTGCACGTTAATACTTACTTAACCATGGCAATTGCCAGATCTCAGACTAGGGGCGTCCAATCGAATTTTTTTTTATTAATTTATCGTCCTTCTCTCTCTTTGCTCCCTCTTTTATTTCTCTCCCTCTCTCTCTCTCTCTCTCTGTCTGTCTATTATTCTTTCCTTTTCTCTGCTTCTTTTTTTTTATTTATATTTAACAAGATTCCAGGAAAAATTTCGCCTGTTTTGATTTTGATTTTCTTGTATTTGATTCCTTTTTTTTCTTCTCTTCTTATTTTCTCTATTAGAATTTTTTTTTTAAAAAATCGCTATTCTTTTCATCCCCTGCGCTATACAAATTTCCAGCTAGTAAACGTAGTCATACTGCAAAATGGTGCGAATTGATCTTTCTCGTACGGTAGCGCCATCATTCGGACGGTACTGCAAAATAACATAAAATAAAAGCCTATTGAAAGCACAATAAATAACAGCAAATATTAGTAGAAAAATAAAGAATGAAAAGTTTATAGGGATTTATAAGAGGACATTACATAGATCAATGAATAAAAGAGATAAATAGATTGAATGAAGGAGAGAGAGAGAGAGAGATAAAGAGATATACACTATGAATAAGACATGATAGTTGAATTGTATAAGAGTTAAGTTTTTGGTGAGTGTTTGAGTATAAATCTTTTGACAAAAAGAACAAGTTGATTAAGTTTTTATAGAAAGAGTTGTCTAGTTTGTTTATCTAAGATATATACAATTATTGAATGATCGAATTGAATACACTCTTTTTACTATTTAATCAAAGAATTATTTATATAAAACTTTTATGTCATTTAAAGTTCAATGAGCGTTATTTAAGTGTTTTTTTGGGGCGAATAATTGAGAGATAGATTGGGAAGGAGAGAGAAAAGGAGGAGAAGAATAATACGGATTACTATTTGGAGAAAGAAAGAACAAAGTATAAAGAGATAAAGATTCTGTTAATAAGTGTTATAGCAGATTCTTCTTTCTGTCTCGCTTTCTTCGCCTTATCCTATCTCATCTTTATATATAATTATCCATTGATTATGCATATGCAAGCGTATACAATATAAATATAAGACATATTTTTTATGTATATAGTTAAAGAACTTTTAAATGATCTAGCAAAGATAAACTACATCTATCCAAAGTGATGAATGAGCTAATTATTTTCCATTGTGCTACAAGGTCTTTACGGACCGATTCCTACTCGCTTTTCCCTTAACTTAATCCAAAATGTCCCTTAATCTCACTAAAGGGATAGAAAAGAGGAAGTATAATTTTCTTCGGCCTATTTTAAAGTAATACAGCCAAAGGAATTATTTTTTAAATGAGTGCAATTAAAAAACCTTCAATGTTTCGTTTAGAAGTAGTACTTGTTTCTTTATAAGGATTCCATCTCATTCAGCATAATTAGCTATTATGTAATTCTTAATTACCTACTCTCTACGTCGTCTTCTTAATTACCTAATTTTCTTCTTGGAGGGTAGAATTGATGAGTATTTCCTATTTTACTTAGGTGTAAATAGGCCTATAAAGCTATTTACAATTAACTACTCTCTTAAAGTCTAATTGCGATCGACATTAATTTGTAGTACTTTATTTGTTCAAGGACGACTTAAGACATCTTTCTCTTCTTCTGTTCTGCTATATATATATATATATATAGAGAGAGAGAGAGAGAGAGAGAGTTTACAGTATATCTGTTTGTCTTACTCTAGCAAAATTTTTTTTTAATTAAAAAAAAAAGAAAAACCAACTGAAACAATTTGATATAATTAGGAAAAAATTAAATAAGTCAATAATTAATTAATTATCATAGGCCTATAAGTTAATTTATTAATAAATTTTTAAAAAAATGATGGTGAATAGAGGCTAGTGTTGTTTTTTTTTTCTTTCTATTTTTTTCTTGTTTTCAATATAGTGTAGTAGAGAAATGATGTTGTAATGGTAAAGTAGGCTAATAGAGAGAGAGAGAGAGAGTTAAAATAAGAAGAATAGAACGGAAATAATGATGATGATGATGATGATTTTACTTTCTCTCCTTTTTTTTAAATGTATAAAATCAAACATCATTAGGAAAACTTTCGAAATTCGAAAACGAAAAGTTAAACACCAAAGAAAAACAATTTATTTTCGCCAATTTTCTCTTTCTCTTCTTCATTCATCCATCCATTTCTCCTCCTCTCCTTTCCCTTTTACCATCATCATCTCTCTCTCTCTCTCTCTCTCTTAATCCTTCGTATATTTTAGACGATAAAATAGAAAAACAAAGCGTAAAATACTAGATAGAAATATAAGAATAGTGAGAAAAAATGGACGAATCAAGTAAAAAATTATTTGAATTAAGGAACGAAATAGAATTGGAAGTTGAGGAACTTCAAAGAGAGATTGGGGATATAAAAAAAGGTGGTGAAAGACTAGATTCTAAAGCTATAGAATACAAAGCGGAAATGTCGGATTTGGGTACGAAATTATGTCAAATTAAAGGTAAAATTAGGGCAAAGAGGAGCGAAATTAATGAAAAAAGGATGGATATTAGGAATATGGGATGGAAGAGTTTCGAAATTCAGCAAGAGAACGACGCTCTTAAATCGCAATTATTGAGTTTAGAGAAGAAAGGCGTTAATTTAGCTGATATAAGAAAGAAATATAGTCTATCTACATAATATTATAGAAAATGAATATAAAAAACACATTAGAAAGGAAACGAATGATTATCAATTTAATATTAATATTTATACGTAATCTGTTTTTGTATTCAATTTGAGCTAATAGATGGCGACACCCTGACAATCTTTTTTCTTTTTTGCAGATTTTTCCATTATGCACTTCTGGAACGTTTATATATAGATATAGCGCTTTTGCAATGCCGAATGGCAACCTCTTAAATCGATAATGTCCGAAACGATGTTACGAAAGTTGTGTAACGCCTGGAATTTTCATGAAGAGGCTGTATAAATGATTTTATACGATTTCTATATAAGCCTAATAATTTCATTAATTATTATATAAATATGCAACCTATTGTATCAAATCGTAAAAATTGGGGTCATCAATTTTATATATAATATTCTTATCCTTCTCTCGTCTCTCCCTCCCCCCGTCCCTCCCTTCCTCTCTTTCTTGCTCTATCTCTATCCTATACAAATCTATCTAACTGTCTATCTATCTATCTATCTATCTATCTATCTATCCATCTTTTTTTTTTTCTCTTTTTTTTGTCCACGATATTATTTCCAATCCCCGATTTAGCCACCGTCCCACACAATTCAGGAATATTCTTCTACACATTAAATATTTGACAAGGGGTAGAAGGGGGTTGTTGTATAGTTCTATTAATTTCCTTCATTATTTCATTTACATCTCCCTATAGTTATGATAATTTTTTTTTCTTTTTGTTTTCGCTATTTCCTGTTCCTATTTGACCTTTTTTTTTTCTTTTCCCCTCCTGTACCCTATATTTCCCTTCTTCCAGTTGTTTTTTTTTTCCTTCCAATTGTTCTAACTACTCCTTAGATTAATACTATCCGATTTGTTTAATTCTTTATTATTTTAATAATAGTCTTATTAATATTAATAGTAATAATAATTAAAAATAATAATATCAATAATCACGAGAATAATGTAATTTCGTATTCCACCTTTTTTCTTTCTAAAGGAAATAAATACAAATCAATTAAAGTTAATGTAATCGGATGGGATAGCTCCTACGTAGTTCTTTATTGTATTACGTAATACCTTTCACCTTTTTTCTCGCTCTCTCTCAGCTCTCCCGCTCTCTCTCTCGTTTATTATTTTTTTTTTGTTTTTTGTTTTTTTTAAAAAAAAACTTTTCATTATTTTTTATTATTTGAATTTTATTGTTTTTTTTGTTTTGTTAACTTTTCAGCCGACGGAAAAAGTATAATTGAATTGTTGAAAGTTTATAGGTTAATAATCAAATGGGACTCTTTATTATTAAAAATAGAAAAGAACTATGCTAATGAATATTAATAAATATTCCTAGGCGATAGAATAAAGCCTATAACGTATTAGGAACCGGATGTAAAGATTTTAATTAAGATTTGCGAATGGGCTTTCTCTCCCTCTCTCTCTCTCTCTCACCCGCTCACTTCGCTCTCTTCTCTCTCTTTCACTTTTTCCTCTATCTCTTTCCTCTCCACTCGCCCCCCCGCCTCCACTGACTACGTCTCTTATTCTTCTTCTCTTTTCTTTATATCTCCTCCTTTCATTCATTCTTTTCTCTCCCTTTTTTGTGTTAAATTCTAATTAAAAATTCTCTTCCATCTTTGAAAGTTACAAAGAGTCAAGCACGTTCGACGCTTCTCGCTCGGAGGAACATAGAAGTAGAAGGAGAAGATAATGATAATTGTTATAATGAAGGTTATGAAGAAGATGAGAGGAAAATGAAAGAAATCCTTGGATTTAAGATAAGAGTTGTAAAAGAAAAAAACTAGCTGAGAAAGAAGAGAAAAATTTATATGGAATCGAAGAGGAATGAGATGAAGAGTAGGGCGATGAAGAAGTAAATAAAAGCGGACAGAGTTTACAATTAAAGAAAGAAAGAAAGAAAGAGAAAAGGGGGAATGGAACACAACTATTCTAATTCAATTTAATAAATTCCATTCATATTTCGTCGCCCTTTATCCTCTTTTAATCCATTTTTTGGTGCTATAACTCAGTAATTAAGTTAATTTCTCGCCGGAAAAAAAAATGAATCTAATTAATCAAGCGCCCCTTCTGATTTATTCGAGAATTATGGTAGCATTCCTTAGCCTAACCGGAAATAGTCAAATGGAACAGTGAGAAAAACTCTTTTTTTCCATTTGTCCCCCGAGAATCTCTGGCGCCGAAAATATTCCCTTTTCCGAAGTAATTTAGTCCGGCGTAGACGCCTCCCTCTACCCCCACCCCCTTGTTCCTTCTACCACCCCCCCTAGCCATTTCTTAATAGTTCCTAATTACGCGCCATCTAGCGGTTGTTTTAGGAATTATTGGGGAAAATGGTAACGAATTATTTAACAGCGTATTACGATGGCAGAGGGTATGAAATTAGAAACCATAGCTTTTACAATCGATAGCCAGCGGTTTTTTTCCTCTTTCTCTCCTCCCTTATACGAATGTTTTTTAAATAAAATCTTACTTAATACCAAGCCAACTTATAGCTCCTACAGGGATACTTAAGGTGATGATGACTATGTTGATAATGGGTATTTTCCCCCTCGCAATCGTCATCCTACTATTTTAATTCAATCCTCATATACATAAATATATAAATGCATAAATTCCTTCTAAACTCAAAGTGTTGTGTTGTTATAACAAAAAGAGAGAGAGAGAGAGAGAGAGAGAAGAGGAAGATAGACGATATAGAAAATTTCAAATAAAAAGAAAATAACTACTTTTTGTTATTTTTTTTTTGTTGTTGCCTAAAAGTTATAAAAAAGGAAAAAAAAAACCATTACTTGATCAAAAACGTGAACTAGTTGAACTTATCTAACGCACGGTAAATAAATGAATGTTGACAGAGGGATTTAATAAACGATTGTGTCGGCGAAAAAAAATTCCTTCTAGTCTTTGTACGCATTGCTAATTGTTCTTTGACGAAAAACACGCTATATTTTTTTTTATATAAAAAAATGATATATATATATATTGTATCTATGATACGATACGATATGATATGATATGATATGATGTGTATATATACTGTATATATAGTATGGATGTTAATTACCGAACGATTGCTTTGATTTGTTTACTTATTTAAAATATATATTATATTATTATACGTATAAACTCATATACATATTAATATATACATTAATGTATATATGTTTGTGTATGGGTATCTCTTTATACTTTCGTTTTCAAACTACTTTTTGTATGTATACCAATAATTTTATAAGTATATATATATATATACACAAATTATATATATATCTATATATATATATATATATATATATATATATATATATATATATAAATGCATATATATACTTTATATACTGTAAAACATTGAGATTTTTTGGCGAAAGTGAAAGCAGAACGGTCATTTAAAATAAAAACAAGTCTTAATTGAAAAAATGGGCGAATGCGTAAAACCAGAGTCAGATCGTTTCTATATCTTTTTTTTTCTCTCTCTCTCTCACGCTCTCTTCCTCTTTATCCTTTCCTCCCCTTTCTAAAACCCTTAAAACAGGATGTATTGAAGCTATATTCGATTTTATTTAAGAAAGATAATATTAATATTAAAAAAGAAAGGAAACCATATTTGTTTTTCGTCTTAACTTATTTCTCTTTTAATTTTCTTTTAAAAAAAAAACTAACTATAAATTTTTAATAATATATATGTATATTTTATTTTTTATGCTTATGATTTAATATCAATAGAAATATTTTATTTCAATGGGAAAAAGGCTCTTTTGTTTTTTTTTTATAACTTTGTTTTTTATGTTTACAGTGTTGTTACATTCATTTTCTCTCTCTCTCTCTCTCTCTCTTATTTTCTTTTCTGTCCTTCCCACATTCTTTACTTCCTTTCCTGCTCCCCTTCTCTTTTTTGCTATGTATAAAAATATGTTGTTACTTTTAAGTGATCTGTTATTTTTTTTATCTTTTAAAAAGAAAATGTATATTTTGTTCCTCATTCCCCCTCTTCCTCATCATCATCATTATTATTATTAATATTATTATCCTCTTATCTCTCTGTCTATGAATCATTTTATAATTTTTGCTTATAGATTTGTACGATCCGCTCTTGTTATTAGCTGCAGTGTCGCACCATTTCTCACTGCAGTTGGCGCTATAACGTTCGCCTCTTTTTTTTAGTTTTTTAAGCACAAAAAAATATACATAAAGAAAAAAATGTATGTTTATACATACATACATACATTCGTATATATATATGCATGTATATATTTAAATATATAGATATAGATACACATATATATATATATATATATATATATATAATGTATATAGTACAATAGTACGCCAAGTTTTTTAATAAGTCAACACAAATTTCTTTTTCAACAAATGCTGGCGCTGTTCTGAGCAACAAACGAAGAAAAACAAACGTAAACATTTAGACTTTCTTTCTCTCTCTCTCTCTCTCTCTCTCTCTATTTCTGTCTTTCTTTCTTTCTAACCTTTCCTCTCTTTTTTCCAAGTAGACATAAACTACAACAGGCGTTTTTCCTCTTTTTTTATATAATAAATACGTATACTCTTGTACGTATACAACTGTCAGGCTCTAACAATAAAAAGAATAAAGAAAAAAAAAACAAATAAAGAAAAAACATGTATATATGTAAAATTTTTAATAAGCAATATATATATATATATATATATATGTATATGAATGTATATATATACAGTATATATATATATATATATATATATATACATATATATATATATACATATTTGTACACATACATGCATACGCATACAATGTATATATACATATGATATAACGTTCTTTTCCTGCTTCTAAACATATACAAATCTGGACTACGGTTTTTTTGTTCTGTTCGATATGTACATAATCATCGCTCGGCGATCAGATCTAATTGTTCAACTTAATCTTTTTCGCACTAGGTGGTGCCTGCGTCTTATGCGATTCGGAAGTGCAATGGCGAAGAAAATCTTTCTTAGTTGGCAACTTATCCGAACAGACGACGCACTTGTAAAGTCTCTGTTCCAGTTTCAGCATATGCTCTGCTTTCGGTGTATGACCGGCGTAGCAGCTTGAAGATTGGTGTTGAAGGCATCCCTCCTTCGCCGGATACACCATTTGACACTTTCGGCAAATGTAACCAACGTCCACGGAAGAGGGCGCGACGACATCGTCGCCTACTTGTTCGCTAACTTCCTTTATACTACTGCAATCCTGTGTATAATAGGCCGACGTTGCATTGGCGGTATTTAACTGCTTTTGAACCTTGCTAATGGCCGCTTGCGGTATTTGAAGCATTTGCAAAGGCGTACCGAACCTTGTAGGGTCGTACATCAAGTCACCTGCAGCGTAAAAAGTAATCAATGGATAGAATAGAGCTTTTGTTTGAGACCTTAATTGCGTCCTTTACTCTTAATGACTATAGAGACGCCGGCGGCTCTTTAGTCTCTCTTTTTATATTGATATATATATATATACAGTACATATATATATAAAAATATATAACTATATATATATGAATGTATACAGTACCCAAATATCTAAATAAATTGTAGATTACACACTTTTAATGCATAAAGCATATACAGTAAATCTATTATCATTTATTACATATATGATATACATATTTATTGAATATATATATAAATATATGTTTAGTCTAAATTTACTCCATTCAGACTAGTATTCTAATGCAAATAAGTCAACGTTGGGCAATCTTTATGAATTACAAGCTAAAAAAATAACAACTCTATACATTGTCGATACACGGCGTCTGTACGAGGCGTATATTAATATACAAGAGAGAAATAGGGAGTAGGTGAGGAGCGGTTGTAATTATACGGCCGCCGCTTCATACCGTTTATACGGCAATTAAGCGAACGTTGAACAAAAGCGTCGAGCCTTAATATAGGCGAGCCGGCGCGCGTAATTTAGAAATCGACAAAGGCGCCGTAATTTAAGCCTACGTTCGCTCGCATAAAGCACGCCAGCTGAGTACCAGCACAGTCTGAATTGTCACTTTTAATGTACATTCATCAAAGTGTCAATGCGTTTCTTGCTTATATCAGGTTCGCTTTTTTTTTTCTTCGTCTTCCTCAACCCCCTAACTCTATCTGCCTATCCGAAGAACAATTTCCCTTTCGTTATTCACTTACCAGGCGCTAAACCGGACATAAAAGGCGCTAGACCTCCAGCAGTTAAGGGAAACCCGGGAGCACTACTTGGTAAAAACAAGGGCATCATTAGGTCGGATCCGGGCATTCCTAACATCGACATCATTTGGGCGTTTAAACCGGCAGAAACCAAGGGCGAGGTTCCACCTGTTCCGCTTGTATTTCCGGTCCGTCTGCTTTCTATAATGGGTACAAGTTCAAAGGGGAAAACATTTAAAAAAGATTAGCCTCTCGTATTGTATTACGTAATAAATATAAACTACGTACTTTCGTTATCGCCCATCTCCAATTTCGAGGGTTTGCTTCGAGCATTGGTACTTCCTGTTGGCGTTTCGACCTTAGGTAACGACGTGTCACGGACACCTTCGCTTTCCAATTGTTTTCGCATATGATTCATAGCGTTCTGTATATGACGTTTAGTGAAAATATGATCTTGAACGCTGTAGTTGTGGGTGAACGTAAAATTGCAAAGGCTGCACGAGTCCGGTGTTCTTGGCGGCTCGTCAACTGGTTGACCCTGAGCTAGACGAGCTTTCTTCTCCTTAGCTCTGGCATTTTGGAACCAGACTTGAACAACTCTTTTAGGCAGGGAAATCTCGGATCCTAATAGTTCGCATTCCGACATAGAAGGCGTTCTATACCAATCAAATAGCGATTTCATGACGCCTATTTGTAACGAGGTCATCTGGGTCCTGTATCTTTTAGCGGGTCGATGCGAGCCTCCTGATAGACCGCCACTTGAGCCCCCATGCCCATGTGCCATATGTGAACTTGGTGGTGACGACGGATTTGATGCTTCGTCCATAAAATCAACACCATCCGTTGTACTCTCGCTATACGTTTCCGATCTATTATCATCATCGTAATGCCTTATAGGTGTAATTTGTGAAGCAGGAATTGATGGTGCCCTAGCGCTAAGATCCAAAGGAGCGGAAGGGTCCTCTAAAACAGTTGGAACTGTTGGGATAGCCCTCTGAGGTGTTGCCGATTTCCGGCGGTCAACTTTAGACGACGCGCTGATAGGTGTCTGAGCCGATGGCGTTGAAGTTGACGAAGGTGTCGACGTCCCAACACCAGACGATATTGTCGCGGCGGGTGATGCTTCCGTTATAAATTTGTTTAAATGTTCCTCATACATTTTCTTAAAAGATGCCGCTTGGCTAGGTGGGAATAGTACAGGATTCGATGGAACGTTGTACGGATTAGATAAAAGCTTGGTCATATCCAATGCTGGCGTTGGCGATTCTTTGTCCTTCAGAGCTGGAGGTTCAATAGGACAATCAGGAATATTATCAACATTAACTTCGCCTTTAGCCATTTCTTCTGGGTGTTTCGTAGCTAAATGCGATTCTAGGGCCGTCTTAGCTCTAAACAGGGCTCGACAAAAGGGGCATCTCTTATGTATGAGTTGCGCGTGCGCTCTGTACTGACCTTTTCTTTCGCGGGCTCGCGTATTCTGGAACCAAACTTGTACAACTCGTTTCTTCAAGCCCACTTCGTCGGCAATCGATTCCAACTGTTTCCTAGACGGATTACTGTCCGCCTGGTATTTCTGATAGAGATAATCCAACTGTTCCGGTAAAATTGTTGTTCGTAGACGTTTATCCCTAGAAGGGCAACTTTCACCGCTATTATTTGAGTCTTGATCGTCGTCACTTTTCCTTTTGGATTGTTTTGCTTCGGCGTGTTTCGCAACGTTTTGTAAAATAGCGAATGCCGAATCGAAAGAAGCTGGTGTAAAGACAGGTGTAGCTATATGGAGAGCTTGATGCTCCCTCCACGATTCAGTGTCTCCGAATGATTGTGAACATTTTTCGCAATCGTAAACCTTTTGTTGTGGTTGCGATTGTTGTTGTTGTAGTTGATCTCTGCCGTTGGATGACGAACTCACATCAGCCTTAGAGGGAGGTGATGAACTAGTTCCGTCATTGCTATTATTGCAACTTGATAATGGTGTCTCTTCCTCTTTAAAGCAAACGCTTTTCTGGTGTTTAATTAGTTCGTAATAGCGTTGGAATACCGTTGAGCATCTTTTACATTGATAATTGGAGCCTGGAGTTTTTATGTAACGCTCATCCTCATTTGAAGATGAAGAATGGCTATTAGTGGCGTTCTTTTCCGACGACGAAGGTGGTTGATTTTCGTAACTCTTGCGCGCCTTCTGTCGAGCGTTTTGGAACCAGACGACAATAACCCGAGGCGATAGTTGAAGAGTCTTGGACAGGTGTTCCAATTCGTCGTCCTTTGGATAGGCGTTTTGCTCAAAGTATTCTTGAAGGGTTTTTACTTGATGATCAGTAAATCTGTATGAGAAATGATTCCTAAGATGAAAGATAATTAGAAGAGAGAGAGGGAGGTAAAAGGCAAGAATTTAAATAAGCGAATAATTAACAAATGTATGCGCTGAGGATAAACGCGTTGAATAAGTTACGTAAGTCTGAGAATATTATATAATCAACCGCCTTTACATAGGCCGGGTTTGAGTGGCGTTAATCACTGTGTAAATGGCGTATCTAGACCGAACCGAGGGGGCCTCACTAAACAAGATTGCGCAACCTCTCTATAACCTATTATGTAATTTTTCGATGTCCGAATCTAACACGTTAACAGTTGCAGCATGCATAATAAGTTTTTTTATGAGTAAATTTTAGAGCAATCAATAAGAAAAATCAATATTTGTTTTAGTCAGCGCGCTCAAAACAATTATTACACATATGCGCACTAATATATATAAATATATATATATATGTATATATATATATATATATATTATATTCTTTCTGTATATAGATATATACATTTGTATAGAAGATATATTTACATGTATGTTCACTTCAGTAGAGTAAAGGATGCAATTAAGCATCCTTTACACATGCTCAATATATATATATATATATATACCTACATATATATATATGTGTGTGTTTATTTAGGTTATCAAGCTATATACATATAAAATTCGCTCTCATATTTACATATAGGCATCTCTACTTTAGAAATACATGACCTCAGTTAAAATGTCAACTGGTTTACATACCCATTTATTTAAGTATATATTCTAAATATACATATATATATATATATGTATATAGAATAACATACACATTATTGGGTACGATTTATTCATCTGTTATCAATATCTGATACGGGAATATAAACAAGTGAATATGGTGGTAGAGAAGGGCACGCCTTGATTTTTTTTTTGCCTGTTTTCCGATCTTTTCCTTTGTAATACTATCAAACTCGCTTAATCTCGTTATTTTGCACGAATTTATCGATCCGAAAACGTTTTTGTTTTTATAACCAAAGGCGAAAAAGAAGGGATATAAAAACAGCGGTTAACGGTTAAAAATAGGGTTAGAAAAGTCGGATTAATTCCATTTAAGAATGAAATGGAGCTAACTAACCTTGTTCTATTAGCTCTTTTAGGAGTTGTACTCGAACCAGGGATTGTACCATCCTGAGACGTCATACTAGTAACTTGCATAAGCATTTCCGGTGTCAAAGGCGCCATTGCCTTAGCTATATTGGCTTGAGTTAACGCGTTCATAATTTCGTTTGATGGTTGTGGTGGAACGGGGGTAGACGGCGCCGAACTGACAGCGCTCTCCGAAAATGAAGCTACCGATTCTACATCAGCTTGAGAATCAATGTCCTTCTCGATCGATTTCATATTTTCACTATTTGCTAAATGTTCATTCTTAGCTGTAGCCTCACTCTTGATTTTTCCAGTTTTTTCATATTCAGCCAAATCCAGGGTTGTTGAAGGAGGATTGTTAAAATTATATGGTGAATCCTTATTACGCTGTCGTTCTTTAAAGAGCGTGTTACGAAACCAGTGCTTAATCACTTTGGGCGGTAATCCGGATTCTCTAGACATTCGTTCGATTTGCGCCTCGGTTGGCGAGTTATTAATGTCGAAATGAGCTCTGAGTATTTTTAATTGATCGTCGTTAATGCGGGTTCGCGCCCGTTTCGGATTAGAAGTCGCCAGTTGGGCGGCGGCCGCTTGCTGCTTGGCGTTTGAAGACGGATCGAAGATGGCCGCAGCGTTCGAGGTCGGCCCCAAACCAGCAGCATAGGCCAATTCCATACCAGGATAAGGTAAAATTGGTGGCATAAATAAGGGCATTCCTGCAAATGGCATAAGCATAGGCATCTGCATCATTTGGCTAGCTATATCAGTGCAGCTAACGTTGGGCATCTCATCCTTAATCGACGCCTGAGAAAACCCGGAAGAACTAGTTGATGTTAGAATCTTCTCCTCTTGTAGGGCGGTGGGAGTAGGCGTTCCGGAAGATCGATTTTCATTCGGCATAGAGGAAGACGGTTGTTTCTTATCATAATCCGACCTAAATTTAGTTGCCACTTTTTGAACAATATCGTGTGGAACTAGATTCTCGTGAATTTCTTCTTCGTGCGCTTTTAGCACCCAAACGGAGGAAAAGTTCTTATTGCATTTTGAACATGTTCTTTTTTCTAGTAATTCTGGTGGTTTCTTACCAACAGTCTCCTCATCTGGGCAAGGTTTTAGAACCTCCCTCTTCTGATTTTCATTGTACTGCATGACACATTCGAAGCCAAATGATTCGAGGAGATGACGTTGTAAGGCCGGCTTTACTCGGCCCAATTTCACTATTGGTGGCCCAAGACATTCGCCGCCTTCGTGCTTTTCCAAGCTATCTGCCGTCTTAAAAACAGACGAACACCGGGAACACGTGAAAGCTTTGGGAGTATTGTTTTCCTTGTTCTCTAGGCAGTCCTTTCTCTTCTTAGCAACAGCCATTTTTAGGTTGATTTCGTCGTTGTTCCCTGTATTTATACCAGAAATAGCATTCTGATTTGGTATAACAGTTGATGGAAGAGAAGTGGCCGTTGGATTAGCAGTTGGAAGGGTAGATGGAAGGGGTGAAGATATCTGTTCTTCCTTTTTTATGGTATTTGTCGATGATTCTATAAGATCTTCGGCAGATATTTTACCATCAGGCGTTTCCAATACGACATCGTCGCTTTGCCAGCAGTTTCGATTAATGTAATCAGGTAATCTGGAGATGTGCTTCATATGAAGCACGGATCTCTTGTGTATGTCAAAATTTGGCGAATTGGCGAATGATACTTTGCACAAATTACATCTGTAAGGTTTATTCGGATCGTTGAAGTTCCAGCCAAGAGGGGCAATAGGAGGTTCGCTCCCGCTCTCCTCCTCCTTTACACGCTGTTTGTGCGAATTGGAACCTTCGTGCACCTCCAAATTGTTCCTCTGCGCGAAGGCTTCCACACAGACATGGCACTTGAACGGTTTTGACGGATCGTTAAATTTTTCATCGGCGGAAGACTCGGATTCTTGAGTAGTACCGGTTATAGTAGTAGTAGTAGCCGTAGTCGCCAAAGTCGGCGTACTACTACCGGAAGTTGTAGAAACTGAACTATTTGAACGCTTGTGTTCTGCACTCTTATTGTGTTCTACGAGCGCCGATTGGCGTGCGTAGCCGACTCTGCATCGGTGGCACTTGTACTTACAAGCAGGATCCGAATAGGAGGCGTCTTGCGTAATAACTGAATTGGCGTTGATATCCTCGTTATTAGCCGACGGATCGTCGGTTAATTTCAAACCGATTAGCGGGGCGACTTCAGCTATAGTGGCCCGATACTTTGCTATCTCTTCGTCACTCATCTTATCTAAATGACTGTTATCAACGTGCTTGCGCAAGGCGCCTATACTACGGAAGTTCTTGTCGCAAACAGGGCACCTAGTTGCTGCTCTAATCACGTGATAAGTGTGATGAAGTTGTAGTTTATCCCTAGTAACGAACGCCAAGGAACATCGGGAACATCGGAATTTATAGGCGTGACGCCTACTGGTCGAAGAGTTTTGGGCGGTGGGTGTGGCGTGAATTTCCCTATAATGGACCTGTAGAGCGTTAGCGGTTGAGAAATACTGATTGCACGACTTCTTCCAGCACAGGTAGCCAGGACCCCTAGGTGTCTGCTTCAGTTCCAAATGGCCCAATTCGTTTTGGTGATTGTAGAGGGCGTCGAGCGTCGGAAACGTATTGGAACACGTATGACATTTGCAATCATCTTCGTCCTGCTCGTCGACCGTAACGCCTTCCTTTGTTGCTGCAACAGAACGCCGCCGTAATTACGTTTGCTCACTGATCACTCTCAATGATTTGCGCGCCAAAAAAAAAAACGCTTCAATTGACAGACGCCGAGGCGCCGCCATCGTCGAGATGCTTTGCATATGCGGCGCGGATTAATTTTTTCGCGTTTGACCGCCGCTTTTCCCCCCTCTCCGCTCCCCCCCCCCTGCCCCCTTTAGTCAAAAGAACGGCGGGGACCAAATAAAAGGGAAAAGAAGAAAAGAGGCCCGGCTAGTTGCGCTTGACCTCTCCTTGCACCGGACTCGACCGGCTTAACCGAGCTAGACAATAGACGTCGCTATGCTTTTTTTTCATCTAAATTGTGTACCACATTAAACACGCATACCCTTTTTAATGTAAATCGTACATATATATTACTCTATGTACGTTATTTGAGTACAGTATATAGCAACCTTTTTACTCTTTCAATTGAGAATCTCTAGCCGTTAGACGCCCTAACCCGTCAACTATTGTCCGCGTTCGTCCTACCATATTAGATGTACGTGCCAGGCTTACCTTGTTCGGCCGCCTCTAGAGCTTCGATAACTCCTTCCTCGTCCTCTTCTTCAGTCCGCGGTCGCATTCCGTCTTCATTGACCACTTCGTTCTCGTAGCTCGTTAGGCCTCCGTCGTTGTTATCTGCGTAGATTCGAACTCATAATTTATCTCCTAATTAAAAACGTTGATAAAATCCGATTCGGCTATTTTTTTCTTTTACTATTTAATATCGTTGTTTAAGAGAGATTAATGTATTGAAGAATTTTTTAAATGGTATTAAATCTATTGTTGTATCGTTCTCGTCTCGCGGCCTTTTGATAAAAAACTACAGTTCCCAGTCCCTTAATTATCTTTCCTCGTCCCCCTCTCAGTCCCTACCAACAGTGACAAGCAGCACTCACGCATCGGCGGCGAATTACAGCGAGAGTCGGCCCTAGACAAAGCACCTATTCAAGAGACAATACATTCCGTGATGTAATCAACGTGGCCTCGTCCAATCAGTCCTGTTTACTTACGTCATCTGACGTCACGAGAAGGGCATGAGTCGGTCGGTGACGACGACGACGACGCTGCGCTATTAAAGCGAAAGTCGAAAAAAACTAAAGGCGACGAATCCGTTTCCTTTTTTGTAGAATTATTCCTATTCTCTTTCTTCCTTTCTATCTTTCTCTCTCTTTTTGACTTATCTATCGGTCAACGGACACCGCTACCACTCCCTCTTCACCGTTTCCTTTCCCAATATTTTTCCCACGGAGCGAAAACGGCGTGTGACAAGATAGTAAGTGAAGATATATAGAAAGTTGATCAACTGGTACACAGTAGACGGAATCAACTGAGATTGGTTGAGAAAAAATAAAGAAAGAAAACCGCCATTTGTATAGGCCAACCGAAACGCCAATGCGCGCGCGATCGCCTATATTATACAGGTGTATGCTTCGCTTTATTATTATGGCGCTGACCTAATTTGAACGGTAGACATGAAGCTTACTAAACACTAAATGAACGCGGGGCGGATTCTCTTTCGTTGATTGAGTTTAGCGACCAAAAAACAAGGTGATTGTTGAATAAAAAATCAACAAAAGCGTCACCAATTCAGATGTCTGAGTCGTCGTCATCACTTTCGTCTAGTTTTTTTACTCTTTTTTTTATTTTTTTTTCTTTTAAATTTCATTTGTTCCGTCTATTAGAAAAGACGTCAAGGTGTCGAGATAACATTCTTTTCCCTGGATACTAATCGGACCAAGGGGTAGAAATGGGCGATTTCAATGCCTACATTACCCTAACCTAGACAATCTTCTCTCCATTCTTAAGAACACGAATAATGCATAACTCATACAATGCATACGTTACACGTTTAACGATTATTAATTATACGTAGAGAAATATTTCAAATACTTTATATCAATTATATACAATCTAAATACACTTGTACATATTAATACATAGATCCATACTATATATATATATATGCACAAAGTTATATATATATATAGATATATGTAGTAAAAGGTATAGATAGAACTTACTAGCATCTGTAGATGAGAGGTATCCTATTTAATAAGTTTTTAATAGGTAAAATGATTTTGCCAGTGTCTTCTTTTTCATAAAATAAATTGTATTTAAAATGGAAGAGGGCGATCGGTTGAATGTTTGTTTGAACGAGAATTCCTTAGATCGTCGTTAAACAATTGAGCTAGGCGCTTAAGACACTGGCGACCGAGCAAAAGCAAGCGTTCGAACTCAGGCCAGTCTTATTCATATGGAAAGCAGGCTGCGGCTCTATGCACATGCAAATGACTCGGTTGATGGCGGCGCCGCCACCCAATTTGAGTATCAATACGATTGTTTTCTATATACGCTGCTTTATAAGGCAAAAGGGACGGGGTGGGGAGAAAAAGTTATGGAAGTGGAGGGGGGAACCCGATTATAACACTAAATATATCTTTCTATCAAGAGTTTAACTGTAAACACGTTTTTCAGGGAGAGTAGTTAAAAAGCATTAGAGGCAACGGTAGTAATCCGCTAGTGATATGGTTAGTGATAAACACAAGAATGGAGAGGGGTTAAAGGGAAAAAACGGCGGGAAAATTGATAGAAAGTGTTTTCATTATGACTTTTATATAGTTGCGGCCGATCGATAGCTAATACTCGACTTGAAGCGGCCGCAATCGTATAGATCGATAAGGAACATCTCGTATTAGATAAGAGAACGTCCGTAAAAAAAGTATACGAAACGAAAAGACGACTTTCCTTTCGATTCAAGCGCCCTCTATTGTGGATGTTATAAAGACGCAGGGAGAAAGTAGTAGTGTACATTAAACAGTTAATGGTCTATAACGGCGCGAACTCCAATACGTAAAAAAGAGAGGGGGGGGGGGTTGGAGGGGAGGGGGGCAGAGTGGGTGAGCAAGAGGGGAAAGAGAGAGAAAAAAGGGTTAAGGTTAAGGCTTGTAATGGTACAGAGATTGAAAGAAATCACCTAACCCATCCCAAATAGTAGTAGTACACATACCTACCTACTCAAAATGCATTCATATCAAAATACTCATATATACACATCAATAGATAAAATTCACACCAAAACACACATACACACATACATATGCATTCACATAAAACGTACGTATGTACATACACACACACACATACCTACATATTTATATATATATATATATATATATTGAGAGAAGATAGGCCTATAAGTATATTGCTTTTCTTATAGCAATTATATAGAAATAATACTGTTATTTATTACACGAAAGCACTTTTTGGCACTAGAGAAAATTGTTAGGAATAAAAATTATCTGTTTTTTAAAATTTTTATCTATATAAATAATAATTACAAGTGCTATTGTACGTATGTGTATTTTTCATACGTATATCTATGAAATTATATATATAAAACTATACTGGAGCAGCTGACGATTCGCCATACAGTAACACTAATCTACGATCAATGATTAACAAACATGGCGCTACGCGGCCACATGGCGCCCGTCTTACTTCCGGCCAAACTCGGGGAGGAAAAAGAAAAGCCGACTCGTCGAGTTAATTGCTAAGGCCGACGCCTAAACTCTCACGCTAATCAGAGCCGCCTAATGAGGTGTAGGCTAATTAGCTAGCGAGCGTCTTTAGCGTTACCGTTTGATCTTGGGGGCCGCAGTCAACTTTTACGGCTTATTAATAAACGCTCTTATATACAACTATATATATATATATATATATATATAGATGTATAAAGTATGAATGTATATCATATGTACAATCTATATAGTTGTATACATTTTTTAAGGCCTACTGGGTACGAAATCATACCTTTGTCTCTATCGTCGCCAGGTGGCGTACATTCTTCTTGAGATTCCCGATCTGTAAAACGAAAAACGTGCCAAAGTGAATAGTCGTGTTATATAGACGAATGCCGCCGACATATGTGCGCTGGCGCACTAAAACAGTATGTACAGTGTATAGTAAAAGATACACAATGAACCATATAAAGTGTACACTATACTCTTTAAGACGTACGATATTTAAATTGTATTTAAATTTATTTCTTATATTATATAGTTAATGAAGAAAGTCGGAGGGGAAAAGTTGAATATATCAATAGATTATATATAATATATACAAGTTACATATTCTATATATTAACTTGAATATATCTATATGAATGTATAGATATGGATATCGTAAGCATTCATATAGATATGGAAAGAAGTATATACAGTTAATATACAAGTATCTTCATACAGTATATACATTATATTGGTATGAAGACACGATGATATATACCTATATATTGTATATATTCTTTGTATTAAAGTTTAATATTGTACAATATACGTACGGCTTTTATAATTGAAATAAAATTTCAGCTCGGTTCAATAAAATGCTAATTGGCAGGCGGATCAAACCATAATGAGAATACACAGCTGTTATTGGCCGTATGTAAATAAGCTACAACATTCGTCGAGAGGGCAAAAAGCGTTCTTCTTTTCGCGCAAACGTCTCGCCTTTCAAAAACGCCAGCACGCATCGCATTTTGTGTAAACAAGCGGCGAACGGATGACCTGAATAGCAGGCGCCCTTAATTGTAAGCAGCCCCCGCCATAAAGCACGGTTCGGCTCAGATAACGCTTATCGGTCGACAGAGTGCCGAATCGTACTGAGCGCTAGTGTTCTTAATTAAACGCGGGGGCTATTCGTAGTCTGCTTATCTCTATTGCGGTATTGCAGTATTGCAGTAGAGCAGCCACGTCAACGCGCCGTCACTGATTGGGGCAGCCAAGCACACAACGCCGTTACGCGGTAGAAGGGATTAAACGCCGTCCAAACGCCATTACCGTTTATCGCTCTTCGCCTTTAAAGGGCCGTAATGGTGATTGGACATTATTGCGCAGCGCTCTGCAATATCGCACACACAACGCCCGCGTGACGTCATCGATTTCAGCATCTGCTCTAAGAAGCGTGTAGAGAGAGCAAGCGAGAGAGAGAGAGATAGAGAGAAAAGAGGGAACAGGGAGTGGGGAAAATATGGTTGATGGAGAGTATATAGGCTAAAATGGGGCAGCTTAAGGGTAGGGGGTTGGGAAAGGTGGAAGAGGATGTTATTCTATTAAAGTTAAAAGGTTTAGAAAATTAAAAAATAATTAAAAAAAAAAAAGTAAGAGGACATACCGTATACTACAACTAAATATCGTTCCTGTTCGAACTTTGCTCTCAAACAACACACTCGCAGAAGGCTTTAATTAGGCCTCAGGCGCCATTTCGATAAGAAAGCAGCGTAATTACTGAATGTGTCATTAAAAGTCTAGGCCGAAATTTTGCGCACCTGCATCGTAAATTCATAAAGTGCTCGTAATTTCTCATCTATAGATATAGATAGGCGCATCGACGCCGCACTATTGTTAACGCACGTTTAACCCAACTCTTTGAACGTTCCTAATTGCCTAAATTGACGCACGTCATACGCAACTATATACGTTATATAACAAATTATATATATATTCGTAGTTATATAACATATATATTTTATATTTATATGCCTATTTATATATATATATATATATATATATATATATATATATATATATTAGTGTACTTTCGATGACGCTATATAACGATATTTCCGGCAACTCAAACTTTTCCCTAAAGCGAGCATACAACGTAAAAACACAATCAATGCTCAGGTGCGGCAGTAATTAACCTAGCCTTAGGCCTGATTGTCGTCAGGATTAGCACCACTCACCTGTATTGTTGTCATCCGCTTGGCGAACTCGTAAAACACTACCCAATTCGTCCTCCGATCTGCCTTGTAAATTAGAAGCATGTTGAGGAGTTCGGGAATGCTGTAGTATTTTATTCTTAGATCTTGTTGAATAGGAACAAACTGGGCAAACGTAGAGTCGTTTGTCGGCCGGCACATGACTTTCAGCCATTTGAACATGCTGTAGAATTCGTACTGCCGCCCCATGGGCGGGTGTCATAGAATGGGCGTGCAATTTATGTAATGAATTAGTATAGAAGTCACAGGCTGAACATCGGACTTGTACCGGATTAGATACGTTGACGTACTTGCCTCTCCAGGCATTTTCCGGACCTCCTTCTCGGACATGTAGGGCTAACTGAAGCCGTTGAACGTGTTTGTCGGTTTTCGAATGCAGTTGGAAGTTGGCCTTAAGCGGCGTCTTGTAAGAACAAAGGGAGCAGGTGTGTTGGCCTGCAACGACGCTTACAAATTCAGCATCAGCGCCATTAACCCTTGTTCTATCCAATTGCATGTGACCGTGTAAGCTTTCGACGCTGTCAGTTGCAAAAACATTGCAGACACAGCATTCGAATACGTCCGGTAATGGTTCAACCATGGCCGTCGTTGAGGCTAAAAGGGGAGTTGAGTAATAGGGGTCTGTAGTGGGCGGAAAAAGGAGAGGAGGCAGGGCCATACGCATTGATTGCTGCAGCATCATCATATTATGTGTGTGCTTTTCGGACGTCATGTGAATTCTAAGATTCCTAGCGACGTTGGTCTCATACTGGCAGACATCGCACCTCCAAACTGGCTTTGATTTATTCTTCTCTGAACTTTGATTCGAAGAAGTTGCTTGGTTTGTCGTAGATGATGTGGCCAGAGAAGAAGGGGGTGTGGGTGGGGCTGACGGTGCGGTAGTTGGTGGAGGTGCCGGAGTTGAACCATTTTGTAAGTCCTGCATGTTATTGATGTGCTTATCACTTTGCATGTGAATCGAAAGGTTTCCCTTTGTAGTCGTCGAATAATTGCAAACTTCGCATCTGTACGGTTTATAGCCGCAAGTGTAAGCTTCGCCTCTAGCTAAACGCGGATGAGCGGCTTTAGTGACGCAATAGACGCACGACGACGACTCGCCGTCGGCTGGATGCTTTTCCTTCATATGAATTTCCAGTGTCTCCTGATACTTGTAGTGCCAGTTGCACTTGGGACACTTGAGCGTCTTGCATGAACTCCTCGATGGCGATAAGGTAGCCAGGTCAATTGCGGCCATCGATGGAGGCGGAGGCATTGGAGGCGGGAAGCTGGCTACCGCTGCGGCGGCTAACAGAGGTGGCATGGCACGCGAAGTAACCGCCGCTGAGGGCGGTGGTGAATTGGCAGATGAGGCTGATGATTCAACATCGCTTATAGGAGATGTTGATGGGGGAGGTGGCGGAAAGTAAGGTTCCAAAAAGGACATTAAGGGAGTTTTGTCCTTTCCGACCGCCTGTATAATGGCGGACGAATTGGTTTGTGACAGAATATCCTCCTCGGCTTGTAGCAAGTCCATAGAGTGTTCGCCGATCGCGTGACTGATAAACGACTTGCTCACGCCGAACGACATTTTACATATGAAGCACATTAGGATAGGCCTAGTTGGCACCGTTACCGGTACGTTAGGAAGGTTAGTTGTTCTGTTGTCTATTCTTGGAGGAGGATGCCGAACGTCATAAACACGGTATGAATGCATAGTAGGCGTCGGCGGAGGTGTCCTACGGGAGAATAGCGTATTATATAATGTGGTGTTCGACCTGTGGAGGAAAAGAGCGGAAGCGATTTGCGGAATGGAGACGTCATCATCCGGCAAAGGAGCTTTCTTTTTAACGATAATGCTACCATCCTGCTTTGGCAATTGAAGAAGGTCTTCATCATCATCATCGTCCGCCTCAATTATGTAAGCAGAACCATCCGGATTATAGATTATGGTTGCATCGAACGGTTCGCCATCCTCTTCATCAAATTCGTCATGTCCATTAATTTCACCATTCGTATAAACCTCCATTATCCTCTGTTTTTTTTTTCCAGAAAATTTTAATATAATATTTTCCTTTGTTGTTTTTGTTGGTTTCTTTCACTTATTCTTCCTATTAAGTTCTTTTATCCTCGTCTTCGTTAGTTGTGCGTTTATATAGATATATATATATATATATAGATATATATATATATATAAATATATATTTGTGTTTATAATGATATCGTCCTCTTCTTCCTTCTTCTAGTGCGCGCGTCACGTCATGGTAAACTGTTTAGCGTTTTGGGGAGAAAAAAAAGACAAACTTCAAACGCGCGTGAAATTCGACACTAACGCGTGCTACACACGTAATTAAAGCACGAATACGTAAGAGAACAAAGAATCATAGACACAGGTGCAGGGCACAGGACAATACGAGATTACTTATAGATTACTCACGTAGAAACTGTAAAAAAAAAAAAAAGAAAAAAAAGAATGATGATGAATTTTTTTATGAAAAGATGGAAAAAGAATAAGAGATGGATGAGGAGTGAAAGACAGAGATAGATATATTTAAAGAAATGAGATTGAGATAGAAAAATTAAAGGTATGTGGTAGAGGGAGGAAGAGATGGATTGGCTGATAGAGAGGAACGAATTGGATTTTTAAGGACGAAAGGCGATAAATAACTTGTTTTTTTTTATTAAAAGGGAGAAGATGAGTAAGAGAGAGAGAGAGAGAGAGAGAGATTAGATAGTTGATTTTAAATGAAAGTATTATATGAAATAATGAAATAATAGTTAGAAAAACAAATGACAGACAGACAGATAGACAGACAGGCAGACAGACAGATATAGAAAGAGAGAAGGAAAGCGTTTGAGCGAGACAGAGAGAGAGAGAGCGAGCAAGCAAGAGAAAAAAAAGGAGGAAAGCTCTATATGATTTATAGTAAAACATAGTAGTAGTAGTAGAGTAGTATGATATAGGGATAGATAGAAAGATAGAATAATAGATAAAAAAAAAGGAAAAAAAGTACTAGGAGAGAAATTTTCCACCGCGTTAAAAAAAATAATATATAAAGAGAAAAGTGCAAAGTCTAATGAAGACAGCGCCCTATTTGCTCAAATATCAATTTCCACTAACGACATTTACAACACGCCTTTGTTGTGTACTGTTGTTCTCTATGATTAGCCACCTTGTCTTATCTACACTCACGTTTAAACAATAAAACCTAGTCGTAAAATTGCTGCTAATTAAACAGTTATAAAACGTATACAAGGCGGTCGTAAATTGTTGCGATGGCTTAACTTTGATAACAAAACAAAAAAGGAGAAAGTAAATATAATACCGTATATACTGACAAACCAGACACTGGCATACATAACGTGCATACACGCATAACATATTTATTATATGGATAGATATATACATGTGCAGTATACATAACTATCTTTAGATTGTTGGAGAGGTATTAAATTAATTCTTAAGATTATAGATATATTATGTACAACCAGTATCTTAAATATGTATAATCATATTTATACATATTAATAAGTATACGTACTATTTTATAAGGTGTATAATATACTCTTGCATTCTCTTCGGCTATGAAGCTATATGTTATAATATCGAGTGCAAATGAAACAGGCAATTATCGATGTAATTATCAATATTCGTATAATGGTAAATAGCGGAAATATTCCATTTTCGCCGTGATTGCGCCATGGAGTAGGGGCGAACGGTCATTAGGGCCTAATTGGCTCGACTGTTACGTCATCGGTCGTCGTGAGCATCGCTAATCAGGCGTTCCCACGATCGTCGAAATGGACGACAGATCGAATTAAAAGTGAAAAGGGCTTCACGCCGAGCCTCCCCATTAGCGAAATTACGAGTAGACAAAAGACGACGGTTCAACTAGCCAACGGTCAAGCTCGCTAATTAGCTGCAATTCTTTTACCTTTTCATTCTCCTTTCTTTCCTAGACACTAAACGGAAAATACGCGTATTCTCTTTCCCTCACATCCTTTTTTTATTACCATCTCGTTCTCCTTTTTCTCTCTGTTTCCTCCTCCTCCCCTTTCTATACAATGTACAATACCATTCTTTCATGAATGTAAATATATAAATATATCTTTCTATCTCTTAACTTCCCCATTTTGGTAAACCCCTCCTAATTTTTTCCCTTTCTTCTTCTTCAAAAAAAATCCGCCTTCCACCCTTTTTTGATTGTGTATATACAAAAGCCGTTCAAATAATTTTTCGAAGCGCAGGAAATGCGATCGGTTAGGCCATTGCGACGGCCTCTGTTTTCTCAAGCGCTTTCTTTCTTTGTTCAAGCACGACTCGAGACTCTTTTAATTGGCAACGCTTTTGTCGCGTATTTAAATTACTTTTTTTTCTCTTTTTCTTCTTTTTCTCTCTCTCTCTCTCTCTCTATGTTCTACTCTTTTCTACCTTTAAAACTGAACACTCACCGACCTCCCCCTCCCCCCCACTCTCTCTCACTCTATCCCTTTTACTCTTAGGCCTAAGGATTTTAACTAAAGAAGGGCGGCAGCACCGTCAAAACGGTTTATAATTACCGTAATCGTTTTTTGGCGGGCACATTTTTTTAAATAAAACACATTAGATACTTTATTTTTCTCTTTCTGGAACTGCTCGGCTAACGCGTAATGGAAATGGGGTGGGTGGGGTGTGATAGGCGTTTTTGTACAATATGATGCTTACTGCGCTGGCCAATAGGATACTCCTTAAAATTTGTTGATTAGCAAAAATGGTGGAAAGAGGCGAAAAGAGATAGAGATAGAGAGGGTAAGAAAGTGGTGTCAGAAAATATATCGATTGTCTGTCTTATTGGGAGATAATCAATTAAAGATTAAGAAAATCAGAGTGATGAAGAGGTGGGGAAACGGAAAATGAGACGATAGGAAAAGCGCGCGAGAAGGTCGCCTAGAGGTCGGATGGACAGAACAAATGGCGGGAATTATTCAGGTCAGCGGCGTGACCTCAAGTTAATCACGAGGCTGTTTGAAGCCGATCTCGACGGGGCGTCGGTTCATATGCAAATTTTTTCGGCGCGCTATTTGTTCACGATCTCCACGCCAAGCCAACGCATGCATGCGTGCATGCATCTCAAAAAATATACCGGTATATATATATATTTATATAAATATACACTTGCATACAGTGGCATACACACTTCGATAGATAGCAGTAAAATAGTGCACTGTGTAATAATATTAGTGCTGGTTAAATATAATATTTCGGCTAATTTAGCCAAAGTGACGCCTGAATTGCTCACGCCTTCATCGCGTTAGACGCGTGGTCAACTCGACGGTTCCTAATTAATAGTAGGACGCCTTTGCCTAAAAACGTTGCCTCCCGCGGGACACGAAACGGATGAGATTATTCTACGGAATGCGCCGATTATGACAGATGGAGCCACAGCACGGCCGACTGCAACAGATGCCTTCGGGGGCAACGAAATATATATATATATATATATATATATACATACATATACTGTATAAATCCTTATGTATATTCTACTTAGAGTGTCTACATATCCAAAATAAGATGAAAAGTACATAAAATTGCAGTGTATATAAGAAAATAATTACATACGAGATGTTAGAGAATAAAAACTGATTTAAGAGTTGAAAGATGAGAGAAGTAGAAATAAGAGAGAGAAAAAAAGCTGCAAAAAGTAAGGGGATGACTAAGAGAAAAAATTGACTTAAACGAATGGTACAGAGAATAAAATGAGCAAGTAATATTGGTGATGCCAATAGTGTTTTCGTAGAAGATCGAGGAAGAGAAATAATATTATGAGTGGATTATGAAACAGAATCAGAAGGAAAAAAAAAGAGAGAGAGATAAATAGAGATAGAGATAGAGAAAAAAAAACTGTCAGGACGATTTTACTATTTATCATAGAAGCAACACATTGCCGAAAAGTTTTACGAAAATCGTTTGTTGAGAAATTTGACACAATCGAACGCATTGTTTCCGACGGAGTTGAAAAGAAACGAGTAAAATCGCTCCCGGTGCATTTTATACGCTTTTACAGTAACACACATTCTTAAAATGTATGTATGTAGGTTCCTTTACACTTACTTTTATATGCATATCTTTTATACGCATATTACACACTTTAAACATCCATACGTACGTATACACACATACTGACGAATACTAACGTGTGTATTCCATCTATATATACATCTATATATATACATATATAATAAAATATATACTATATATATATCCTCACCAATATATATATATATATATGTATTTATATATAGATTTAGGCCACACACGAGCTTAGTGTTCCTATCTCTTAGAAACTACCAACCTCCGAAAGATGGATGCTGAGACGGTCGTTCGTCGACTATCCGTGGAATGCGGAGCGCGCGAGGAATGTGTTGGAAAAAAAGCGAACGATTGACGAGCGTCTCTTTCGGGCGTCTATCCTGTCAGCGCTGGGCGAAGGGCGAAGACCGAACTGAACGAACTGATGCTGACCGTTCAGTAGCGCCGTCTAGCGGAAGCTGAGAAAAGAAGAGCTGCTGTTGGCGCTACGGCGTCCGACCAGTATATGCGCCTCGCAAATACCATCATTATGGCCTCTCATTACGCCACGCGCTCATAATGAGCCGTTGGGCGGGGCATTGCGTCACGTGGTTGCGTCTCTTTTTTTCTTTTTCCTATATTACAACTATGACCAGCGTCTAGTGCCTTTGCGACTGCCCCTAATCCCAAATGAGGTGACGGATCCGCAACGCTTGTCAAACTTATGATTACCTAACCTCATTAGTTCGTCCGATATGCATACTAATTGCGTTTCCATGCCGACCGCGCGCCTCATCTTTGACCCGATTCGGACGTCTCCGGAGACGCAGCGCGCAAACGCGCACGGCGATCGATAAATACATATACAGTGGGCAGGCGAGAGATCAAAACAAAAAGGGTAAATACCGACGCGACGCTTGCATTGCTCACCCCTTAGGGGCGTCTCTCGCTCGTTAGCTCAACATCCGACGGCGTCAACGAGGCATCTCCGGGCCGGAGCCGAAGGTTGGTCGGCTTAATTAAGAGTTTAGGCCTACACTTTATATTTACATATTTCATATTTATAAATCCAACTGCACAGAATTTATATTAAGATATAGATGTGTTCATATGCAATCTCATATACACACCAATAGACCGTTCGGTACCATTTACATACTCCTAGATAGATATCTGTATATATATACACATTCACATATATGTATATATGTGTATAGATATTTTTGGCGTATATACATCTATATATATATATATATATAAATACAAATGTATGTCTATGTATATTTACACATATACATACTATGTATATTCATATATACTGCAAGAAAATCCCAGTTTATACATGTTTAAATAACAATAATCCTAAGAAAAAGCAAAGAGTTAAAAACATATTTTTTAAAGTATATGGCTTGCGTGTATACAGGGGTATTTTTTTTTTCAATGTATACTGGTGTCTCGACCTTTTCACCCTTACTTCTGAAAATTACCTTCATTGACAGTTAGGCGCAAGTGACCAACGGTCAGACGGCGTAGTGCTAGTTAATTTACGTATTACGGGCGGTCTCGAATTATGCGCACGCACAATAGATGGTATTGAAATCGCCTCGCAAACATTTTTTCCGTCTATAATTACGCATAAATTACGCGTTTTTCTTTTTTAATTTCAATAGAGTGACGACGGGTACCACTCGGCTTATCAGCGTTGGAATGCTAGAAATAAAAAAAAAAGAAAAAAAAAGCAACGGTCGTATAAATTGAAAACTTAACCGTCGCAATCAATCGCCTCATTGTCTATTTAGGCGTCACTTATTTACCGTGCGTTTCGATTTCTGATGGAATATAAGGCTAGGCTCTCTCGCTCACTCTCTTTCTTTCGTTCCTTCGCTCTCTCCCTCTCTTTCTCTCTCTCTCTCTCTCTCTCTCTCATTCTCACATTCACTCTCACTCTCCCACTCTATCTCTTCTCTCCCTTTTTAATTCTTTCTGTACTCATTTTCTCACTCATTCTCTCATACTCTCCCTTTCTTCCCTCTCTGCCTACCCTCTTCTAACCTCCTCCTCACTCTCATTAGTAGACTTAGCCCAATTAACGATTGGTCAGAGACGATTGCGGCGTCAAGGACGCAGGCGTGCCGTTTTGAAAGACGGCGTTCGAGTGGACAGTATAACGCCGACGGCGTCGTTTGGCCCGCCGCGTGCAGAAACAAAAGATACGCTAACTGTGTAGTCATGACGACCGTTTAATGAGAAGGCTATTCGTCCGTTAAGTAGCGAGGACGGTTGCGTTTTGTGAATATATACAAATTCTATTAGGGGCAAAACGTTCATTTAGTAAATGGGTCGTCGCTAGAGCCGTAGGCGCCACGCCCTGAAAAAAACG